AGTTGAAAAAGTAAAAACACATACACGCTGCGCGTTTCCACAACACTCCAACTCACACGTTTAACATCGAACGCGACATTAATTCGTCAAAAGCATATAAAATATTTCAAAGCTTAATATAAATCCCTTTCGCAACAGTAAACTTCGGCGGTGGATGGTTGTGATTAGATATAGAACGAATCACTGAGCCCTCATAAGTTGCGCTGAATCGACCTTTGCAGCCTTGCGACCCTCTTGAGCAGCGCCAGTGCATTTTGTGCTCATTTTTACTGTCGCAATAGAACGAATAATTGTCGTATACGGCTATACTCTTCCCGGACGGCTTCGATAGGTAGAGCACTAAAAATATATCCAAACTGACATAAAATTGCCTTAATTGACATCGTTCATTACTATTACACTCAGTTAAATACGTTTTTATGATGAAGGAGGATAGACATCACTATACGTATAATACATTGAGGTTTCAAATTTATCAAAAAATTAATTTACAAAAGTTATAAAATTTGGATTGTCTGAAAAAGCGAATTATTGTCTTAACGATTCCTTTAATGAGTTGCTCTTTAGGTTAATAAATTCATAACGAATTAGTTTAAAAGACATGTTAAGAAAAGCCTGACTGGCTTTCTTAGGTGTTCTTCTCAGTTATGTTGCTCTTTTGAACACTCTGTAGAATCCCAGAAATGTTTGACGAATCTAAATATATTTTAAAGAGAATAAAGTATATTTTATTTTTCACTTGAAGGTAGGTAAAATACCGCAGCCATATAACATCTAAACAAAATGCGCTATCGACCTATTTGGGATGCATTTGGACTAATATCCAAATATTCGTAAATCCACAGACTGACGGTGATTCGTGGCCCGGTCGGGATGTAGATTTTCCACCCATATAATATCCATACTTCCAGACGAAGTCCAATATGTTTCAGAAAAATAATAAATTAATTAGAAAAACCTCGATTAATTGTAAAGTAAAGAAAAACTTATTATATAAGTAAAGAAAATTATATACATAAAACTATTTGGGTTTTCGAACTTTTCGGCCGTCGTAATCAAGAAACGAGAAAACCTAATTTTACTTATAATGAAAAGAAATCATCTATGCAAAAATGGCCCAGAAAACTTTTGATACTATTAAATACAATTGATAGATTGTATAAATAAAAAAAAACGTATTCTTTTGTTTTATTTATACTTACTTTTTCTAACAACATTATAGTGAAGTAAAAATCATATATTATATAAGAAATATATATTAAGAACACAATACTGTATTTACATTAAAATTTAGCAATGCAGTTGCCGACACAAAACATAACTCAAAATTATGATACTCATATACTCATTTTATTAAAACACTTTAACGGTTTAAAACGCGATATATATTAGATAAACTTATTAGAAAATTATTTATAACTTCAGCCCGACACATCATTTTCAAAGTGTTTTATTTAAATGTGTACTACTCGCGTAAACAGACAGTATACATTTTCTTTTAAATATAACAGCATAAGCAGTGTACGTAGTTAATGTCATAATCCTTTTTTAATAACTCGGTATGTTCTAGCAAAGAGACGTGTTATCAACTAGTTACATTGAATATTGATCCACAACATAGTATGAAACATTATTTCCATATAATGCTTTCATATTTAAAACAAATACAGTATACACATGAAATTATAAAGCAACATGCACCAAAAAATTAATATATGGATTTCACACTCCTCTACCTATTTTTCACAATATGTGTCGTCGACTTGATGTATGTACCATTTCTTATGATAAACACTGGTGGCTCGTGGGAATGCTCAAAGAATCCAGTCAACATGTAATTGTTCACAGAGTCGAGAATAAACCTTGCCTTGCACAGTCCCCATCGCGTACATCGCCACGTCGTGGTTGACGCACTTTTAGCCCCACAGTAAAACGAGTGTCCTTTGCATACCGCTAACTGCTTCCCAGATTTATTGACCACGAATTGAACTGCCGAGGAAAGTTTTAATATTAAAATTAAATTGCTTATAGACCTAGAATTCAATCACTATAGGCCACGCGATAAAGAAATTTCCACTTTTCATAGGTGGTAGATTTTATATCAAAATGCGTTATCTATATACAATGCAGGTTGTTACAGATGCCGGCCTATAAGTTTTAAAACTAGCGACTGCCTTTTACCTTAATGCCTTATATACATATATCGGCCATCGGATAACTGGCGTATCATAGGTACCGGATGCATGTGTTCACCAATTTTCTCCACGACTACGTTTTCTTGTGTGGTGATAATGACGGCTTTACACCCGGCGTGGTACTTACAGCAATACCAACGCCACAATCCATTTCTCGAGCTTTGTTTTCTGTTGTACGTATAATTTTGAAATAGAAAGTGTTCACCCCTAATGGTGCGAATAACATCACCTAAAAATTATAAAAGGATTATAACAAATGATGATTAAGGAACAAAATTATTAATGATGTCGCGACACCTATATATGGAAGCCGCTCAAATAAAGCAAGTAAAATTATGTTCTTACTAACGTTTAGTAAGAACATAATTTTACGACATAAATTTTAAACAAATTATGAACGAAACTTAGATGTCAAGAAACTAGCGTCGTTGTCAGCTTCACGCTCATGAATACTTTGCTAGTTTTAATCTAAAGTCCGATGTACCCCTGTGATGTCTAAAGTACGATAGAAAAACCGACAATTACTTGTCTGAACTGTAGTCCAATCAGTTGGTAAATTTTTAAATATTATTATTATATAGAAAAATATAGAAAACACTTCATACTACAGTTAATACGTCAATAATCTCTTAAACACCAAAGTTGACTGTAGATTTAACCCGAAATATCTTTACTGTCTGAAAGTAGTAAAATTAATAAGTATTGTCTGTAGTTGATGCAAATAGCACTTTAACCGTTAAGAACGCGAAATATAAAACATTTTCAAAATGTCGCGTCGAGTCGTATAGTTGGCCATTTAAATTATTGAAAATGTTTTATTTAAAAGCAGCAAAATAATCTTTATGTAAGAATTTTTTTTTATATAATGGCATTAACAGCAAAATAAGTTCGACGAAATGACAGAACTACAATATTTCTTGGTTAAATCAACCATTAAGGATTTAGTAATGCTGGTATGGCTTAAATTTTTTACACTGTATTCTTAAGCAATTCAGCCGCATATAGACGGCGCACAATGATTAGGATTATCAGTGCTAGGAATTACTGTCCCGTCAAAATTCGTTGTAAAACGTGCTTTACTCATCTGTCACATTAGAACATGTCCAGTACACATTAGCTCCGTATTTTATGTAGAAGTGAAAAGTGTATTTGTTAAAGACAGCCAACTGTTACCCAAATGCGTTAAAATAGTACAAATCTGAAAAAAAAAATCTCTCCTTTTTGACATATGCGTTACTTTAACTCGTTGTAAATATATATTAAGCATAATTATGCCCTGTCTTGCCCGTTTTTACGCATTGCCTGGATTTGCGTTAAGCATGAGAGATCGTTGGTTCGAATCCCGGATAACAGAACCAAATTATTTTGCCTTAGAACACGAGTACACAGATAATTGGTCACATGTTGATATATATGAAAAAATACAAAAAAAAGAACAAATGTTATTATAAAAGTGTTTAATAGAAAACAATACATTGCTATACAACAGTCAAATAACTTGGTGAAAAATTAATATTAAAAATAATACATAAAAATTGCATGTAACTACTCTTACACAAACTATAGTGCATTATAAAATAACAATATCCATAATTCAATACAAAACATTAATTTTTCTTATAATTTCGCTTTAAATAATTTTTTCCCAAACTTCAACCGGATATAAAATAGTCTTTAGACTTTTTGGTAACATTAAAAACACGATTCTATAGTTCTATATAAAAATACAACAACTTGGAATGTTATAAAAATATCAACTACCTTAATTTAGGGATAATTTTAACGTCCTTTGTAAGTACATTATTCAGAAGAAGACATCCACAAAACGAGAATAAAAAGCAAAACTTTCTACTCTAAATTTCGACATTAGTACTTGGACGGCTGATGATTAACGATAGAAAAAACTCAAACCTATACTAGCGTGGTCTTTAAGATTACGAAGCTCATAACAAGATATATTATTACTCACTAAGTAGATCTCACCTAAAGCTCAAACACATAATAATGGAGTGGAAAGATAGACAACGAAAACTTTAGCACTAAGCACTTTTATACTTCAGTTAAGTTGGAGAAATTAAGTTACTGTTCGTGCATAATGCCGTTAACGAACGTAGGTACTGTTCAAGTACAATATGATAGAATTATGTGAAGTTAAATACATTTGTTACCTATAATTTTCCCCACTTTTAACCCTATATAGTGATATAGAAATATGCAACTACTCAGTTCTCTTTATATAAAATACATTGGTCACGCATATGAAAATCCTTACACAGCAGTTAGTCTAAAATAGTCTATTCGTTCCAAAAGGTTTCGTATTTATATTTAAATTAAGTTTAAAAATTGCCTGTAGTTTAAGCGAGTTTTACATTAAAATAAAACACATCCAACGGTTAAAACGCGAAATATATTTCTAAACTTATTTATTTTAACTACAGCCAGGCTGTAACTGTTTACAGTGTAGATTGTCAGCAGCAGCGGTAAATATTTAACTAATATATTTCGCGTTTAAGTCTGCTAATAGTGTTTTATTAAAATATTGGTTTTTATTATTATGTACAAAATTGCAACGTGCATTTGATGTACGTTTGCGGTTGAACGTTACAGACCTTCTTAAACATTATTTTTTTATTCAAGTTATTTGTTAAAATAACGCTATAAAAGACAGGAGACATAACTTGATGGCATACTGTCTTCGGATACCGAATAATACCGCTTTACTCATTGTGCGGAACCCTAAAAATGCATAATTGTGGTGCGGTTTAAGCTTTAAATGAAAACAACTAGTATATATTATAAAAAACATTAATTATGCGAATGCAATCCCGTAGTTGACACCACAACTCCATCGATAGTCACCGCCGAAGCCTTGCACTTCAATTTGTGCTTCTTGGCGCACGTCCATCTAATCCTGTTGCCTAGGAGCGACCGTGAGTGCCTGAAGAACTTATGCCCACCGATATAAATGTTTGTTGAGTCTCGGCAAAAACGAGCACGAAGGATGGCTCGCATTAGATCTGAAATTAAATACAAAATCAGAACATGTTTTTTAAAGATTCATAACTTAGAACTTTAATATATACTAATATACAGTTTGTTTGTTTGAACGCTTTAATCTAAGAAGCTACAGGTTCGCATTGGAAAAGTTGTGGTGGTTAGATCACTTATCGAGTGTAACTTTAGAAATATCTGTAAATCTGTGATAAAAAAAATGTTTTTAGACATTATTTTATATGTCTATTTTTAATATTAACTTGCAAGAACGTTTGAAGACAAACAAAAATAATACACTTAAGCTTATTTCCATTTAATTTATTTTAAACGTCTTCTATTAACACTTAATATATTAACATAATATACGTCATATGATATAGATCATATACGTATTGACTTTTCTAATATACATTTATATAATCTGGAATTAATAGTAAGCTTGCGTAGATGTACTTATGGTACTTCTACAGAGATCACAATGTAACAAGAAATACCCATACGTATTACTCAACCTAAAAATAAGCGCAAAGCGTTTTTAAAACCCTGTCTATCTAAACCAAACCTTGTCTAAATACCACTAAAGATCGATTTTCCATAATGATAAAGATGCGAAGGGTACCCGCACTCTATAGCTACTCGGTTTTTTAGTATCAACTGTAGAATCACCATGGCGCCATCGACTCAATCATCATCAACCATAAATCTACTCAATCAATCAAACGATCTTTGAATCGTTTCTTGAATCACTGTTTTAATTTCCGTGTGAACAAACAGCCCATATTAGCAAGACTATCTTTGAATACCGTAGTGTGCGCGTACCCTTACATTTAAAGTGACAATTGATATTCTATAATTATTGCAACATAACAGGTTAGTTGATTACGTGTTTAAATCGGTCGCAACGATGAAATTCGACAACCCAGTAGTTTTTTCAGCTATATTTTAGCATTTTCAAGACCCATCGTCATAGTTCTGACAGATTTATTTTAAATACTTCATTAATACTTAAAAAATGACACTACAGTATTTGTAAGACGTTTTAGAAAATAAATATATTACTTTAAAATTCATTTTATGTACATTAATTTAAACTGATAATAATTTCTTTGTCTCCGCTATTTCCTAATGGTTATGTATCTTCCTTGTTCTTATAATAATATTATCTATGGTAGTGACAAAAGCTGAGCAACCGAACGTTTTCTTCACACATCGCCACCGCACTTTTGCCCCTTCGTTTTGGTGCACTGTGAATCGTTGGCCATCCATATCCAAGCAGCGCTTGCCGCTTGGTGTAAATCCAAAGAAAGCTGCAACATCAAGCTAATAAGTTATATCGGGAAACCATTTCCAGTACAATAAAAGAAAACGGATGAAAAGTGGAAAACAAATAGAAATGCTGTGCTCTTCACACAAAAAATATCCGCCGGAGTCTAGAAGAAAAACAAAGGAAAATCCTAAAAAATTAAAAACCATGTACTTTAAGTAAGCTTCACATTGTTTGTTCCTTCGAGCGCTTGAAAACTATAACAAACATAATTATGAAACGTTTAAAAACATCTTACTGTTCAGTAGTTCTAAGTCGTTACTTATTGCAAGTTACGAAATATGGGAAAAATATAAAAGTTACAGGTGTATACATATAGTACATACAAATAAAAAAATAAAAAACAATTATTATGACTATAAAGATTTTATTAACGAACAATAAAAATAATTATGAACATTGTAATTCAATATGATTTGTACAATAGCGTATATTTTTTTGAGATTATCGCAAATACATAGTTTAGATTGACAATAAACTCAATCTATTTAAGAAATTCGTATGCCCTTCCCATCTCAAAAGCAAGGCATTCGAAACGTCGGTTAAAAGTGTTATATTTATATATAATATGTACAAAATATTTAAAAGGCACAAAAATCTACTCCTATAATATGAGTATCGTTATTAATTAAATAAAGATAATATAATTAATTATAAAACATTAAAATATTTGAAAAGTACTTGTATCGATTTCTAGAACTGAGACATTTACCACGATTGTTTCAAAAGCCAGTCCATCTATTCCATTAATCAAATGCGTATTTAAACGGTTCAGAACGCGAAATATACTAGCCAACTTTTTTACTGTCACTCGCGGATTTGGAACCTTTTCTAGTAGTAAAAAAAGTAACCTAATATATCGCGTTTTAAACCGTTCAAAGTGTTTTATTAAAATTTATACTACTCACGTAAACAACTGATAATACTTAGAAGTGTGTTTAAAACTTTTAAATAACAAGCGTTTGTTTGACGCTAATTGCTAACGAAAAGAAAATTCGTCTTTCCGATTTCCTTGGCATCGTTTTAATAATAGTGGATTATTTTTCTAATATCCAAACAAAGTCAAGCGCAGCCTAAGTATAGGTACTTATGCCTCCAACTACAGGGGCAAATCCAGGGTAAATATCTCATCTCATCATTAACTTTACACGTGTCGATACAAAGATCTCACATACATTCTTACTTACGAAACATATTTGTACTTATGTGTTGGTGGTTGTGCAAATTATTTGCCTTGACTATAAAATTTCCGTGCAGGCTTATACTTGCAGGACAGCTGGTGGTAGAACGCTTGATGCAATGCCACCAGCTCTTTTGACCATAGCCAGAAGTCTTCTTAAACCTATTTTGGCCAACCATCAGTATCGGGTTCCCTCTTTGGGACACTCCGTATGTGACTGAAAAAAAAAGGTATGGTTTAAAACAGTTTTTTTTTTTAATTATATGTGATTTTCATGAGCATATATTAGCTTGTATAAATAAACAAGTATTTTTAAGGAACTAATAGAATTAATTAAACAAACGGAATTTAAACACGTAACCTACTATATAATGAGCCATCACTGTACCAATTGAGATACTGAGATCTGATGTACTACTAGCTATTTTTGAACATTTATACAGTAGGTTATTTTTTTACTACTCAAAATACGTTTTTACATTTACTTTTAAATTATAAAAGTTAATTAAACTATGTATAAAATGGTTTTATAATTAAAAATCGATTTATGACATATGTTATTTATACATGAAAAACTATAATTACAGTGTCCTAAATAATCCCACAACTAAATTAATCCATGTGACAAAGAAATTTAAAAAAATACAAACATGCTAATTGATACAAAATATTTTGAACGAAAGATGTATGAATTTTAACTTAAAAAACTAAATAATAAGCTTTTTAACGAAATAGTAAAAAGTTTGTTTTAAGGCTTTTTTTCTTTTTAAACCTTTTTTTTATTCCCCCCCCCCATTTTTTTTTTTTTTTTTTTAAAAACTTTTTTTTTTTTTTTTTTAAAATTTTTTCTTCAAGGGGGTTCCTCCCACAAAAAAAACCCGGCCCCAAAAAATTTTTTTTTTTTTTTCCCCCCGGGGTACCACCCGGGGGGGGGCCCCCCCGGGGGCCCCCCCCCCCCCCCCCCCCCACCCCCCCCCCCCCCCCCCCTTTTTTTTTGAAAAAAGGGGGGGAAGAAAAATTTTTTTTTTTTTTTTTTTTTTTTTTTTTTTTTTTGGGGGTTTTTTTTCCCCCCCCCCCCCAAAAAGGGGCCCCCCTTTTTTTTTGAACTCACATAGCGTTATATCTAGGTAGATTGCGATTTGTAATCATTTTTTAAGTTTGGTTTTATTGTCATTATTGCTTATGAGGTATATGATAACCATTGGTTTTTAAGATATGATTATCGTAAGTTATGATTGAAGCCTTGCACCCCGATGTCTTTCCGCTGCACATCCACAAAATCCTTGGACCGCGGCTGCGGTTGTTTCTGTGGTAACGGTATCCCTCGTACATTAGAACTGGGTTGCCTTTGCGACTCACCGCGTACGAAATTTCTGAAAAAAAACAAACCCTTGATTAATTAATAATTCTGTAGTTCACTCGAGTAGTATAAAAATAGTAGTTCAATGACCCGAATATCGAACATTTTTACGGCAGTGGTCTTATAAAAAATATATTCTGCTCTTAATAAATAAAAGTATTGTTACATATATAGTGTTCTACCAAGTTTCATTTTTGCACGTTTTGTACAAAAGGCGATATCATAGTATACTTGACAAGATCGTAATATTTATTTAGTTTTTAGAGAATATTAAAAGCCACGAATAAATACGATGTTTAACTGTTTATAGTAATGTAATATAAAAAATACTATAGAAGTAGAGGTAAGGTACAATATACACAAAAACCTGTAGAGGATTTATAATTTATTTAAAAATATCACAATACAATGTACAATTAATACAAGATCTACAAATTTCATATGACTACTTGATAAGTCCAATAATGCCGAGATAAATAAATAATTCCTATCAAATGCAAGAGACAAAGGCACATACATCAGGCCCAAATACAGGCCACAAAATGGACAGTGAAGTTGAAAAGTAAGTTTACAATAAAAGAAAGGCATTGACTGACTATATACGATATTCTTTTTTTGGAGATTCTTCACGAACAATATGAAAAAAAAAATAGTTTATTGTTTAACGATGGATTAGCTACCTAATGGTTGTGATCAGTTCTACGCTTAATAATAACATCCTCGAAGGTCGTAATCGAAGCCTTACAACCAAGACTAGACCGTGAGCAAGTCCAAAGCGTTCGTGGTCCGTGGCTTCTGTTATTTTTGTGATATCTATACAATCCGACCTGCAACGCTCTCTTTCCGTAACGTGTTGTTGTGTAGTACATTGAATCTAAATAAAAGTATAGTCGAGTGAAAAAGGTGATTGAATTATAAAAACCTTAAAAGTTGTTAAAACCCTATTTAAAACATCAAGCTTAGTCCCTGGAAACATGTCTGCTTCTTAAAAATTGGATTTATTTAAATAAAACACTTTAATGGTCTAAAACGCGATAAATTAGTTAAACTTATTTGAAAATGATTTTTAACTTCGGCCCGACGTTACTACTCGCGTAAACTATAGACAGTATCTAATTGGGTTTATGATAATAATTAATTACCTTAAAAATGTATTTAGAAAATGAAGTTGCCTGAAGGAGCTGTGATAAATGAAAGTACTAGATTACTTTAAAAATATTTGTACGGTGTTAAAAAAAAATTAAAGCATACTCAATACGTTTAATAAATTATTGACATATAACAATTCTACGGAATATCCTGCTACGGACTGTAGCAGAGCTACGAAATATTGTAGTACCGCTACGACTACAATGTAGCACCTCTTATACACACACCTCTACACCGTGTAAATAGCAATTAACACGTTTTAGGAATTTCAAAGTCCATCGTGCGAGTGTTGATTTTTTACATACACTAGCGTCTGACCGGAAACAATGGCAGCTGCACGACAGCCGAATTTTCTCTTACTACAGAACCAGGTCGCTTTCAAACCGGTGCTCCGATTATTCTTGTAAAATTTATGACCACTAACGATAAGTGCTTGCCCTCCATACCTTGTTGTGATAAAAGATGCTGTAGGTTCTAAAACAAAAAGAAATAAACTACCTTATCTCTCAAAGCTATGAAACACAGCCATCTCGAATATAACGTAAGTGACTATTTAAATAAAAATTTTTCATCAATCAATCAAGCCCAGTTAAATCTTATGAAAAATATAAAACAAATATTACTTAAACGGACAGTACTGATGGTAATATATAAAAAAAAAATATAATTAAACGCTTCGTCGTGAACGTAAGCTAATGTTAAATATAATTCAAAACAAACATCAGGACAATTTTAAAACAATTCATTTTTCTTGATTAAAAAAATATATATTTAAACGTGGAGGGGAAAAATTATATGTCTCCTATAGGGTAAGAACCGATTTATTCGATGTATAAAACAGATACATACATATCTTGTTATTTTTAATGAATAATAATGTACACTTAATCTCAAATAATTTTAATGAAGATTTTCGCCGTTAATCCTATCAATTTTGGGCTTAAGATGATATAAAACATACATGTAATTAAAATACTTTAACGGTTTAAAACACGATATATTTTATTTAAACTTGTTTGTACATTATTTTTAACTACGGCCCGACGTTTCGGATGCGTCCGCAGCAACAACGCCCGCCTACCTACCATATGTGAAGGGAGTTACAGATAGAATTAGCAGAGTCCTAAACCCAGAATCAAAAATAGTCAGAGGAGAGTCGATTTTTTTCAAGATTAATACGCGAAAAATATTTTAATTTATTATATTTTACTTAATAATTATTAAAACATGCGGTCTGGAGTAAGTTAATTGTAAGCTAACAACTAAAAACAATTAATTTCTTCAATGGTTGTGTTGGTTCTTTATGCTCACTATTTCGTCTTCAAACGTGATGACCGACGCGCGACACTTGCATCGCGCCGACCATCTTGTGCACACCCACTGATGACTGCATTTCCCCTTAAACAGTCTTTTGTTATATCGGTATCCACCAAGTAGCATAACCGGATTGCCAAACTTCGTCGTTGTTATTACTGGTCTTAACGCACGCACTAGAAACGGTAAGTATTTTATGTAACAATATATTTTTCCCGATAAAGAAATGTACATACAAAAAAAGCAGAAAAACTAATATCTATTTTTTTTTATTGTGTAAGGCTTTCACGGCCATCGTTCAGCATATCATTGTTTTTCGGGCTGTTCGGCCGACGTGAAAGACAAGGGGTTCTCGACGTTCCGCCATCGCGAGCTCCTCGATTACTGGAAGAAATTGATGGCGATGGCAAAACGTTGAGAACCTTGTCACGCTCACGTCGGTCGAACAGCCCGAGAAACAATCATATGCTGAACGATGGGCGTGAAAGCCTTACAAAATTTATTGAATAGAAATATGTTGGACCCGGTGGGGATTATACATATGACCCGTTGATAAATTCACTAGCTAACGAAGTATTTTCGCAAGAAACATGTCTTACAGACGCCTGCGAAGATACTTTTTAACAGTCAAAGAGAATATACTTCTTTTTAGTTATAATATGCTGTTTTTTAATTACTAATTTTCACAAATTAAATACATATATACAGAAAGTAAGGGAATTGTGCTTAATATTGTTTCCCTTATAATCAACTACCAAGTGTTTGTCAAATGAAAGGCATTTGCTGAAATTCGAATGTAGCCAGAAATCATAAAAAACAGTTGGAAATATAAAATGATTTCTACTTAAACTGTTATATGATGTTTATTTTAATTTTAATACGCGTATCTATCCACTTGTTTTATTAGTGTGTGTGTTTGTCTTGGTATTTGACTATCACATTGTCAATGGTGTATACACAGCTCCTACATCCGCGTCTCCACCGCGAGCAACGCCACAGCTTCTTCAATCGGTCTCCCATGTTGACATAATTGAATCGACTATTTCCAAAAATCAGAACTGGTTGTCCGAACCTCGATACCGAAAATAATAGATCTAAAAATTAATTAAAATGAACATTCACGACCTTCTAATATTAATCAATATTTACTTCGTAGTCATCCAGTAGTAGAAACTATAGCATAAAATTAAAAAAAAAAGACAGAAATAGAATCGGTAACACAAATTTATTATACATATTATATTTTTAAAAAACCTTAAAAAATAATAAGTTATAACTCTTCGTCTTATACATTTTGCAGCGTTCGTTCTATCTGCAAGAGCGCCAGTAATTCTTTAATAATTTCAACTCCGAACCGTGTTGAATCATGCAAATATCAAATAGTCCGGATGCTCCAGGAAACGATCAACACTTACATTGAAGGCAAATATTTTGTAACTTTTTACTTTTGTTGCAGTATAGTCTATCTACGGCCACATAGACTAGTTATTAATAAGAAGTATTTTTATTATGCCATATGTTTGCCGCCCCTGGTTAGTTCATTTAATGATGATTTAACTACTATGATTATGCTTATCTTTGTACTTGATAATTTTGTTATCAATCGTGTATATAACGCTTCTGCAACCTTTACTCCATTGATCGCATCGCCACAACTTCTTCCATTTATCATCGCCCAAATTTTGATAGTTAAAACGATGATGTCCAAGAATTAAAACTGGCTTCCCGGCTCGAGAGTGTCCGAACAGTGGATCTGAAAGAAAGGTTTATGTTTTTATTTAAATAAGTTTTCGCTCAAATTACGTTACATTATTAATAAATTAACTGCGTCGATTGTTTAACGATATCACACAGCTTACAGAAAAAATAAAAAATAAAAACAACTTAGTTTATTGTTTAGTTGGTAAGTTATTGAATATCGGATGGCACGATATTAAATTAACACTGTAACTAAACTATGTTTACAACATATATGACATAGAAATGAATAAATACAAAAAACAAAAGCGAAATAGACTTGAGCTGTCCCAGAATGGAACCCATGGGAAAAAGGAAGAGAGTAAGGCAAACTGTGCGATGGGAAGACTTACCAAAAAGCCTGGCGTTCCATGGTGGAGGCCTACATCGCAGGAGACACATTTGTTACACAATTATGTGAATAAAGACTTTATTTTTTTCCAGCGTTATAAAATAAAAAAGTATGATAACTCACAATACAATTAAGAGAGTATTTTAGTCTAAAAAAAACTATGACTCGAATTGATTTTACACATGACCAACCTAACTAGTGTTCTATAGAAACTGTGTTACTGAGACGTAAGTTTTTCAAACTAAAATACGTTTTTGATCTCTTAATAATTAGAAGCTCTTTTACGATAGAAGCTCTCAATACTCAAATCATATACAAATCTCAATGCGAATGGGAGTCTTGTACCCGGACTATCTCATCCAAGATGGTCACCAGGCTCGCTCTACAACCCGTCGACCATTTGCTACAGACCCATTGAGCGCGGGGGCCTTTCCGGTTCGAGACCTGGTTGTAACGATAACCGTTCAGTAAAATAACCGGTCTGCCATATCTCGACTTTGTGAATTCAGGACCTATACGAATCGAGGTATTAGTTATAAAGTTCTAGTTATATAACATTCATAAATCAGATAGCTTTAAATATAATGTAGTTAATAACTTTGATTATATACGTAATAATATTAGTAGTGCCATAATAACAATAGTAGTGTATCTTAAAAGTATCATGAAAGGACCTTAATATGTAATTGTATTCTCCAGAGTCTTCGTGATTTATCGTAGAAAGCATAATAGTTTTTTATTATTTGAAATGCGAAATTTATTTATTTAGTTCAATTTAATATATATATGCACTGTTATAACAAATGGCATCCAATGCGACAGAGATCATAAATAAATCAGCGATTTATTGAGTCGTTAACTCATTTGCAAGAAAAGTGTGGTTTTTAATGAAATGCATTTTCTTTTTTTTCATAGACGTGTAGTTATTTAATAATAGAGGAGAACAGACAAGCATAGGTTTGATGAAAGGTAAAACATCCCAGCCACATAACATCTTAGCAAGATGTCGATCTATTTTGGCTTTGGATATTTGGAAATACGGTGGGGATTAAACATACGACTCGTTGTTCATTAGCCATACCACGCTATCATTCGACTAGTGAACCTGTTTTTGAAAACAACATAAATTATATATTTACTTAAATAAACTCCATTTTATTAGATATTTCTACGGTGAGGTATTTTTACGTGTGATTATGTACACCTTTACAAGTAATAATCTGTTTTTCATAAGTCATGATTGAAGCGCGACATTTTGCATTTTTCTTGCAGACCCAGAGACATTTTGAGCTGGATTTGTACGCAGTATGCCTGTAGTATCTAAAGGTTCCGACTTGAAGAACAACAGTTCCTCTTGCCGACTGCATAAACATGGCATCTGCAATAAACGTAAGCGTAATTATTCTTTAACACAGTCGGTCAGTTATGTGTAAACTTTTGAGTAAAAATTCAGATGTTTAAGAATTCTTCCTATTTCAATCCATCATTGTTGTTTAGTTGTAGTAGTTGTTTAAACATATTTCTCATCAAAGTATTATTTCATAATAAGAAAACTTCATAATAAATTAAATGAACTTATAATTACTAAAGTAGTAAAGAAGTAAATAAATTTATTCCTGTTTTTAATAGTAATTAATTAACCGTACGTTTTTTTTTTGTTAAAGCATACCATAGATAAGTTAAAAATGTATGTTCGATTAAAAAAATAATCAATACCTTATAATATTCGACACTAGATTTGTAAATAGATATCTCATTACTTTAAATGAAAAATTAATAATGTTTCAGAGCTATATTTTTGAGACGCTAGTTATGATTATGCTGTTTTCGTATATCGATTATGTCATCTCCGCACGCTTTAATACACGCTCTGCAACCATTCGTCCATTTTGCACAAATAAACAGACACGTAGGACTTCCCTCTTTGTAACCACTGTGTCTGTGAAACTTGTACTTGCCTTTTATAATCATGGGCTTTCCAAATCTGGTTTTAGTGTAGTAAGCTGTATCTGTAACGTGAACAAGATCAGTAGCTATTTATATGTACTATTCTAGGACGTAGTCAGACTACCCGGTACAAAAGACTTCAACGCGCACAACGCTCTCTCATCAACTTAGGAAAACGCCTTTCCTTTATATATTTGTGCTGTTATAATCAATTAAAATGTTTATATTGCATATAATGTTATTGGATTAAAGTTAAAAACTGTAATACTTCTGTAAATTTTATTATTAGTATTTATGTTACGTAAACATACAATTTTGTGGAATGGAGTGGGAGTAAATTACTATTCCTAATGACTAGATATAATATAAAACACATAGTATACATTACATACATAGACATTCATATTTTCAGCATTTTAAATAGACGTAGAGCCTCCATCAATTAATATAAATAGTAAGACAAACAATGGACTTTTGGAAGGAAGTTTGGCTACTCGTCGTGCACCAAATATATTCTTGATAAATTATGAAAACCGGTATTTTCCAGAACCAAAAATTCGACGATAAGGTTTAGTTACTACAAGCATTTGACGAACGACAACAAAACGGTTCACAATGATAGTACATTTTATTATGATACACATATAGTGTATACTTTCCTATATTAATATTACTGAGAGAAATAGACAATAATATTTTTTTATTACAGTACAAAATCATCCAGCTCAATGATTATGCTCCTTCTTAACTTCAATTAACTTGTTATTCTTCGTGATAATTTGAGATTTGCATTTACGCGTGTATCTTGAGCAGCGCCACGTAACTTCTAACCCGTTTATGGTTTTGCGCCAGTACTTGTTGCCCTTGTACAAAACCGAGTACTTGCCTCTCAACGTTGTTACGAAAATGAGATCTGTTACAGATGAATATACATTATAATCGTATCGAAATACGCTGTAAACATTTAGTTAGTATTATGAAAGAGATATAAAAAAAAATGTGCTTGGAATTGCATCCCCTATTTATTCTAAATTTAACATGTTTTTGAATGAATGCATGTGTTTGGTGGCATCGTGTGTCGCCCGTTTTTCATAGAATTTCCTAAACATATCGCCACATGGACCATAGACGTAATGCTTTTTCAGTTTGGAACATGTGATAGTAAAGTTATCAATTTAGTTTTATTTTAAGAAGGATAATCTTTAATTGTATGTTAATAATTGTTCCAATATTAAAAACAAAACATATTTAATTAAATATTTATTGTAAATGCTATTAAATACTATACATTTTTTCACTAGATATGACTCTTAGAATTACTCTTTGTACCTCGTAAATAATACCATGTTTGAATATGTATCATTTTCACACGATTCAATAAATAGGGAAAGTTTTTTTTTAATATTGCTAGACAATGGACATAGATCACAGCAATATCTAGCAGCTATCCACTCAGTCGTTTCTTTGCATAGCCCGTGAGTAATATATATTTATATTTGTCTAGAACAGGTAATATAAATAATAATTTAATACTGAATTGTTTACTTTTACTCTCCCATAACAAGTATTCCTTCTCCAAAGGGAATATCTAGTAAATTTTAAACAGATTTCATTGACTACAAAATTCATGTTAAGAGTAATTTTTAATAGTAAATTTAAATTTACGACGTTTTAGAAGCCACGTGATATCTAAATAATAAAAGTACGCCTAGCCATAAAAATATAGGTAACGAAATAATGACTCATAATAAATATCAATAATAAATATTTGTGATTTTTGTGGCAGACCAACTTTTGTATCATTTCCAATAAGGATTTTGATCAAAAGCAAGACTGTGATAATCCTCCTGTATATGTTTAACCATGATTTAAATTGCAACAAATACGAGGTCGTTAACATACAATAATTTATCAAAGAGATCTGACCTCGATGTAATAAACGCTGCGTTCTACTTAAAATCTGAATTACGCTTATCATATACATCCAATGACATCAATGAGAATGTTCGTTGCTAACGCGGCAAATTCTATTGCTGACTGTGTGCAAAGTGGCGCGGCAAGCTCTACTCCTGGCTTTGACGCATCGCCAGAGAAGCTTTACGCCTCTACTACCCGAATTCTTGTAGAACCGCTCGCCACCGTATTCAATCACAGGTTTTCCGAAACGTGACAGCGAGAAAGCAGCAACTGAAAAACACATTTTTAATAAAGTATAACTGGTAGAGTGAAGAAGACAAGAAAGATGAAATAACATTTTTCTTTTTTTTTATCTTGCTCTTGGTGGATTGTTTTGCTATGAGAAAATCGTAGCAACGGTTAACATAGTCCTTACATAGAATTTAAAAAAAAGCTTTAATCAAATCCACACGTGTACTTAAACCGGCTTAGAGAGAAGTTAAGTTCTTAGAACCGTAAGTTTTTAGAAGTACTTGTATTTTTGTAGATCTTTATTCACATTAATAGATACAAGAATATAATTGCAGTAAATTATAATTTGTAATAAAAGTTTCGTCAATAGTGACTCACAGTACAATTTCATTTAAGCTAATGAAAGAAGCTTTTTAGAAATCACATTATTTAATACTGATGAATTGAAGACTAAGTATAATAATCGTCGATAATATTAATTCATCTTTATGATAAATCATTAGAATAAAAATATAAAATAAAGAATTGTGTTAGTAATATCGTTAAGTTAAGCTTATAGACATAAATAAAACTCATTGTATTTTTAACTTTTATAACAGCAATACAGGCTTTGTTACTTTAAATTTATATATCAATTAAACTTCTTTGAAAATTATTATAACTACGTGACCACGACCGCTGCAAAGCATCCGAAACATCAGGCCGTAGTTAAAATACATTTCAACTAAGTTCAACTAATATTCTAGCGTTTTAAACCGTTCAAGTGTTTTATTTAAGTGTGTCCTACTCGCGTAAGCTACAGACAGTATTTAAGTAATCTAGTTTATATGAAATTAATGATTATGCGGGGTTTCTTTAATAACCTCATCGCATACAGTTATAATGGTCGCACGACAACCGTTATGCACCTTTCCACAAATCCATCGTACTCTCAACTTTCCCTGACTGCCGCTCCACATATGATAACGATAACCACCCCATTCTATCAGTGGACGCCCATGCCTCGTCGTTTTGTAGATTAGGCCTAAAACGTAATTGTTAGAAAAACATAAATATATTATAAAACAAAAATAGTTAGCAATCATTTATTTGTACATATCATATACATTTTTAGTTTGTGTTGCCATATTATATGGTTTAGGTCATTTACCCTTATCTCAAGTTCTCTAAGTGTTTTTTAAATAAACAGAATTATTAAAGAGGAAGGTTTAAATAAAAGAATAATAATTTAGAAAAAAAAACTAATATAAGTTTTGAGTTTCTAATGTATTGTCGTAAATTAAGGACGGAAGGATTTACGACGGAGCTTATTACACGATAATAATGATTAACCGTAATAATGTACTACAGTAAATACTGTCTGTAGTTTACGGGAGTAAACATTTAAACAAAACACTTTAACGCTTTAAAACGCGATATATATTAGTTAAACTTATTTTGAGACTACTATTAACTATGCCAGGATGTTCCGGGTGGTTTGCAACAGCCGTGGTCACGGGGGGACAAGATCGAGCTGTAGGTAGAATAAGTTTAAATAATATATATCGCGTGTTAAACCTTTAAAGTGTTTTATTTAAACAGTATTGGACACCTAAAAAGATCAACAAAGACGGCGGACTATCTAATGGTTGTGGACATTGTGACATTTGACCAATGTCTCGTTAAGAGTCTTTAGTTTAGCTCTACACCCCAAGTATTCCTTTACGCACACCCATCGTACGGTTGGGCCAGGGCAGCGCGAAACTCTCGAAAATCTGTATTTTCCGAACAGCGCAATAGGATTTCCATATCGGGATTCTCCGAACGTTAAACCTAAAAAGATGAATCAAGTTCAGATAAAACTTTTCATCAAAAACAGACTACAGACGGAAAATACGTAAGTGCGGTTTCCTTTTACTAATAATGTGGGAAGAAATAATGCAGACTTTATGTATAATCCGCAATGTGCACGGGAGTGTGGTTCACATTAAATAAAACATTTTAATGTTTTACTACGAAAGATAGAATAAGTACACAATTTGATTTTAAAATTTCTTATTTTCCAAAAACCAATAATTGAATTTTCTATAACCATCAACAGCGAGTCGCGGAGACCTTATTTGTTTTGAAGTTTGTATCAACCAATTATGGATTACTTAAATAAGAGATAAAGCCAAAGACTGTCTTTAGTTAACGCGAGTAGTACACATTTAAATAAAACACTTTAACGGTTTAATTTGAGAAATACTTTTTGATGATTTCATGAATTAGTTAAACCTATTTCGCCAATTACCAAATTGGACAGAACAGATGGCGCTAGCTTAGCAATTTTTGCTTTGACACCGGAGACACCCTCCATCTGCACGACCGCTACAAAGCTTTCGAAACGTCGGGCCGTAGTAAGAATCATTTCAAATAAACTAGTGTATACAATAAAACCAATACAAAAATCAGTGATTATGATAATTATAGCACTTGACCATATCTTGCTCCAAGGTTAACAACTTCGCCTTGCAACCTTTGACATCCTTAATGCACACCCATCTCCTGAAAGGTGGCCTGCCACCTGTGCCTTTTCTGAACCTGTATTCGCCGATCTGTATAACAGGGTTGCCGCTTCGAGATGTAACGAAACAATAGCCTGTGGAATATTAAATGTATTTTACTCATGGAAATTGTAACATCGCTTGCCTGGAAGAGATTACTAGTTAGCGATACCGCCGATTGCAATCTATATTTTTAGTATATGTCTTGTTTGGATTTTTTTATTTATATGCAATAAAGTGTAAAATAAATCATATTTGTAGCTTAGTTATTAGTGTGTATCTGTGGACTGTAATATCTGTGGTTTAGTTATTAGTATGTATCGGTAAAGTTAATGTCCATTGTTAAGTTAGGATAGAGATAGGTGATCTACAGTTATCTGGTCGTTTTATAGATTTATTGATGTATCAAAAACAATTCCTTTAATACCATCGTTACCTACATATTAGATAAAACGTTGCTTAAGATTTATAGCATATCTGTACTGAAAGTACAATTATAAATTGTGTGGCATAGATATGCATACAATTGGCTATTCTTTTAGTTTGTTAATGTATCCACAAGATGACCAATTAATTAACAGGGCATGATAGATTTATAGAAATGCGACATAATGTTCAAAGGAATTGGTAAGAAAAGCACATAGTAAATTACAAATCTCTTTAACTTGTTATTTTCTTATAACTATTTATAGTAAAAAAACCGAGACTATTAATGGTTCTATTATATCTAATGGTTGTGGACATTGTGACATTTGAGCAATGTCTCGTGAAGCGTCATCAATTTAGCTCTACACCCCGAGTATTCCTTAATGCACACCCATCTTACGGTTGGGCCAGGGCAGCGTGAAGCTCTCGAAAACCTGTATTTACCAATCTGCGCAACAGGATTACCATATCGGGATTGTCCGAACGTTAAAGCTAAAAAAAAATCAAGTTTATACAAAAGCAGTCGAAAAATATGAGGCCGCTAAAGGCAGAGTAGCTTAACTGCAATTTTACGTCTTGAGTTATTTATATTTTCATAGTGTAAAATGTTTATCTACATATAAGAGCACAGTGACCGGAAATTGTTAACATAATTCTTACACAAATAATTGTATAAATATATTTTTGCCTAAGTTAATTGGGCATTGTTATTTTTAGCAGCCTGTAGCAGCCTCATTTTCTCAAAGTGATTTCAAAAAAATTTGAACCAGAGCTATTCACTACAGGCGGGAAATCAGTGGAGTGAGATTTTCGTCTACCAAAAATCTTGAATAAAATAATAGAGACTATAATCACACGTTAAATAAGACACTTCTACAGTTTAAATTGGAAAATATATTTAAATAAATGTATCAGTTTTCCGAGCCACTAATGATTATGGCCCATGTTGGATTTTACAATTTCATTTTCTAACGTCGTCAGTGTTGCTCTGCAACCCGAATCACTTTTGATGCACGTCCACTTCATTACTGGTCCACGATATCGGGGATTTCTTCGGAATCTATATTTACCAATTTGTGCTACGGGATTGCCATATTTGGAAAGCACGAACGACAAAGCTGAAATGATATAGCAAGTAGGAGCAGTTTTGCAACAAAACGCTGGAACAATCCGGCTTAGTTGTGGTGCGCCACCAAAGTTTAAACTATTGAGGAATTTAAACTTAATTTTAAGAAGGTTTTGTCTTCCCAGTAAACCCGACTATGTAGCGTACTGCATGTACGACGGATGTCGTGTTTTTTTTAAATATTTTATTACGTTCTAAAATTCCTTTTTTAATTAGCACACTTTCCAGTATAATTGATTAAATTTGTGTTTATATATATATAGGATATAAATTGGATTGATTATTCCGTTTGTTGCCGCCGAGTACTAAAAACCTTCACCATCACTTTTAGGTGGTGATGCATAAGCGCGCTTTTCCCATTTAACAAGTACTTTTCTTTTGTTTGTTTGTTACCAGATAGGTATTTCTATATTGGTATTTTTCTTTATGTACAAATATACATTTATTTCACAAAGCATGCAAATAGATGGTTTGAATTTGAATTTCAAATGTATGGGCTATTGGTGAAAATACCAAATGACAAAAAAAAACACGGGCTTAAATTTATTGAAATAGGGTATTATATAACTATTGAACGCAAAAGAAATCGGGATTAGTCAATGATTGTGTTCCAAAAAAGATTTGACTATTACTTCGTCCAATATTGTTATTTTCGCCCTGCACCTTTTAGACTCGTTGGCACATACCCACCTGGTCATCGGCGGGCGACAACCGCTGGCCTTTCGGAACCTATATTTGCCTATTTCAATGACAGGAGTACCCTTTTTAGATTTGCCGACAATAAAACCTGTAAACCGAAATGTAATATTATAAAAAATACAATGTATTTCTTCTGTCAAAGTTTTCCAAGGACTAATAAAACAATTACACAGCAGCAAAACTTAACATGACGCATTGCATTTAAATAAAACTTTTTAACGGTTTTAAACGCGAAATATATTAGTTAAAATTATTTGAATTATGACTTCGGCTGCTGCAAAGTATCCGACGCGTTGGGCCAAAATTAAAAATAAGTTTAGTAATATATATATCGCGTTTTAAACCGTTAAAGTGTTTTATTTAAAAGTTTAAGAACACGCGTAGACTACAGACAGTATGACGTGTTGTAATTTCGTATATTATAACACATACGAGACTGGACCTAATATGCGTCCTATATAAGAGTAAATACATTAAACCTATAAACACACACATTTCACATTTAAGCACAATATAAATTTCACATTTCAATGTTAAAGTGATATAAATGATATACATCCCAGCTCGTCATAATAGTATGTCTATTGTAACAATTGTCGTTTTGATTGTACAAAATATATCAATAAATATAAATGTATAAAACATACCAATCATGACACAGGCGCAATAGTTAGTCATTTATCAGTTGACATCGACCTTACGATAAAATTACGAGTACTTCTTGGTTTATCGGGCTGTTAGGTGTTGTGTACAAAAAAATGGTTCTCGAGGCTTCGCCATCAAGTGTGGATGAAATGAAACTTGTGACAAATAATTTAATGGTTGTGTTCATTTGTGTACTTGACGATTGATTGTAAAATTGTCATCACTCTCGCTTTGCACCCGTACCGTTTCCTGTTGCAAATCCATCGCATTTTCACGTTATTCCTTTCGTACTCGCCGCCTTCTCTATAAAATGTGTATGGGCCTATGTGTAGCTGTGGTATTCCTCTTGTAGATATACTGATTGAGAATTCTAGAATAAAGACAATTTTATTTTAGGCATAGTTAAGTCTTGTAACTGCGGTTGTTCCGGTGTCATCATTTCCTTTATATATTAATTTACATTTAAATAAAACACTTTAACGGTTTAAAACGCGATATATTAGTAAAATTTATTTGGAAATGATTTTTAACTTCAGCCCGACGTTTCGGATGCTTTACAGCAGCGAAGTTAAGAACGAAGTTAAAAATAATTTCCAAATAAATTTAACTAATATATCGCGTTTAACCCGTTAAAGTGTTTTATTTAAATGTGTACTACTCGTGACAGACAGTATTTTATTATTTTCAGTTAGTACACTCTATAGACAGTATTTTATTAATTTACAGCTAAAAGGGGGAACAGAAATTCTTGTTTCCGGGATTTAAGTCCCAGGGAAATCGCAAAGTCATTGCTTGCAATAAAAGATACAAAATGGTAAATGTCATCTGGTCTTGCCTTTTTTTTAATCAACCGATTTTATTAAATTGTCATAAGTTCGGAATTCAAATAGTAAAATAAATTTCAATTCAAAATGTTACAATAAAAAAGAAAGTGTAAATTATATTATATATAATATTGTATATATACACGAATTATGAAAAATAATACAAAACAAGAAGTACCACTTAAAAGTTACAGAAATAAAAAAGACACATTACTTGTCATTTTTACTGATCTTCTCTTATCGACAGACTAGTGAGACATCGCCCTTTGTATCCTACCCGACTAATACAGCTAAGGCGATTGCGACAACAATAAAATCCAAAAATATAATAAATAAAAATAACAACTAAATTCAAACAAATAAATGAGATTTTTATGCGTCAAAAGCAATAAAAAAATAACCTCCTGCCAACACCATAAAATTAATGGTACTAAACAATTTTTAAAGATCAAACTTTGGAGGAAAGAAAGAGTAACAAACATCGTTTTAAAAATAGCATTGTATAATATTAGGATTTCGTGGAATGGATGGTTTTTTCTAGAGCTTTCCTTAGACAGTTGGCAAATCCTTCTAGAATTTATAACGCATTAAACAAATTATAAAAAAGTTACGTTCTGTTAAGTCACGCGGATGACTTCTGATGTGACTTGTATTTTTTTTTACCAAACAAAAAAAAAATACAAATTAATGATTGTGTTTATTATTCATAGATATTATTTCATCACCAACAGTCATAAGCGATGCTCTACATTTATTTCTTCTTAATTTGATACAGGCCCAATATCTGTTATCCCTAAACTTCGCAGCCTGTCCGCCGGTTCGATAAAATCTGTATCTACCCATCTGAATTATTGGATTCCCTCGACTCGATAAACTGAATACTGCATCTGAAATCAATAAAACATTGATTGAAAAAGTATCTTCAAGTTAAAGAAAAAAAATGAGACGGGACTAGACTTAGGATAGACGACATACCGTGCTATTGGGCATTAACAAATAAAACTTAACAAGTATGAATTTAGGGCCAATAACATTTGCTACAGGTGAAAAAATAGTAAGAAATAAAAAAAATACTTTTAGCAATACCAAAGCGGATGGACAAAACTGGCAAATCCTTCACAAATTTAAACACTGACGATCGACAATGTGAAAACACATTATTATTCAATTTAACATATTTTTTTGTATATATATTATTATTATTATATAAAAACACACTTAATGTTCATCTATCCTTTTCTTGGCATAATTTTATTAAATTTATTCTATCCTTTCTTACCTTCTCAAAGTGGTGCAACCTGAAAATTTGTCAACACTAAGTACACTACAAATAGCACCAACCAAATTTTTTAATAAATTTAATAAGTAATAGCTATCTGCACTGAAACATTGTATCATGTTTCTCGAGAACCAGGCCAGATCAGACTAGACAAAGCTTTACCAGGCATCATTTAAGGCAAATAAAACAAAGAAACGAGAAACATACACTTTATTATCTCTGATTAGTACTTTACTATAATGCTATAACATTAATAATAAATAACAGTAAAAACTAACCTTATAAAGTTTTGAACATAAAAATACATCACATATACAAATTAGACTAGTAGACGAAAATAAAACTATTACTTAAATCGAGCGAGATCATTTTAAGGACATGGTTAATAATACCTATATTTGTATAAATATTTTCAATGGCATATAAAACAATTTTGTCTTCAGTATATTACGAAACTTGCTATGCCTTTTATTATGAAAAATATAAAGCATAAAGTTGCTCCACTATTATATTGTATAATAACATTATAATCAATAATACTTGCTAATTTAATCTGTACGTAAAAGTAAAATTTACTAAACCTGAATAACTTAAGAATTCATATTGAGGTTTCTTTAGAATATTTAAAGCGTAAGTTGCTTAACTGAAAAATCTTATAAGTTGAATCCACTGGAAATTGTTACTATTGGAACAGCTGAATGTTTTTTTGTTACTTTAGATATTAATCTATAATTTGACGATATTGTTTGTATTTATTCACTTAGAATATACACTTTAAAATATAAAAATTACATCCCTATAACACGACTAACTATTACAAATTTTGTGATACCTAATCTAAATACTGTCTATAGTTTACGCGAGTAGTACACATTTAAATAAAACACTTTAACGGTTTAAAAAGTAAAACTTATTTGGAAATGAGACTGTCTCCCCGTGACCGCGGCTGCTGCAAAGCATCCGAAACGTCGGGCCGAAGTTAAAACTCATTTCCAAATAAGTTTAACTAATATATCGCGTTTTAAACCGTTAAAGTGTTTTATTTAAATACCTAATCTAATTTACTGAATTTTATAATTTGTGCCTGTGATAACTGTAATGTAACTCAAAATCCTACAACGCGTTGCACAGCATGGCGTTAAGAACAAATACAGAATATCATTTTGTTCAAGCGGACTAGTCAGAATAAACAAACTAGCGAGTTTTTCTCTTATTACGTTGTGTCCCTTCCATCATAGTGAGTGTTTAACCTTATTATACAAGTACAAATCACGAATGGGAATGAATGTTCCTGCTTTTGACGATAATGTTATCAACAGTATTGAAAGTTGCTCTACAACCGTTCTGGTTCTTAACACAGATCCATCTCACGTGAGATCCTCTGCTATAGCTCCACTTGTTGAATCGATGCTTGCCTACAACGAGGACAGGATTGCCGAAACGTGTCGTTTCAAAATGCGCTGAAATTATATACTTGTTAGTGAGGGTCCCTTTAGATTGAGTAAATGTGGAAAACAATTCCTGATTGATAGATATATGACGAACGAACAGACAAAACCGCTGAAAAGTTTGATAATATTTTAATTGCAATTGTAGTTATTTAGTGTACTAATGTTTTAATATTTGTATATATTCTTCATTTTCTATTAAAGTTTTGGATTTGAAATTGTTATAAGAAGAAATTCAAAAAACCTTAATGTGAAGACGATTAATTATTAATACTCAAACAAAGCATACCTGTCATAAAAGGTAATATGGTTGATAACTTTTTATTTAAACCTTAACATGCCAATAACTCCTGAAATTAAGCAACACGTGAACTTGTTGTTTAACTTGAAATGGTAATAATAAAACATAAATTCAATGAGCGCAAGACACGATCTTTAATCTAACGGACACAGCGAAAAAGATACTTGGTGGAAGATTAAACATTATTATTATTCAGTATATATACAGTCTCCCCGTGACCACGGCTGCTGCAAAGCATCCGAAACGTCGGGCCGAAGTTAAAAATCATTTTCAAAAAAGTTTAACTAATATATCGCGTTTTAAACCGTTAAAGTGTTTTATTTAAATTATTATTATTGTTGATAATTCATTAATTTAATAATAAATGTGATAATTCTTCAGTTGTCAATTAATAGAAATAGATGAAGAATAAAGTTTGTGTTAAAAAGTGTGGGGCATATATATATACATTTAGGCCTCTACTGTTGTTTGTCAAGAATTATCGTAGTTCTGCATGAGTTTTACAAGTACAAAGCAGGTTTTTTTTCGCGCGCAGTATACCATATGTTAAATATAATTGTTATGGTAACATTATAAATGGTCAGACCGATGGAGATCACTGGCTGACATTAACATTAACGCTACCTTCTACTAGTTCCATTGTTCTCATGGTGACATTTCGATGCGATTACCAATTGGCATCCTTGTGCTCATGAGAACCTTTAATACAGACGATTTTATTGTCAACAATAACGACACTGGCCTTGCAGCCGAAAGACTTCTTTGTGCAGACCCAGATGTGTCTATTCCCTTTGTTTTGCCGCTGACAGCCGTAGCGAAACCCGTTCAAGCACAACACTTTTCTACCATTCCGGGACGGTGTGAAATATACCTCCGCATCTGTAATTGGATAAAAGATATTTTTAAAATATAGGACTAAACTATTAGAAAACATAACGATACGAGTTTTGCAGAAAATTCAAGAAATATTTTACAAAAACATAATGTTGTTTTACGACGTAGGTTTCAAAATAATAGAAATATTTAAAAACGTAAGATTTTTGTAATTTAAAACTACATTGCTTATTCAGTTGTCTTACATTAGTCATTTATCTTCCACCACCAGAAGGAAATTAGAAAAAAATATAGAAAACACACATATTTCAATGTTACTTTGACAATCATTTAATTCAAATTCTGGTGCTAATGAGAAAAAAGTTTTGAGTGTCAATCTGTATATGGAAGTTAATAAAATCGAGTAAAGGGTAAACATGGTTGTAGTTTACGCAAGTGGACACATCAAGTAAAACACTTTCAACCGTTCAAAACAAAAAATATCTAAGTAAAGTGTAACTGCTACCCGACGTTTTGGACGCTGAAAAGCATCTCAACTTCTATATTTTGTGTTAAAAGTAAAGGCAAAAACTGTTAAAAGTGCTTTACTTAACACAAAGAATTCCAAAGTACGATAAGCTAAACGACATTGAAACATACGTTTAACATATTTTTTGTTATAGGCTCCCTAAAATTAGTGATTTAAAAATTAAAATGATATTAATATTTGCTTTCAACGGTATTTACCTTGGGGTAATCTTTATAACAATAAATATAAAATATCAAATACTAAGGTTTTTCTTTATTTTGGAACAAATATACATAACTTATACAAATTAAAATGTTAATTAAATTTATTCAGAACTGACTTATACCTAATAAATTGTGTAAGGCTTTCACGGCCATCGTTCAGCATATCATTGTTTTTCGGTCTGTTCGGCCGACGTAAGCGAGAAGACGTTCTCTACGTTTCGCCATAACGAGGGGAGGCATCATCAGATGTTAGAAATGTCGAGAACCTCTTCTCGCTTACGTCGGCGGAACAGACTGAAAAACAATGATTTGCTGAATTATACTTGTTAAGTTTCCTGTAAGCCTTGACCTTCCTTTTAAAATTTTAAACAAAGCCTCATAATAAACGAACATTCAGAAGAACCTGAATCAACCAAACCGCCATTTTGCTCGGTGAAATATACATTTTATAAGAACTATGATTACTTTGCTAGCAAAATATTGCTGAATATTTGAGGCGCTATAAACATTCAATAAAATTTGATTAAAAATAAAATAGTCAAGATGTTACATATAGCTAAAATTAACGAATTATAAAAAAAAACTGATTGAAACATTATTTACATGTTATTGCACATGATCGCTTTATATATAAATTAAAAAGTTAAAGTTTTACGCGTCATCACTGTATATGTATATGTATGTCCAATAGTTAAGAGTTAAGTTTGAAAATAGGTACCTACTTTGGGCAAGATGTGCATGTATAAATGGATTAAGCAAATTTAATAATACAGTGTGTGAAACGGTAGGTTAGAGCAACATGTCATAAAATTCGAACCAATGTTTTATTTAAATATACATATAAGATTTTTTATATACAAACTAAGTATCGAAATATCAATTTCCCTTAATAAAATCGACGTTCTTCTGTAAATAAATGAGAAACAGCACCGATAGCTATCAAAAGTACCCACAAAATGTAATTTGGTTTGTTACCGTTTTTGTAAAAATATTAAACGCTTTTTAATGTCCGAGTATTATCACAGTTTCTTAACGTTAAGTTGTAAAGAATGCATAAAACAAATATGTTACTGATTCTTCTAAACGCAAAAATTACACTAGCCTATTGTTATATACTCTCAATATCTTGTTGCTTTATATTTGATTGTACAAACTACAGTAGAACTTTATCTTTACTTCAACCTTCGAAAACTTCAATCTTTAATTAAATATAACATAACGTATTTTCAGCCACACCATATTTAACGAACTAAGTAGACGTAAATTTTATAAATAAAGTAACTTAAAAATGGAGCCTTCAAAATATAAATAACAGATTTATTGACACCGGTTTATTAATACATTAAATTAACATTTTACAAAATAGAAATTGTCATTTTTAATTACGTAGAAAATTGACGTTCATAATATTAGAATCAGTCCCTCCATTTTCACTTTATCGTAATAGAAAAACTAAAGACAAAACTGCCTCCGACCTGATGCAGAGTAGATTGTTACGAGCATACGGGTATCGCTCCACAATATGCGCAAGCGCAACTGCTGATTTCATTAGTCGAATAACAAATAACATTCGTATATTTGTTTGTAAGGTACAAATCACTTCAACACTAAATAGCTTAAAACCTATTTGCTGTGGTATGCGCCACCGGATCGTGAAAGCCCCACACCCGAACGATAGCATTGTCCATCGTATGTAATGACGCTCTGCAGCCAGACTTAGCTTTTACACAAACCCACCGAGTGCGGTCTCCATACTTGTTCACTCTGTTAAATCTATACCGACCGATCATTATGACTGGATTTCCTCTTTGAGAACGAGCGAACACCGGGTTCAGATCTGTAAGAAGCGGTAAGTTAATATACACATCTCAACATAATTAAAACAATATGAGGTGATTTTGCGATATTTCAAAAAACTTTGCAATACTTTAATATACCTTTAGACTGAAAAGAAATATATCAACGAATACTCAAAATACTAAGAAAATTTATAAATTGACTTTTCAAACGTAAACAGTTCAAAGAGTGATAGATTGTAATTGAAAGTGATTTAAAATAAAGTTTTAATTATACATTTCTTGCAAGCAAAACTTTATTAAAAGTAAATCATTTTATTATCTAATAATAATAATAACAGATTTGAAACCTAAGGCTATCTAAAAGATATTTTAACAGTGTGCAATTACGTCTATCGAACTAATATTAGTAATACTTTATAGGTTATGTACTACATGGAATGTCGAATAACCTAATTACTTACTCAAATCATTAATGGAAGAGTTATTATAAAAATAAGGAAGGCCTTTTAAAAACAATAAAAACTGAATCAAATTTATTAATTTGTTAACCCTTACGATGCAAATAAAACACAATAGTTTAGCTGTCTTCGGCGCAAAGTAAGAGAATGTCACTAGAAAAAAATAGCAGGGCGTTATAGAATTCATATCATTTCATTCATATCATTCTAATGAATGTCAAAATAAAATGGCGATTTAATAATAATCGATAACAATTTTTGTAGAAGAGAAAAAGATTTTCCTGGGGCGTGAAAGGGTTAATTTTACAAAACCTAAATTAAAAAATAAACCTCTTGAATAAAAAAATAAAGAAGCTTAAAGCTTCTTTATTGTTTTATTCATAGAGCCTATTAGATAACGAGATAAAATGTGTCATACATAATATCAAAAGAAAGTGTGCAGAGAAGCAGATGTCTGTTCTACTGACAAGGCGATTTTATTTACAGGCCCTGTAATCTCTTGGGCATAGTTAACAAGACTATAATTATTATCTCATCGAACTCAGGACCATAATACTAATGATTGTGAGCGCCAAGGGTCTTGACGATAACATTATCTACAGTGGTTATGGCGGCATTACAGCCTGACTTCTTCTTGATACAAGTCCATCGAACCTTGGAACCCCAGCAGGCATGCTTATTGAACCGCCATTCGCCAATCTGAACCACCAGGTTGCCTCGTTGAGATAAACCGAATTTAGGTTCTGAAAATACAGTCATAATGTAATTAAAGTACATAAACTATAAAAATTGAATAACGAAAAAAAAATCTCCGGGCGGGCGATAAAGTTTAACCCCACATCTCTAAAAGATCTATGTAAAAGTATCTATTTAAGTCGTGTCTGCAGCTATTCGATTAGTAAACATTTAAATAAAACACATTTAAGGGTTTAAAACCGAAATGTTTTAATCATCATGCCACCATGGCTGCTGCAGAGTCTGCCACTTCTGGCCGTAGTTAAAATAAATTGTAAGAAAGATAACTAATACATTTCGCGTATAAGACTGTAAAAATACTAATTTTAACTCTATATTTTTTAAACGTCTTTTAGTAATAAAAACACAAATCGCAGAAAAACATGAATTCTTTATTTCAAATGCAACTCTTACACTTCGATATTTGTAATTGCTTCATAATTTTATTGGAAGAATTAAATTACTATTAATCATTTTATGAAACCTTAATACGAATTTTTCTTCTAAAATACCTTACACAAACATTGGAATGCTATCGAAAATCCATTCGATATTTAAAAAGGAATTGTAGCAGAGTCTACGAGTATGCTACGAACAGATAACGCGCTACGATTACTACATATATATATATAGCTATGACAAACACTTCCTTATTTATAAATATTAATGATATATTAATGTAGTCGTTGCTTCCCCAAAAGTCAGCTTTTGTAGAGGAAAGACTACACGTTAAATAATCATAATTATCAATTACTACACTTCTATAAGTGAAACGATTAACGCTAATATATTTACTAATTTTTACAATAGAATTTTTAAATTGAAAAATGTGCAAATTTCTTACAAAACTTTATTATTATCGTCGTGGCTTTTCTACGTTGGCATTCTAAAAATAACCCCTTTATGTTAGGGTACACATCGACTCGATGGAATTTTTTTCTACAGGACACGAGCTGAATTGGTTAGATCAACAGCACGAAACGCTATTAATGCCGGTATAAGTCCTGTCCGTATCGCATTTTTTTTAATTAATAATCGATTTTTAGTGACTCAATCATATACCCGGTTTAGAGGCCCTGTAGACTTATTTTGGCTTTACGGCTTAGAAAAGCACCACAGGTTGTCAGCCTTTGTAATCTCGGAAATTATACTTACACACAATAGATTATAAATCTATTGTGTTGTAGCGCCAACTAATTATACAAAAAAACAATCCGTCACACAATGTTAAGGTAATCTTTTATTTTTTATGTTTTGTGATTTATCCGCTACCACAAGCTAATGAAATCTATAAGTTTCTAATGATTATGCCACCCGTTGAGTTTGACAAGTCTGCTGTCGATCGTCACAGCCACACATCTGCACCCGTTGCTTTTCCGGGCACTGCACTCCCACCACGTTTTGAATCGTCGGGACAACTTCTTCGTGAACTTGTAATTCCCCCAGCTGATCGTGGGGTTACCATATTTGGTAGTCTCGAATTTGATTGCATCAACTCTGTCGACCACTAAAAAATATAACGATTAATACAAATAATAATAAAAAATATCTAAGCTTACTATTAAATATTTTCTATTAAAATTATTGCAAGACTAACATCGATATAAGCCAAAGCTGTGTGAATAAAACACATCTTTTCTCATTTCGCAACAAAAACACACAGCGTTATAGGACAAGAACTTTTCACATTAAATAAAAAATCGTTTATTCTGAGGTTTTTATAAACATACTTGATTATTCAAAATCCATTGTTCGCTCAGTGTCTCTTAACAATATTTTTTGCCATAAGTTAATTTTTATTTTACTTATAATCATAGCTACATTTAATTTCTTTTTAACCCATTCACACACTTCACATTAACACAATTGACTACAAAGTAACGAAGATCTTGCAGGAATTTAAGTATTACAAAGTTTACATAGTTTAATTCACAAGTGTTAAAAGGATCAAACATTAATGTATGTAATTTCACATAGGATAAACAGTCTTTATTTATAATTGTTTTCATCAATACTTAAATAATATGATCTATAAAAATTGTTTTTGTTTTCTGTTTTGTAACTTAAAAAATCAATGGTTATGATTGTCAGTTGTGGAGAGTAACTGATCGGCATAAGTAGACGCTTTCGCTCGGCAACCACCGGGTTGTCTGCAGCAGCGCCATCTGTATATATTTCCTTCGCTCACGCTTTTCACGCAAAATCTGTAGTTCCCTATGCACAATAGAGGCTTGCCTCTGCTAGTTTTGGAAAAGCTTAACTTCCCTAAAAAATAATCAAGTTTTAATTTCGATCTATGAACGATTTACATAGATAGTCGAGGGAGTTAAATAAACATACTTTTATTTGCAATGTCGTAATTATATACCTGCCGTCATAAATATAATACTTATTATTTTTGTTAAACATGATTATCCGCCACTGTTATAAATGGTAGGTCTTGGTTTAATATTTTTTTTTTATTAATGTCCTTTTTTGGAGTTGGTCTTAGGCATTAAGAATTCTCACTCGACGTCTTATAAACTAGTAATAAGGATATGATTCCACGACTTAAAATATTATCTATCTATATATCTATATATCTTACTACTACATCAGCACGATTTCTATTAGATCCCTTCGGAACCACAGAAACAAAAATATTTAACAGTAGAAAGAAACACCAAGAAATTCAAGCAAAATTTAATAAGAAGCAGTCTATACTTTTTAATAAAACAATAAATATATACAACTCATAAAAATAACACGTAAGTATAAAAACTATTCCATACAATGAATATAAGGCTCATTATAAAGTTATCACCAAATTACGTATCGTTGATATCACTATCCGCTATGCCTAGTATTACAGCGTCGCTTTTCGAGTTACAATATAAAATTTAGAGATCATTAAATTAGTTAACTTCAACACGGGATGTTAAAATTTTAACAAATCGATAACCATTTCATGGTGAACCGACTTCTAATCCTTTTTGTCTTCCGAGGGTGCTCGATTCCAGAGATCGATTTTGGGTGATATCCTTGGGTAGTTCATGGCGTGCAGAGCTAGGGACGCCGCCCTCGGGGACGTTAGGGGTGAGGGGAGAACGGCAGCTGCGACAGCTGGGACGGGCAGGGCGACATGAGACCTGGGTCGGAGCTGAACAAATGCCCCGTTGCCGCAGCGCGCGTGCGACGGTGGCGCGTGGTTATGCGCATCTGAAGACGCCACTAACTTCCCAGATATGAGTCTAACTCTAGCTCTACAGCCCATGTGCTTCGACGAACAATAGAAGAATCGACCACCAACTTGTGAATACGTGAAACCCCTTAAAACGAGGATATATTTCCCCTTTTCGGTCGGGATGAATTGTATATCTGTAACAGAGAGCGAATTTAGCAAGGCATTCTTTGTTTATCTAACATTAAACTTACACACTGATGAACTGAACTCTGAGCTGCTATACTTTCAGATGTAAATTTAAAACGTCAGATATTGCCTGACATATTTTGACGTATAGAAGTAAAAAAATAGAAGTAGGTGAATGATAGTTGTGTGCACACAAAGACTTATAGTAAAGAGATACATAAATGAAACACACTATATGACAATCTTTTTTATAATCACTTAACAAATTAAAATAGGTACTTACAAATAAAAAAATCAACAAACTTTTTGTTCCTTTTGTTTCTGATGTGCTCACTTCGCTTGTGTTATTATTTCGCTTTAAACAAATCGATTTAATTTTAAGCATTTCAAATGATTAAAATTACTTGGCTATTAGTCTTTGCAGACTGACTTCTTGACAGACTCGTTGGTGTCAGTTAGCAATATATGCCAAATAATCAACGGTGTCGTCGATCCGATCCCCACCAGGTCCAACATATTTCTAATCATTATATATTTTTTTAAACGTGTTTGCCTTCATCTGGATGCGAACGCAATTAATTTCACGTCAGATGAACATATCGTGAAGTTTAATTGCGTTTGGGTTTCAGTCTGTGGATGTCCGAATATCCATAGCGAAAAAGGTCGACAGCGCTTGTTATTTAGATGGTATATGGTTGGGATATTCTCCTACCATCATACGAACCCCTTGCTTCTCTGTCCGCCTCTATTATATCAAATAAAAAAGGTGAACAATTCCGCAAACCTTTTAATTATTTGCCAACCATACTGAAACTAAACCAGACAAAGAATTTCGTGCTTTGAGACAAATTCATTGCAGGTGAATACCCATTTCTGGACTCAAGCGGACAAAATGTGATACATCGAATGTAGGATTTTTTTTTAAGAATTTCTGTTTCATATCAACGGATATGCTAAAATTTTTTTACCACATATTGATAAGAAAAGCTTTATCTTCTCTTATACTTCTAATCTGTACCATATTTCATTTCGCTATTCGACGGTTTATAGTTTTCGGTATTCTACTAGTAGTTCGTACATTATTCAATGTACTGGGATGATATAACATGCTTTCTTTCTTTAAATTTACAGGTGTCGGTCGATGGGTGTGACTCGCTACCGCGTGGACTATCTGGCCATCGACCCTCTGATGGAAACGCGCCTTGCAACCTGTCCGAGCCTTCTTCGAGCAGACCCAGTGGCCTGAGTAGTTAATTTGATAGTACGTGTAACCGTTTATCATTAAGAGGTACTTTTTACGGGTCGGTATTTTTAGGACTACATCATCGCCCGTAATGTACTCTGCAAGTAAAACAATTTATTGAGTGAAGGATTAAGAAAATAGGGTAATTTATTGGTTTCTATGCCAATAGTGTCAAATTTGTATAAGCACAAGATGGTGATAAACAATAAAGAAAATATAATAATAGGGGTATAAAATAAAACAATAGTGCAATGCTTATATTTTTTTATTTAACATAATTTTTACATTAAAGTTATCTAGATTATACAAGTAAAAAATCAAACTGAATATTAAATGATTTCATCATGAAATTATTCGTTAAAATTAAATTAATAATGTCCTTAAAGTAAACTGCTTTTCTCTTTAAACTGTCAAAAACATACGTTACATCAAACCTTTTGAATAGTCTTTAATTTTTACTAAGGTTTTAAAGTTTTACAAAATAATTAGTATACCATCGAAAACGTGGTTTGATTTATGTATTGATTATTTGTGACAAGTTTCATTTGAGCTACTATTTGTATCAATAATGTAGCAGAAGTAAACTAAATTATTACATGTATAAAGAATATAAACGATACCATAATATTAACCTGTTTCTAAGATAAAAACTATAATTTAAATAACATATTCTCATGATCGTCTCAATGTTTAGCAGCAGCCACATTTCTACTCACAATTACAAAACTTAAAATGTTTTTCAATTATACAGCATTATTTAATATATATTTTTAATATTTTCAAACCAGTGACAATGTTTTTTTATAAAATTCCAAGCATAAATGAAATTATTACCGTAAGTTACTATGATTTATACATGTAGAAAACTATGTATGTAAAATGTAATAAATGTTATCGTAGTAAATGGCCATATTAAAGGTTTTAAAAATAATGCTTAAATATGTGTTAATAATATTACTTAGTTACTTAAATTATTCTTATAATATTATCCGCAAAACATTAATGTTAAATGATAATGATAAATTTGAGAAATCGAATAATTACGTACTTTAATAAGATAATTAAAATACGTAAGTAGTTTAGATAATACCTCAAGCAACATTAAAACAAATCCTTCTTCGTGAAATCTTTTTAAGATTAAGTGATGACACAAAGCTTTAAGTGTCGCTTCTAATGTGTATTCAAACATAGAAACGACAATCCTTTGATGCTAGTTTCACTTATCACGAACACGTATGTAAAAATACATCCTTCATCAATCGAGAATCGCTGTCGACCACACAATAAGCGTTGCAGACACTCCGATGTATACATCGCCACGTGACAAAGCCATACTTGTTCCTCCTTTTCAAATGGTATTTATAACCGTCGCGTACGAGCTGTCTACCTCCGCGTTTGCTTTGAATGTACTCGACTTTGGGCCGCGTCATGTACGCGGAAAGCTGTGGTTCGCAAGTCAACATTTCGTATCCTGAAAAGTGGACATTTGTTAGACGTGTACAGTACTTTAAAATCACTATACTAAGCGATTGCGCTGTAACTCTGTAAAATTATTAGAAACACTTTAAGAAAATATAAATATATATCTATATTTATATTTTCTATAATTCAAGTTCAACTTGAAATAAACATTTTCATAAAGAAGTCTTTTTATTTAAGTTTATACTATAAGATTAAAAACATATTTCCACTTTTAGGGGACGTGGTCTTATTTGAAGTAAATTTTATTATAATCGAGGTATTACAAATAAAACTACATAAACAAGTTTGCAACTCGCTGTATATAAAAGTTACATCAAAAACTATTGAAAATGCTGTGGTATATCTTATTATGGCAATGCATAATAATACCCATATTTAAGAATCAGTAGTATGATGTATATTCCCAATTCAATATATAGTTATTAAGCAGGAACTTATCTCTAATCTTTACGTTCGTAGCTAGGAACTCATTTGTTGAAAAACTCTAACATTTTGCATATGGTGGCATAATATAAATTAAAAATGGATTCTTAACTGAAAAAAATTCTCGACACGGACAATACTTGAACCGGTAACCATATCGTTCCGTGCTGTTGCTCTAACCAATTGAGCTACCGAGTCCTAAACGCAATCGTCGATTTTTTTAAAGATTTGTTTAACAAAAGGCAACACAATGTCTCGCTTAATATAAAAAAACTTAATCGATGAATCGGGATGATATTTCAAACAAAACGTATAGCTATTGTTATCAATCCAACTAACTAAGCTTTAAACTTTAAAGCTTAAAGCGACTAGGAACTGGCGTTTTAAAAACTAGTATAAACTAAATGTATGATCACAGCAACGCTTATTGGCTTAATAATGGCACTTCTGCTGATGTATTTTATAAAAAGTTTTATGCAGTAGTACCTCTGTGCCCCATTCCTTGATCGATTTCATTGGAACTAATCCTAATCATTGGAACAATGATGTAGAGCGATTACCAAGTCGTGAAACGAAAAGTCTCGTCTCATTGAAAATTTTAAACCTGAAATCAAAGGAAGAAAAATGTTATTACTCTTTAGAAGAGCATTAAAGTCGTAGTTCATTTTAGCTATTAACCTAAATTAATTCGTATGGTAATAATTTTGACTACATGTTGCTATAAATATTCAGTATAAGGGTGTATAGTATATAAAGGTGGTATGTTTAGGGAGAAGTTCGCTGTACGCATGTAGATGTAATTAATAAAAGAGGAAAGAACATATTTATATAATTTTATATTTTGTTTTAAAGTACTAGGTAAATCTTTTTATAAATACAACATTCGAGATTTATTGATCATTTTGATTTCAAAATAATAACAATGAATGTTAGATTAAAAATAAAAAGAAAACGTATTCCATAATACCTTACTTCCATATCTAGTCAATAATATTTTAAAACATTTAAAAAATAATGAGGAATGTTTTTGATTTTTTTTTTTTTTTTTATAACAATTTAAGACCTTTATTTACAGATATTTATATGTATGTACACTTTGCTATAAGACCTTATATAAATCAAGAGTTGATTGTATGTACGCTAAAAGTAAAGACATAATACATTTACACAAACAAAGGTATATAAACTGCTTTGCCGGTTCACAATTCTTTAGTTGCCATTGCAAATCTTTTCATATTTTTTAAGAACTAGTTCCTTGTAAAAATATTTCAAATCGCAACTGTTTTGTTTTTCATCGATTCGGTATTTTCAACATGGTTTTTTGTTCATCTAAGGTACTTAAGTCAAATAAATACAAGCTCCGAATCCAGACACTCAAAGCTTCTAATTTTATTCTACAAATCACAATTAAAACTAGAACCCTTAAATGTTAGCTATGGTTGTGGAATCCAAAGGTTTTCACTAAAACGTCGTCCACTGTCGTGACACTAGCAATGCAACTTTGACGTCTTTTTTTGCTGCAGACCCATCTCGTACGATTGCTGTACGCCCTCTCGCGGATAAATTGGTAACCGTTGTAAATGATCATGGGATTCCCCCGCCGAGATATTATAATGCTCATATCTAAAAATCAGAAATAATAAAAACGAATTGTAGATTTTGAAAGATTTTTTTAACACAAAGGACAACGTATAGGGTTTACTGAATGTAAATCGAACTGTCCCAGCCCCATAGCTCTAAATTATACATATTATGATTTTTTTGATATAACAAACATCTGAAAACAGTTATTCATTAATCGTATAGATTTCAAAACTACCTTTCAAAGACTAGCAGCGCCATCTATTACCGAGCTACAGCGTCTTATGCAACGTGTATACTGAAAATTCATGGAAGTACAAACAACTGACGTTTTTCCTCCGAGGGCGCTGTGTGCTAAAAATTCACATCGAAAATAATACCAGAATATAATTTTGATAATATTATAATATCTTAGTGGTCCTATATATAGTTTTATGTACAAATAATATACATTAGGCAATATTAATATTCCCTTATCTATTTTTTGAAAAAAAAGAACCTAATATATCCCTTATGAAGTACTTTAGCCCATTTTTATAAAAAAAAACGTTAAAATGCTTCGTATGCGTTCGATACACTACTAATACAAACTTAGGTATAAAAAAAACGTACAGCGTACAGATTCTCTCAGCTCCGTCGTACATGCCATATGTAGCACAAGAAATAACGGATTTCCAGAAGTGAATGCGCTTTAGAACACTAATAACTCGGCGGCATTCTCATGGAACGGTACACACCGCGGTATTATTTGAATACCCTATCACAAAGACGCTCGTAATTAGATGACGTATGTTTTTATGTCATTACTTATATATTTCACATTAGGCACAGTACACATTAATTGGCTTATCTCTCGGAGCACACATTCATTTAAATGTTAGTGTTACGCAAAATGGAAGATTAAGCCTCAACAATTTGCATAGCATCTATGGATGTTGTCTAGAGACTTGTGTAAAAATCTTTATTTAATCAAAATACCTTTTTCAAATGCACATTTCGAGCGCTTTTCAAATATCATAAATCAAAACGGAACAAGTTAAAATGTGTTAGCATCTGTGGTCTTTGAAATGGTAATTTAAATTTCAATACCGGCCTACGGCTAGCTGGGCAAAAAATACTTTATCTAATCCCAGTGAGTGAAAACATTTCTTAGGTCCAACGAATAAAGCAGTATTTGATAAGCCCTCGGGTCCCTACCTGCACCTGGCTAGAAAGCAATCACAGTATTTAACAAAAAAAGTTTAAAATAGACACACATCAAAAGCCAGGATGTCTAGACGTCCTTTTTTTAATTCCCAGAACGGGCAGGTAGAAATCAAAGATAGTTTCACTTCAAACCGTTTAATCCGCTGTGAATACAATTTGGCACAACGTTAGTCACAGATTAACAATTTTCTGGAATCATAAATATCATTATCACATTATTATTAATACTGGTAATCTTGAAAAAAATAAAAATAACCATTATAAAAAAAAAAAAACACTTTTTCATTTGAACTTATTGTTCAACTCAAATACATAAGATTTAATTCGTCAATATCTTACCTTCTATACAATTAACAACATACATATCTTTTCATTTTGTCCTACAAAATAAAATTGTAAGTTTACCCTAGTCGTAAGTAACAGTACATGACATTGGAAATTAACTATTAATTGGGCGAACATTAATAAATATAAATTACATCGACATTTAGTATGACTTAATATAAATTATGCTAATATATTTGGCATCATTTGACTAACTATATTTCACTATTTGGTTTTACAAACTGCACTTTACTGTTAAGCATTCCATAAATCAATTCCGTGCTTTCTGGCGCAGGTTCGGCAGACCTTTTTGCAACTGGTAACTCTCTTCGCCATTCCAACCGATTTTGATTCTTTACTCGAGGACATAAGAGTTAATATAGAAAATGTTATCGTGAATAACTTAAATTAATGACTAGCAATCAAAAGATTCTTTGGAACAGATCTAATGGTATTACGCAGTTATTTGTTATAATTGGCACTTTCCATTCAAGGATTATTCAACAACATGATTGAACTGTTTATGGTTATTAAATTGAATATTAAATTATTTTTTTTTGTAAAAAAATGCAACACACGTTTATAAAATACATTTTAAGGTGAGTTAATAACAAATGGTGGCATAAAAACGTATGATGTTTTGCATTTCACATAGGCTGCAAAATAATTTCTTGCTTGTTTTTCCAACAGTTGGGATTAAAACGAATCCACTAAGATCTTTTGAGCGTACGTATCGAATCATGGTGAATAACTTCTATACTCGCTAACGCACATACTGGATATCTTAGGCGGGTGTGTGTGAACCGGTGGCTGTCCCAGTATCCTGTCACAAATGGTGAGTATGGACGCTGGGCAATTCCGAGATTTACGCGACGAACAGTACCAGAGAACCCTGGCTCTTTGCTGCTTCTTCCTGGAGTTGACGAAGTATGTGTTCCCGCCGTAGAGCAAGAGCTTGCCACCACGGGGCGTGAACAGATACCGTGCTCCAGCAATCTCTATAAACAATTGAATATTACAATTTCCTTATACATAAATACGTGTATAAATAAGTAAGATGTAAAATATGCAACTGCTAAAACAAGCTGGACTTTGCATGTTATTTGGGATTGGACCTCTCAATGGATTGATGGAATTGGACCCTCTTCTTTGAAAATATCGGTCATGTTTTGAAATTATCTCGATCATGATAAAATATTGTTTATATTATTAAAAGGGTAATCAAACTGACGACCACTATGCTAAAATCGCTTGAGACACATATTTTGACATAATAATTGTTATATACTTATAATATAAATAATTGTGTGTGCTTTTTTGTTATTCTTTGATATTCTTACTCACTTTCTGTATGTATTTCAAATTAACCATTTTATAAACAACATAAAAGACTACCCTGTGTTACCAATCTCATTTCATAGAAGAAATATTTTAAAAAATACGTATTACTTTACCCCACCCAAGAAATATTATATTAATAGAAGATAGAGTCATATATAAAACCTATATCACTAAGAATAACTAAAAAGGGAACTTTAAAGAGAACTCAGTTCGAACGATAACTTTAATGAAGCCAATATTAATATGTGCATTTATAATTATACTTTTCATCTCTTAAACTAATCAGTTTTTTATCATAGAATAATTATTATTCGGTTGGTCGCTATCAAGCAGCTGCTGTATGTATTTGAGACTTACTAGCGACTATAGATGCAGTGTAGTGATCACTAGCGGCTATAATAAACACGTACAAAATAATATACCCTTTTTATCTATTATATCTATTTCAAAACGCAAATCTATTACATATATCTGTTCTTGACTTTAAGTCTCCTTAGTAAACTTAGACATTACAAATCCGATAGTAAGAAATACACTTTTAGAAATGAGAGTGCTTCATAATAAAACCTCGAAATCATAACAGTCGTGGGTAAAGCCACGGGCTAAAACTACATAGTTTAAAGCAAAGCAACAAATTTAAAGCTTAACGTAATTCCTGGCATGTAATAGTATTAACACAGTTTATCATTCTCACTCATCATAATATTTAAGCTATCTATTTTAATATTTAGCTTAAAACTCTATTGCGTTGTAAAAAAAATCTTATTAGTTTGTACTGGACAGTGTTTAAATAACTCTAATTTAACATAGAATTTATGACCCATATGGGGGATAAATAGCTGAAGATAAAACTACAATTAATATTTTTAGAATATTAATGTCTATGACTATATTTTGTACTATGTACCGTGCATTAGGCTTGAAACCACGAGAATAACAAATTTCATGTTAAAATGTAAAAAAATTAACCATCTTCATGATGCAACATAACAATAGTGAAAGTAGCGCACCCAAATTTGCAAATTACAACGATAAATGTGGCTCGACTTTTCAGGAACGTTATTTTTTTTAAGAATTATGTTTTATGAAGATATATATATTAATATCTCCATTATTTGAAATGCAAATTGAAACTTGGTGAATACACTAAAGTTAATATAAGTCGTCAGTTATTATAAGCATAATATATAATATTAATTTGCTAACTCCTAAAAATGTTGGACCTCCATCTTCTATAAGCTCTCGGAAGGAATCACTCACATCAAATTACGTTAATATCAAAAATGATGTAGTTAGTTTAATTATATCTCACCGTAAGTAGCTGGGATGTTTATTACATGTCACGGCTCATAAAAGTTCATCTATAATCTGTTTTCACATTTCTGTGAATCCATTTTCAATCTATAGTTCTGACTTTTTGTAAAAATATATTCTTATAAAAAAGAATTTCGTATGAAAATTAAAAAGTAACATTTCTAGTGCTTCCCTTGTTACAAAATATGGACATATATTGCTCAAGTTACGTTATACCCGTATTTGACATGTCGTTCTTAAGGCATAGAAAAAATTGTTTACAAACTAATTTCTGTATGAAACCTTGCATTTTTCAGAGTTTTAGCGTAACAAGTACGTGCGCTATTAGTCACTGTTTGGTATATCTATGTGTTGATAGCCCCATACTCCATTATCGTTGCTGTTTCGTGGTTAGCAAGCAATCGCAGGGTGTCATCATTAGCACTCCGACGCTACAGGTGGGTGAATGGATTTTAACCCCGGACCAGCACCTCCATTCCAGCCATTTGGAGCGAAGTCGCCATTCGCTCTTTCCAGCTACAATCAACATTATATTATCCACCCTGCCCCTTAAATGCTCAAAACCTATTTTTGTACTACTATCAATATATCTAAATTTGTTGACAGATCGCATTATTTAGTGAGTACATATATACCACAGTATATATAGACCAACGAATGTAAAAACAGTATCCAATAAAAGACAACTAGATACATATATTAATTGTATTGTTATAATATATACAGAAACGTCACGAATGAATAATTTTGACTTTGAAAAGCATTGATGTATGTCTCGTCCACGTGTTTCACCTCTCAAACCAACATCTATAGACTAGTACATATAGCTTAAAATATATAAATAATTATTTACAATACGTAAAATATTGTAACAAATAATTGGTTTGTTAGTTGTAGTGCATATAGACTATCTCCAAAGATACGAGCTAATATTTCGAACGCAACCAAATAGCGTATAATTGCCTTAACGTAAGTTTGAGCCCGCGTATTCGAAGGCTGTAAAGTGCCTACTGATTGTATAAAAGTTATTTTTATGGCCCCCATTAAATAGAGATGCGGCATGGGGTTGGGGTGGGATGCTGATATCGATTGGATACCACCAGCGCGTCGCGCATGTCTGCCCGCGTGCCCGTGGCTGCCTACTCGTGCTCCCACCACCCACTTGGGGAAGTGCCCCCGCGGCCTACGCATCTAGATCGGTGTATGGAAATTACTGTAACATTGAGGTACTGCAGATTCAAAGATTAAATTACAAAAGGGAACATCGGTAATGACTTAGTTCTACTGTTTACAGTCTGATTACCTATTTGGCAATATTAGTTTAGTAAAAAAATTGACTGCCTTTTTTACTAGACAGTCAATTTTTTTCACATTATTGTAAATCTCACATAATATACGTTAAATATCTATGAAATAGTAGTTAGTAGTGTTAAGTTTTTTTTTTTTAAGTAAATTCAAATTGTGTCAAAATTGGTTAAGCGATATGAAAGAGCAACAAAGATGCTGACAGTACGCGTGTTGTGTTAGAATTGAAATAAAAAATACTTGATTACTTCTTGTACACTTTTACAGTCCTAAGTTTCTTAACAAACAATTAACATGACCAATAGATACAATCCTTACTTCGGTGTGCTTTTTTGGCCATCAAAACTCATTGCGATGATCAAAATTAAACTTTATCTAGGATATTATGCTAATCTTTGTTTATAAAAACCGACGTGACTCAACCAGGGAACATCAGAGAGGCGCTACGGAGTTATAACAATATAGTCATATCGACATATCGAACAAGTAAGCAACATGATATCGTAGGGCTACAGCGAGGTAAATGTAAGATAAGTTATATTCTCCGATTTAAAAAGCAAACATGTTTGCTTATTCTATGTTTGAGCCTTTGTAATACATATTATGATGATTGAAAAGTTATGGCAATTAATCTCGAGAAGTTTTTTTCAAAATTGAATTTCATTTCCTTTTTTTAAATCTGAATATGTTTATTCTATTGTAAACACCTACCCAACGATGGTTAATTATGATTTTTATATAATACATCAAGTTGTCGAGAAATAAAAATCGTCTACAGATGAGGTTTTATTATAACACTTGAAATAATACAGTAACGTAGTGATTCTAAACAAAAACAGAAAAGTCTCGATTTCATGTTTAATATAATCGTACCTATGTTAAATATTAAAACTTAAACTTTTCCTAATTAAAATTTAAAATTAATTCCAATTGACATGTTTGTTCTTTTATAGTACTGATTAAAATTTTTGACAATAAAGTCCTTTGTAAGATAAATAAAAAAAGAGGGACACAAAATACTATCTTCGTAACAGTAGTATTTTTTTATACTCTTTGTAGTTTTAATAGAGATCTTATAACAATTTAACTTCATGCTCGACTAAAATTAAGTACCTCAAGTAACATAAAACGTTTGCCTACGTCTTTTGTAAATTATTACCTTGGAATCCTTAAACTAACGAGACTATCTTCAGTTTCTCTTCAGAAAATTTTTGGCTTGTCATAATTGAAGTATAATCTTTTACCTTTCACGACAACTGGGGTTAGGGACAATTTCACAATGTTTTCGTATGGTTTGTAATATATCGGATCTACGCTGAATCTTGCCATTGCCAGTTCGTCAATTGTCTTGTAAAAATAATTTTGAGTCCCCTTCTTTCAACTTTACTTTAACAAACCAAGGAAAGTTATTATTTTTCCTTAACATAAGTAACTTTACTAAAAATGGAACCTTCATTATCTTCGTAGATGAACATTTTCCTTTTCAATTGCTGTATTTCACTCGTGTTCCTGTCGTAGATGTTGACACTTAGCCAGCGAAAGGGCTTCTCGTCAGAGAGAAGACGAATATTCAAAATCGAATACGTACAAGCTTTAGTAATGTCATCAAGACTTTTTTCCGATCATCAAATGGAACGTCTTCTTTACTGCAATGGGATTTTTGTATGCAGGCTTTGTTTTTGGATTCTCACTAAACCCTCTTGCAAAAACAATAAGGTCTCTTACAAGTTCACCCAAAGTGTGAGTAAAAATTTCATCGTACCCTGAAGTGGCATGACTTTCAGGTAGTGTTTTTTCAAGTATGAATTCACTGTCATCAGTTACCAAGTAAAAGGACCTTCTCAGTCTTTTAGGGTGTCAAAAATTTCTCATTAGAAATATTTGAACTACAACTTTTTTTCTGCAATGCATTTGAGATAGCCCCAAACCATCACACCCCTTTGCCATGCCCACTTCAAAGAAATTCCATGTAACGCGTATGATCTTTTACTCAGTGAATATTCCGTGACTAATGAAATAAAAATTTTGCTTCTGTCGATACTGAGTAGGTCCATCGGAGAAAAAATGAATTGTAGTTATGTTAGGATTGTTATGTTGTATGTCACTAATTATTGGATGTAAGTGTGCCCAGAGAGGCTGGATTTAGAATTATTTGCAGATATGGTACGAAATCTCATAATCCAGCTTCAGCATTTTTACCGGGTCTTTTTCAATTTTTATCTATAGCGTGTTGTTTTTCTGCGTTTGTCAGCGCCATTTAGGACAGAAACTTCTTTCTAGAAAAAAATATACAATTTTCCATAGCATATCGGATTTTATTACGTATACTGTTATAAGTAACAAAAATAACCTTTCCACTCGTTTTTTTTTGTAAGCAGTGTAGCAGTTACGCAGTTGTAAATTTTGACTAAATTGTAAATAATTTCCAAATCAAATAATAAAATCCAGATATTTTTACACTACGGTTGCATAATACCTAATGCGTAATAAAACAATAACGTGAAATATCGTTAGGACGTAAAATTAACACGGTAACTCACGAAGACGATACACCACCTCCTTCACGGACCGGACCGACCACACGGCAGAGTACTGTCCCCGCGCTGTTGCTGTCTTTGTTAAACGAGTTACTACAAATCGAACCAAATAATGTGCAATAACCTTAATCAATCATTTTAAAGTCTTTTTTCATACAGTAACGCAAGGTAGCTACGATATTGTTACTCGTTGGGGACACAGATACATTATTTTTTTATTTTACTAAATGTTCAATTTAAAACGTTTCTAATGCCATTCTAATAACGTCCAAACCTTGCATTTTTATTATACCATCTATAATTAACCGCCATCTAGGAAATATTTTGAGAAATTGTTCCGTATAGTTTGGCACACATGCTCAGGGACTGATTTTAGTATGAAAAAGGCGCGTACTAAAAATCAACTTTGTTACTGTAAATTTTCAATTAATAACAATTATTTCAGTTCAAATCATGTGTTTTGTATTAGATAATAATGTTAAATTTTAAAATAATTATACTATTGTCACATTTTTTTAACCCACTCGCATTAAATGTAATGTTAATTCCGGGACGTTTTAGTCAAAAATATTTTGGCCCTAATATGTTACATGTTATTGCACAAGACACGATAGATCAATTGGTATTGCCTACTGCGCTGTGTCCTGTAGATGCCGGTTCAAGTCCCGCCCGTGTCGTAAATTGTTTTCAATCTATAACCTTTTTTAAATGTATGCTACATATTTCTCACAGGACTTGTACATTATAAATAAATATTTATTAGGAGATTTTAAATCTCGAGGTTATTGTATTTATTTATTTATTTTTTAAATCTAGCGGGCAGAAGGACGTCGCCACATTTGCTTACTATTAAACCTTAATAAAAATGATATATGTAGTATCGTATATTACAGGTACGCGTCCTAACAAGAACAACATTAATTGTTAGCTATTTCCGATAGCAAAGACAGCGCCGCCGCGATTCGTAACATTCAATCCGACCCACATCCAATCCAGGGCAAATTATTATACAACTAATGTTTGCATCGTTCTCGCGTGTAAAGGAACGTTTTCCTCCTGGCCTACGCACACAGACGCATCTCAAGAAAGGGACGTACGTCAAAATTAGGGCATACAGGGCGTAACTAGGCTGTAGGAGACTACGCCCTCGCGAACCCCATGGCCTGCCGAACTTTCTTCTTTCATAACTTTGTAGCTCGTATTGATCCATCAACTGCGCAATTCATATCCCTCGTATACAGATATTGCAACCGTATCGAAACTACTTCAATTTTAACGGGCCCTCCGAATCATAACAGAGTTGGTTTTTTGTTGTGCTCCGCCGTTCCGTGCCGCGGATGCGTTATATTTGACCTCTTTGCTTTAATTACATTACGCTTAAATTTAATTATGCCGCGTTAAGCTCGCGTTTCGCTTTTTCCAAGAAAACACTATTGGGTGTTTCAAATTATATTTTAATTGACATTTCTTATGACGCAACTAAACTTTCAACAAAAATTATATTCGTAACAATTGTTCACGCCAATTCATATATATTTCGAGTATTAACATATATCAGGCACATTATGTTGTACCTTTACAATCATTATATTCTAAATATAATATTGAAAACAATACTTTTTTTACTAAAAAAAATATAAATAAATGGTTGATGAAAAAAAATACACAAAAACAAGTCGAAGAAAATACACTTATTAAAAAAAAAAATAAATTTCATGAATCTGGTAAAAAAAATATCGTTAAAGATCTTTCACACGCGACTACAAAAATACAAAAAAAATACACGTTGGAAGAGCAATACTATACCCGATAATAAAAATAGACACTTAGACAAAAAATACTACCTATAGCGATGATAAATATCTTTACGCCTAACATACTTGCCGTCGGGCGTGTAATAGTAGCTAGGAGGCCTATGTATATGTCGCCCCCTGACTAGGAAGAGGATATCACCGTGTCCCGTTTTTGAGGGGGCCGTGATGACGTCAGCTCTGCACCCGGCCATATCCCTGGAGGAACAGTACCACTGCTTCCGACCGTACGACTGCAAATTCTTCAGGTAGAACGTGTAGCCCTCGTGCAGCAGCAAGGCCTTCCCGGTCCGCGAAGGCACGTATACAGCCGGCGCCTCGTCTAAACCCATTGCACAACATCAACATGCAGTACCAAACAAATAGATTGAGATTATAGAGTTACCCATATCCTTGCCAGAGAACGCTTGTAAAAGTTTCAGAATTAACCAGACGTTTTCCGAAAATATGACGGTTTAAAAATGTATACGTAAAATATTGTGTATTCTAAAATGTTAACTTGCTAGTGATTCGAGTTAAAATAGCAAAAACAAATAATTAGTTACAATATATTTAGATTGAAAAAACACAACACGGGGGGGGAGTTGAGCCGGCATCCATAGAGTTCCGTGTTGCTGTTCTAACCACGGTACATATACGTGTACTGACACGGTGGCTCAGTTGGTTAGAGCAGCAGCATGGAACGCCGTGGACGGCGGTTCAAGTCCCGCCCGTATCGTACATTTGTTTTCAATCTAAAAAGTTTTTGTTTTTATAATGCCAATAACATGTGAAAAATATTAAAGTCTTCATTAGATATAATTTCATACTTATAATAGCAACCTATAAACAAAAGTGTTCTATTAAAATGTACAGGTATCGAATTTCAGGTTTCGATGCATTTTGTTTCCAAAAGACCGCAAAACGGTTTCGTACCCTACTTATGAAAGGGCAGAAGCATATACATTATAATAATATAAACTTTTGGATACACGAGTTAAGCAACTAACCTTCACGTGACACATGAACTGCGCTTAAAATTGACTATTGTATAATAATAATTATTATTGCACAATTATATTACATATATTGCTAGCATATTTTTTCACAACATTCATATTCAAAGACATAATACTACATCAAAACATCACATACACATCTAAATATCCACATACTAGTTACGTTAGGCTCCTTTATTATAAGGGAATCCACGGATTTCTACTAATAAAAAAAAGGCCGCGACTTCGCAACCAATTAGCACTCATGATTATGACGGCCATGAGCGTACATCAGCTTGCTGAAATATGTCTTCGCCGTCGCTGAACACTGAAACTTGTGCCGACCTGCGCAGTACCACAAAACCTTCGGTTGCCTACGGTAGGCATTATGGGGACGATATACGTAACCGTGCAATTTCAGCCTTGGATAACCACTAGTGTAGACAAGTTCACCTGAAAGACGGGGAAATAGTCAACTATGTTTATCCGGCTTCGACGTAATATTTATATTAACAATTAAAATTTGGTTACTGTAAAGCAACCAAAACGTCATACTGTGATTGAAAACATCTTATATATCTCATAATAGATTTACAATGGATACTTAATCACTTTTAACGGTTCGAAACGCAAATATTAGTTCAACGTGGTCATGGTTTTACCCGCATCCAAAACATCGGGCTGAAATTAAATTAACTAATATAATATGTACTTCGCGTTTCAAACCGTTAAAAGTTATTGAATATTAATTGTAAATATATCGCAGTTCAATTCACTTTTATTATATGTGAATAAAAAGGATAAAATTAACGTCTTACCAGCATGGACATCAGTTGCACCATCCATCCATATGTTATGTGTAGCTGAGAGGTACAAATCAGTAATGTTTCCCTTTTTGAAAGCAAGTAAAATGAACCTCTTTGAATTCAATCGAATTTATTTCACGAAATCACATTTAAAATCACTTATTTGTAGAAACCAAATCACTTGAATCACTTGAAAAAATCCTATAAAGAATTGTATTGTCATAAACAGTGAAATAAATGATAGTATAAAATTAATTGAATGAATAATATTACAAAATGTTAAAGCTCCGATAGAAGTCACGGTATAAAATCACGTTAAAACGTTACAAAGGCACTTGGGAAGCTCCACATAATTCAAATTGATTAAGAAGCAAGAAATTTAAGAAATAACCGCACATACTTAATTTGATAAAATGCTCACAGACATAATGCGGCAAACTTTTAACGGTTTAAAACGTGAAATGTACTAGTTAATTATGGTACATTTAATGTGCTTTAAAAAAATGTGCAAATTAGTCCCGCCGTGACTAAGGCTGTTGCAAACTGGAACGACGTGCCGTAGTTGAAATAAATTAACTATATATTTTGTGTTTTAAACTGTTAAATGTGTACAACTCGAGTCAAGTACAGACAGTACTTATCTAATGACATTGACTTCGCTGAATCTTTATTAAATTTATAATTCTTGTTTTAAGCTTCAATCAACAGATATCTCATATATATAGTGTCAATAGACTAAATAATTTAATGCAAAATGGAGGTTATAATAGTATAAAGCACTCCTCACACTAAATACAATTACGACTGTCCCGGCACCGATGCTTGAGTTCGGAAAATACAATTTTCTTTCCAATAGTGTGTATCCTCGCCCCGCAGCCGCGCGCGCAGGTCCATCTCCGCTTATTCCTATACACAGCGTCCAATTTGTACCAGAATCCGCCCATCTTCAGCAGCGACTCTTTATCTTGATAGGGCAAGGGCGGAAATATAGCTGCGTGAATTTATTGAATAACAATTAACATTTTAGTTCCAATCGTAAGATGCAAATGAAATAATTTAAAGAAAGTTTGGCGAAAATTCTTCTTTTCTTATTGTTCAATTTGTAAGCCATGACATTTTATTCCTTTTTCTAAATGAACAATTAATGTTTTTTAGCCGGGGTTTACACACCTGGGTTTTCTAGCACTTAACTCAATGTAACGTAGAGTGTTAAGAATGTGTTACAAGCCCATTTTGACGGTTACGAAATGTTTATGAAGGGGGATGAATTGAAACAGATGTTATGTATGTGATTTTTCATTTATAAACGAAAAATACTAGATATTTCATACAATCTAATACCATAAATGCATTGAGTATATATCAAAATCAACAATAGAAAACGAGTATTTTCGTAATACTAAAATAATATGAGATTACGAATGGAAGTCGCAGTACTCGAGACTCGAGGTAACCTTACTAGTATCTACCGTATATAAGACTCTAATATAAAAAACTATCGCTCATTATATTATTTCGTAAGCTGGTATACATTTACATCTACAAGTGTGTGAGCTTTCCGCAAACAGGCTGCCTTAATTGTTTCCGCAGATTAAAATTAATACAAAAACAGATTCACGTGTTTGGAATCCGCTTGTGAAGTACTCTGTGATTAAGAGATAACGTACAAGTCTGTTACGTTTGTCGTTGACACATTTTACATTTTGTGTCCGTTTATTCAATCGACCTATACAACACAAAAAAGTCTTTTGTGATCTCACTGACTAATTAATTTTTTTTTCGGGATTCGAAATCAGAACTACGCGTTCAATCAAGCAGTACAACTAAGCAACATGCATAAGACAGTAAATAAATTACTCAATCGTTATCGAAAAGAGCACAAATAAATTAACTCATTTAAAACGATAATATTTTTCACGTTACTGAAAATTATGGCATCATATAAGTTAAAAAAAATATTTTAGATCTGCTGTTACTCTAAGAGCAACAGCCCGAAACGCTGTTGATGATGATTTTTTAATCTAAGATCGATTAACTCAATGTTATTTTTTACCTTATATTGGTAATAACAAAACACCGAGTCTTGGTATTATACTTTGTGAGATCTGAGCCTGTCCTCCTTTTCCCTTATATTTTAAAGCAGCGTGTATTTGGAAAGCCCCGTCTACCGCTAAATACAGATAATAAATAATGGAGTATTTTATAACATTGTCAGTCGTGCCGCATCCTACACCGCGGTCAATAAATAGAATTTTATAAAAAAGCTTCAACAAGACGGCTACACTAACATTAAAGCTATACAATTTGTATACATATCATCTAAAACTTTTTGGTAAGAGAATATTGCACACCTACAGTCGATTACACCACTAACAACACTCTACGCCCTAAGGCATTACAAGGCGATTATGGGGTTCCAACCTTAAAGCTTGGTACATAGTAAAAATAAATAAAAAAATCTGAACGACCCGAGGGTCGAATACTGAGTTAACGCTAGAAGGAACACAATATAGTCTGTATGCGGGGGCGACACTCCGGAGCGATCAATGCCTTCCATCTAGAAGACCACGCACCAGGAGGTCGCGCCAGGCCTATAGGAACAGAGCCGCGTGGGGCGCGCTAGGAATAGGTACCGGGGGCGTTGCGACCAACGTTCGGGGGGCGCAACTCTCGACAATCTTATATTTCCCCATGGGGTCAACTTCGAACTTCCTAGACTCGTGTTTAAGGGGATTATAGGTGGCTGGATGATTGTGGGACCCCCTAAAATAAACCAGCCTACCATCCCTTAAGCACAACGCTACCTGACACCTCTCAGCCTTCTGGTAGGACCTTGCACATCGCCACGTGACGCGTCTAGGATGGGATCCGCCGTCCTCGTAGAAAATATGCCCATCGGCCACTAAATGTAGTCCACCTCGAGCCGACCGTATATAAAACCACCCTGAAACCGTACAAAATTTGATTATATGATCGTAAGCGAATTAATTTCTTAAAAGAAATAAAATCGATAACAATAAGAATAAAATACCTGCTAACTTCTAGTATCCACTAACACGTTATACATTTTTCTGGCACTAAATTTCTGTTACAATATCTAGATGGCTTTGCTTCTCTAGACATTTAATTAAATTCTAGATGGCTCCTTTTAACTGCTTGAAGAAAAAGGTTTGTTTCTTGTTTTTAATTTGGAACAGAAATTTAAAATTGTGTTAAATATTTAAAAAGTTATGACCTATTACCCTATTTTACATTTAAAGGACGTGAATAGGTTGATAAAAAATACCACAGTACATCAGCACGATATAATCATTTCTTTGTACCTATACAGTGAAGTCTCTCACTAAATACTACATAGCGTATACATTCTCCTTTGGCGACGATCGCCACAACTACCTCCTATCCGTTATCATATACATTCCAACTAAATATAAAACATCTTATCACAATACGTAAAATAATACTCCAAATAATACTTTACAGTGATCGTATACATTCGTAATTGGTACATAAAATGGTTAACACAGAAACAGGTAAACGAATCCGTTCATAAATCTTTGTGTAAGTACAGCCGTAACTTAATAGAAATAAATGACATTTAAGTACCTTAGCTGCATAAATAAAAATAAGTAAAAATGTAAAATCTCACTACAACAAAATCTAAACCTACAACGTATACATTGAGTATTATTAAATAGATCAATAAATGCATTCTACGATAACAAATGTTTCCACTATACCCTAACATCGTATACTTGACATGACTTGATTCGTGCGAACTTTCCACGACTGAGCAGAGTGAAGGAAACAAGACTAGGAAAACCTTCGCTGAGTACCCGTTTCTTTCGACAAAATCTAGCGTTTAACACTTTCCTTACCCTGCTTAAACCTAACCGAATCCAACCAACGAGTTCTTAATACTTCAACCGAAACCGACCGAGAGGAAAACGTGCCTCCCTTACAACAATCAATCCTCTTGTATATATACATTGCGAAAAATTGTAAAAATATTTGTAAAAGTAATGTATAAAAATACTTAGAATATCATAAGAAACTATCACTTTGTACAACGAGCTAAATCTATGACCGCTGCGTGGAAGATCTGAACCGAAGCAGGCGAGGGTAGTTGGAAAAATATATGTGCATCTGAGATTTAAATATCATCTGTTTGTATACGGTAGCGACTCTTAAAACTTCTACAAAAATACTGAGCTTAATCGGGTTATTTATAATTATGTACGTCTGGGTGCAAACGGCCTCGCTAATATAACGTTACAGCTAAAGAGATTCGTATACTTTCATACACCTACACAAAACGTTTCGTCTCTTTGGAGAGTATTTCTTGGACAGGATAGACCAAAACTGTGTGGATCCGCTTAAAATCTATCTGCTAAGCGACCGCCGGTAAAAAGGCACGACAGCAAAATTTACGTTCCGCTAAAAATTTCGAATTCAGCTCTATTAGCTTTCAACCAACCCTCTCTATTCGAGATCACAGTGCCGACATCATAGCATCACCGGCGGTCGAGAAATTGACTCGTTTAGTCGTCAGAGAGAATATTCTAGAACATGGGTCTGAGCGGAGTGGCTCTCACTCCGCACGTGTGCGCGCTATTCATTTGTACGACTCGTAGGCCAAAGGTGTGGACCGCAGCCCGGCAACGTGGGTTTCTAGAGCAACGCCACCAGACCTTTCCGCTCGCGGCTCGGCCGTTGAAGCAGAACCTGTGCGCTCCCACTTCGATAGCAGGTTTCCCTCGCTTACTGAGACAATATCTAAACTGCCCCGGGAAGCAAGGAAACGGAAACGGTAGACCCAAGGTTGGCGTGGTTTCTGCTGGCGTGGCATTACCTGTAACTGAACATCAAAACCTTTAATATTACCGTTGCGTTACAAATTACTAAGGCTATTAGTAGTCTTAAATCTAAATGTTTACTTATTAGGTGGACAATAAAGGAAGATGGAGAAGGAAAAATTTTACTCTGAATAAACATGAAAATACTAATATTAAAAAACACATATATGAAGGTTATTTTTTATTTCTAGTCGTGATAAAAACCCGACACGCGCAAATCGTTATCAAGTGTTTTATTTTGACTAGATTAACAGAAGCTGGACATGTTACAGCTGCTAAATAAATTGTTTGTATTTGATTTTTTTTTACATAAAGAAACAACAAAATAGAACGAACTAAGATAAGACGTAATTCAAATTATATTTAAGGACATCTAGTATTGCTTTTAATTGCAAAAACACATTTATTTTCTCAACTTGTTCCCAAGATCTTCTAGTATCAGTAAAACTTAACATTATGGTACTGGTGGTTATGTCGTATCGTAAGTACTCGGTTGAACTGCGTGGTTATAGAAGCTCTGCAGCCTTTATCTGACTTGATACAGAGCCAGCTGCATTTCCCGTCGACAGTAGAGCCTCTACATCGGAACCTTTCACCATTTAACACCAACAGCGGGTTCCCAAGCCTTGACTTCGCCCAATACACTGGAAATACACTTTTTATCTCCTTATCTTCGATCGACGGTTACTTCACAATACTTTTAATTGACCTGGCTTACATGATATTAATAAGTACGAAGAAATGAGATTGTGTTCGATGCCAACAAACCGTATTTGTATGTTGTTTAATAATGCAACACGAACGAAGGAAGTTTTTAGTTTAAATCTAAAATGTTCCAAGAAGAGTTCAGTAAATACAAACATATGTACTTATTAAAAATACTTTTATTTCAAACATCGAATTGCTTATTTATTAAAAAACGAAGCGCGATTTAGGGCATTACAAACAAAGAAACGTTGAAACGATTACAATATAAAAACTGAGGATAAAGTTCATTTTACGCGTGTACTGATATAAAAAGCAAATTAAATGTAAACAATAATTATCAATGAGTTTTTAATTAACCCTGACTTACAAATCCATGTGACGTAATTTGATGTTATGTTTTGTTTCAACCTAAAGGTCAATAAATAGTACTTCATATTACGATCGCATTACTTTAAAAATACTGTACATATTATAATAAGGAAACTGAAAGACAATAATACTCGTAATTAAAATACGATCCAAAAGTAATGAGATCGAGGCAAATATTTAAACGTCGTAAAGTGGAACGTCACGGGCTCTAGTTTTTTATTAAAAACATTTAAAGGATTACAACAAATTGAATAAAAAAAAATGTTGCCCAAATTATAACAAATCAGACCATTATAATATCTTAGCTACATAATAGGAATGCTTTATTTTGGAAAGGTACTTTGTCATGATCTTTTCACAGCCTCAGAAGCCACTAAAGTATCGTCCCAAATCTCTTCAAATATCAAAAATAATACAAATATGTAACTTTTATTCCTATACTAGGGATTTGACGCCATTTTCCGCTCGTTGGGAGTGCTTTTCACCAGTCGCTCCATCGAAGTTATACGGCGTGAAGTTCGGTTGGTGGTTGTGACCACCTTTGATGCGAATGAACCTTCCATTCAGGGTGGTTTGTACTCTGCATAAACATCCTTTGGCGTCTTTGTCGCGACACGCCCAATTCAACTTATCGCGATACTGATTGTTCACCCAAAACTTATTGTTCTGGAATATGAGAACCGATTTGCCAGCGCGCGAAGGTAAAAAGAAGGCCTCTGAAATACATACAATTGTTATACGAGAATAAAAACATAACTCCTAAATATATATTAAATGTAGATATATAAACGTTTCCGTTTATCGTATGCCAAAAAGCTTACTGGCCAGTTGTCAGCATGATTGACAATCCGCTTACAAAAACTTTCCACTGTCATATGTAAAAATACAAAGTCATATAAGAAGGTTATTATAACTCTTATCAATATTAAAAAAATAGTAACAAACAAGTTCATTAATTAGGATCAACGCAAGACAGAATAAATATTGAATTGTTCTTCACTTCCCGTATAAGAATGACCGGTAATAATTACCTTCGATGATGTTCACACCTTAAGAACTTTTAGTAACCTAATCAAACAATTTAAAGGGCTTTCATAACACTATATATGAAATGAAAACGACTGCAGAGTTATATAGCTCTCCCCATTTAAAAAAAGGACCTTACAACAATGGCAATAAGACACAAATCGACATAATAATAATTACATTTAATATAAACCCTAATGAGTAATACTCTAGTTAAATTCAACGAATTCTATATTAAAATATTAAAAACTTAAATCGTAAGGGCTAATGCATAATAAAGCTGAAGTTAAACTTGTAAGGAATGTTCCGTATTGATAGTAAATACTATTATAATTACTAAATTTACGATGGTCCCACTATTGATAAGGCACTTACGACTTAAACGCTAAAAATAAGAATCAATAATACAGTATTTACGTACAGATAAGTACACTGAAAAGGGAAATGCTCATTTCAGGCCACAAGCGGACACTATGTTCTTAAATGAACGAATTGATTCAAAACTATTCTAGTTTATAGTATCAATAACTGTTTCAGAAAATTGAATTGAAAAAAAAAATTGTTGATTTGTCCGCTCTACATCTCTATAACTCTCTTTCACACATATGTACTGCCTTACACGGGAGCATTGAGAAACACATTTAGTAATAACATACTTAATCACATTTTATAAGTAAGGCAGCGTTTGTTTGTTAATTCTTAAGCACCATAGTATAATGGAATGAGTAAACAATCTTTATATACATGAAACCGTTTCTGGTTTTCGTCTTAGAGACTCATTCAATTCATTATAGTTAGATTCGTACGTAATATAAAACGTTCTTACGCGTACAAAACTTTTGTAAAATACTAATCAATAACAATATGTGTATAAAATATTTTTCCAAGAAATCGAATTTTGTGATGAGCAATTATGCAGTCCCTAATTGTTTTTTAATTTTCCTCACCTTAACACATGCCATGTATGCTAACATGTCGGAACACGTGATTACTGAGAATATCGCGCATATGCATGGTTTGAGCACAGATGGCGAATTTTTAAATTTGAGTTCATAATTATAAAATATTTAATTTTTTACATAGGGAATATAAGAACAATTTACTTATGTGTGTACCTCACAACAAACGTTTACAAAATTCAACTTTAACAAAAGTTTGAATTGAGGTATTGAATTCAAATAATTCAGAAATCTGTGCCCACTCTACATTATCTCTAGTTCACTTAAAGTCATCTAGACGAAGTTCCCCTCGGTGGATGGTTGTGGAGTCCCTTCACCGCGAGCACGTTTGTCCCCATCATGTGGATGCGCGCCTTGCAGTTCGTCTTCTTTGAGGTGCATCGCCATATAACCTTGTCCCTCAACTTCGACTCCTCGCAAAATGGAAATGTATTAACCATCATTATTAGCTTGCCTCGCCGCGATTTCAAGTACTTAATCCCTGATACATAAAACCACCGTTAACAAAACATCTCTTAAACCAGCCACCACCTCGCTTAAACTAAATTAAAATAGAAATGAAACCCGCGATCATTATAAGTACGATTTAATATTTCACAAAACATACCCCATACATGAACCCAAAAAATCTTAATATTATAATGGTAAATACAAAAATTACACTATAAGACTCTAAGGTACAGAGTAACGAACGAGGTAGATCGAGGTAGACATGATTAAAACTTACATTAACTGGGCCCTAAAGAGGCTGTGGCGATACCGCTGACGGTCCTTCCGTGAGATTCCTGGCCCGAAGTCGAGGACGACATTTAAACACGCGGGACGTACAATAAATTCGTTTCATTTCATTTTAAATACAAACGCCCCTAAGCCTCGGATAACATCAATGCAAAACAATGGGACCTCTTTAATTGACGTTTGATTTAAGTGACGTTTGTATCGCCACGGCCTTACGAGTACATCGTTGTTTGGCAATCTTATTTAGATCAGGTACAATAGGTCGTGTCAAGCGGTCGTAATAATTAAGTTAATGTGTAGTAGTATACTGTGCCATGTGCGGATAATTGCGATTAATACTAATTAAGTCTAAATCTCTAATGTTTTTGGTCTCAGTCTCAAAAATTATTCCACCACATACTGAACCAACGACTGCCTTCAAGCTTATCTCGAGAACGTTTCGTATAAGTACACGTGCAATACTCTCGTCACCATTTGACACGAACTACTTGAGTCTAGCAGATTTACCGTAAATCGTCGAACGGCCAGACTAAGTAAAAGTTAATAACCCTAAAGTATTAAAAGTAACAATAAAAAATTAGTAAAATTTGTACTTAAATCAGAGTCTTAAGAATACGTATGATAATTCAATATTATTGAAAAAAATTACTTCGACAAGCAACAAATCATCATTCGAAAACAATCAATAAAATATATTAGACAACAGTCTCAGGGCCTATTCACATTTAAGACATCAACAGCAAACATTCCAGTACAGTTAAAACTATTCAAAGAGGTAGATGAGTTACAATTACAATTAAGGTAATGAGCGGCGGCGTCGGACCCTGCGCAGAGAACTGCCCCGACGCGCCATATTACGCTACGCCTAACCTACGCTAACCTAGACACCTTACTCGAGTAAAGCTTCTGAGTATTTATTCGTGTATATAAAATTGTATAATTAAACTAATCTGTAAAACCCGTATAAAAAGTGAAGAGGTAGATGAGTGTTCTTAAGTATTTAAATCCATGCTAAGGAGCACGACGACGTAGACCCGAGTCCCCTCGCGAGGGCGGGCGCGCGGAATAAGAATTCAACGATTGCCCGTTCCTTATAGATAAGAGGCGGACGTCTAATGCCTAAGTAGCGATTTGAAACACGTAATAATATCTCTCAAAATAAATAAATATTCTCTAAGTACAGTCGAGGGATCCCAATTGCTTATATCTGAACCGAGTTCGCGTAATCAGTCGCCCGCTCGTCTCCGACGGCCGTGGGCCGCCGGACATTTCGTACGCACCCGTTCCGATCGCAACTCACTTCCGGTCCTTCTCGAGTTCTGAAATCTACCTCATGTCGATGAGCCTGCCTATTACCGTTCCTTAGTCCGAAGCGCTAGATCGAAGCCGCCCAGATGGATTGAGCCTTTAAATCAAACGCTAAACTGAGCCGATATCCAGATATTAACCTTCTAATATTGACACCGATACGATTTTTTTGAATGGAAGCATCTTGAGCGATCTTTGGAAGAGTAGTTAATGTAACAGGTGATATCCAAAAACTTCCCACTGACCGTTTGACAATTCACACGATCGGATCTAAACGAAATCTAAACGTTCAGAGAACTACGAGTCTCCTCTTGAGTCTGATCGCTCCGATACCCCCATTCGACGGAATTATATTTTATACTCGACGCTTTCAATTCTCTATTCGTTCCATAAATTACCCACACCTATACGGATAACATTATCATTGACCTCGAAAAGACCGCCTAACCTAGAATACGTTACGAGAACAACCACACAGTTGTGACCACCGCGTGTCGCAAAATTCATTATCATGAAACCACAACATCTATTCCAGACATTAAAGATTTTAACACTTACGTCCACGTTACCGATTTCGTAATCCGACGAAGCCATCCTTCTAAATAAACTCGTCCCAATCCCCATATAGCCTAAGTAATATTTAAATTATGCTAAAATGTGATTAAATACAATTCGATTCATTAGCAAAACGCTCTTAAAATATTATTTGATACATAACGGTAAATAACGCTTTATGATCAACTTCTAGTGGTAAAGTTGCGCAACCAGAGAGCTCATAAACAACTAGTCATCGTCATTCGTTTCGGTTAATTTTCCTCCTTTATCGGAGTGTCGACGAGGAGAGGTTTAGCGGCGGGGGTGTGCTGCGAAGACCCCGTTATTGCGTTTGGGGAGGATTGCTGGCCGTTGCCCCCCGTCGCGGCGTTGACGGCCGCCGTCGCACTGGCCGTCGCCGTGGCGTACGCCGTCGAGGCGTAGAGAGCTAGCGCCTGCTGCAGCTGTAAGAGCTGGGAGTGGGGGTCGTAAGGGGGGGCGGCCGCGCGGTGCCCGCTCTGATGAGGGGTGCGGACTACGTATCGGCCGTCTGCGAAACGTCGGACGTTCGGTGGTGCGTGATTATGTGAGTAACGGGAACGGACGATGCGCTCGAAACCTTCTGGGCCCTCTGTATTGACGTCCGCCAAACAGCGCGAGGTCAGCCTCGATGAACAGTACCACTGTTTCCTTCCATGAGCCAAGTTGTTTTTCAGTCGAAATGTGTAGCCCCTGTGCAGGAGTAGTCTACCTTTTCCTGCTCGTATGAATCGCGCTGAAAAATACAAAATGTTTAATACGTGTCCAGGAAAAACTAGTGTGTTGTAAAAATGATTTTTGAAGTCAAAGTTTATTATAATCTAAAAATGATTTTCGAAAAAACATTTTTACAATACATTTGAGCAGTCTAAGGAACACAAGCATACTAATAGTACAGCTAAGGCCACAACTTTTTCATTGAGAAGGGAAATAAAACTACGAATTTTCACATCGTTTATTTCGTTTAGAAGAAAAAACTTTATCAATACTGATTTTCCTTTATTTAGCAAGTTTAGAATTACTAAAATTTGTACTACTAGCCTATCATTTACAAATACAATTAAGTTTTTTCGCAAATCTAAATAAAATATATAAAATAATTCAATAGTATGAGCAGAACGTTTGGCACTACGTACAATAGATTCAAATGGCAAAATTGACTTAATTTAACTATAGAAAACTTTACACCTACGCGTATAAGAATTTGGGAAGGAAGTACAACTTATTTTCAACTAATTTAATAGTAATATGAGCGACAGCATTACATAACATATTTTCTTTGATGTCAAATTTAAACGAAAACGAGCGACACTCATTGCATCGTCCGAATTACCAATATCTTTTTATAATTGAGCTAACGGTTTAAAGTTGACGGTGACAACTAACAAATAATCCTAAATTATAAATTGGCGATATTTCAAATATAAAAGTCTATATTATGTACAAAATAAAGCAGTGCATTTATCAACAGGAGAAATACATATATTCGAGAGTATAAAAAGATTTCGCATTTGACACATACAATTCAAAGATTTGGCACAGTTTTCCACCTTATGAGATCAAAATTCAGCCCGGCAGCGCATCGTAGAAATATAATCAATACGACACTACCGAGATGCTAATACTTAAAAATCGCACTGATTACGCCAACGAACACCGGAGACGGTGTTAAATTGCACGGCCCTTTTCACAATTTAACCTATGACTAGTAAAACTATATAATATAAATACATGAAGCCTTAGCAAAGATAGCAACGCGTTACCAATCGTAAATCGTTAGACCTAAGTGTTTAATTAGAAATTTAAAAAAGCATATGTAAACGTTTAACATTCCCGTACATTTATGTAAAATGGAGATAATTTATATGTAGTAACAAGCGCTTGAGCTTCAAAATAAAATATACATAATGGGGAATGCCCATAACCTCGCCACTGACATATTAGAAACGTCTGTTTTGTAAACATTTAAATATGTGTATATCGGTGGCAATCAATAACTTCTTTTGAATAATAAAATATTATTGTAAAAAAAACTGCACAAACGCAGTTCATTTATGTTTACTTGGGAGGACACTATCAATATTCCTCCTTACGTATGGATATATGCATACAATTGTATTATTGTTTAAAACAGTTTATAGACTGCAGAACGTTCTACGAGTTAGCGATTGTCTTTGCTAAGACTTAACGATTCCTCCTGACTAGTACGGTGTGACCCAGGCCGTGGGGTCAAAATTATCAAAATCGAGTTGCGGTACGCGCGGCAACGCGTACGAGTTCGACGCAAAACCAGAGTAGCGGGCGTTCGCTTTGATCGGTCTTCTCTTCCAGCGATTCTCGTGATTATGCTCGCCCATGAGCTTGTGCAACTTCCCCTTTTGGGTATAGGCTTTGCACCCGCACCCGCCCATTGTACAACGCCACCGTACGATCCCGGACCGCATAGTATGGGCCGCATAGAAGCTCTTACCCCTCACCCACAGCCGAGGCCGCCCGCCAGGACCCACGCACAAACGGACGAAGTTCTCTGAAAGAATACACTCATCAGTTGCTACATTCGACGTCTCTTTTCGTCGCATTGAAACCCGTATATGTAAAATGAAACAACATCACATCGTTCATTATAATGAGCGGTTTCTACTCTATTTCAACTTTAATATTTAGCCATGACAAATATTATGTGATAGGTACAATTTCCTGTTATATACAGTGTAAAAAATACCAATGAGATAACAAAATTTCCTAATTATTGCTGCGTCATAATAATAAGAACTTAAGCATGCTACGGTATAAAATTCATCATACAATATTAAAGCCTAAAACTTATTCGGAATTTTTAATATAACAAGTTAAATGCTGTAACTGCGATCAAATATAAAACGACACGATAACGGCTAGACCTATCTTTTAGACGAGAATATAACTTCTATATATACCTACTCTTGTTGTGTATAATAGTTACATAGCTTTATAATTAAATAATACAAATAAATACATAACACATACCGAGTGATTTTGACTAGATCTGACTAGATAGAGATTTGTGCTAAACTATATTAGACCGATTATTAGCCGTTAATTATGCTAATCACTTGCTGATTAATATTAGATCCCTAGAATCCTCTAAGGTTTCCCTATGTTGTTGAACGAATTTCTTACTCGATCAACAACATATGGAAACCTTTTACTCGATAGAAATAGCTACACACGTCTTGTATCCCAAGTCGATAAATATATTACGATTGCTTTTTCGAAAACCGGACTTTTCTAGATTTTTTGTAATGAGAGAATTCTTGAAGAATTCGATTCTATTCTATAATTTGTAAAACATTGCCGGCGTTAATAATTTTGATAGTTGTTATAATTATATTCAAAAATAGAGTCTCAAATTTAAATCTTTTAATTCTTGGAATACGCGACATTATATTATAAAAACCTATCTATCTCCTTTTGTAATTCGACTAGATAAACCCCCTCGACGAGACGACTAATACAAAAGCTAAGCCAGGAATCAATACATCACCCCTTACCCTACTACACCAAATATCTGAAAATTTACGAATCGTTAAGGATAGCCTTCGCCTGAGTGGCTAGAGCTGCATGCGTGAAGGAGCGCTGGTTAGTAGACAAGCATTGCGACACCACAGGCGGCTCATGAGTGTGAACATTGCTGAGAGCGAAGATGCGGTCATGCAACGTGTGCGCATATGCGCGGCACGTGCGTCGCGTGCACCGCCACCGCACCTTATTTTTCTCCGGGAACACCTTCTCCGGGTAAAACGAGAACCCGTTGAGGCGCATGTGACGCCTCCCACGATTCGATATCACGAATTCCACTGCAAAACACCAACCCGGTCACTTGTGTATAGCCATGCACCATTAGTGTGTTACGAACGCATGCATTAACCACCCGACACCAAAATTGGCCACTTTTAGAATTTCGAAAATGGCTAAACTGGTACATTCGAATTTCTAAATGTGGCTGTGTTAGTGACAATCATATAATACCAACACTGGATCTATGTATGATATCTGGACTAAATGAAACAGGGTTTATGTTAAAAAAATTTAATTACACCGTTTTGTCGGCATTGTCCGCGGCGATGACTTCTATGAGGCTTTCAATGCGGGAGAATTCCGCGGCCGGTTGGAGAGGGTGGTTGTGGATGCAATGGCTCATCGTGAGCTGACCGTCATTGGTTAGGGCTCGGGCCTGGCAGCCGTACTGTCTGCGACACCTGCAGCTCCAGTACACCCGGGGACCCCTTCGCTTCCGAGCCACGTAGCTGAACCCGTCGATAACGAGGCAGGGCGCCCCACGCTGCGTCACCGTGTACCTCACGTCGCCGACGTCTCTCCCTATCGCATCACCATGGCGACACGAACAAAACGCTCAATCAAAATAAATACCAGAATTCGCCCTTAAACTATTTATTATGCTACACATCACAATTTTCTCGTAATGTAGAAATTACGTCACAAAATCATACACTTATATCTATTGACTATTGTATATTACATCGGGTCGATTGATCACTTTTTCTTCAAATTTAAATACAATATATGAGACGACAGAAACATATCCAGCTCGTTGGATTCAAATTCAAATTCAAAACGTTTATTGCCATAAAATATATTTACAAACTTATAACTAAATGTGTGCATAAAAAGAATAATAATATAGTAATAAATATATAAGAGTTGGCAATCGGTACCAGTCTCAGCTATGCTGCTGAATGCTTGTCACACTCAGCAGCGCTGGTTTTCAGACTGGCCCGCGCATAGAAGTAAAGGAGTGATTTTTAGTAAAGTAGTATATAATAAATATAATTCCGAGATAGATATACGTTAGCAAACATATACATTATAGAATAACAATATAACCATTAATTAATGCACATCTGCTTTCCAAGGAGGTCCAGTTTAACATGCCGCTTGAACGTCGTGAAGGTCATCTCCTTAGAGCTAGCTCTAAGAGGTGGAGGCAGCATGCACTAAATAAACTAATATCACACAGACGGGCAAGTGACGACTTCGCCCTGGTCATATTTGCGGGCAATTTTCCTCATATGGTTATCGGAATGATTGTGCACTGGATTTGTGACCTTGAGGATATTGTTCTTGGAGGTAATTCTCGCGCGACACCTTTTCCCGTACTCCATGCATCTCCAGAATGTACGTCCACTGCGTACACTGTCCGTTACGAAAATGTACGGTTCATAAATCAACTGTAAGTGCCCGCTTTTCGTTTGAATGAAGTGCAGATCGCCTTTATTATTGCTATTAAGAGTGCCTAAAACTATAAAATATTTGTTAGCACGTGCCGTAAAATACCCTACATTTGAGTTATACATATATAACACTGTCATTAAACAAGTTCGGTGTAATTAGTATTAATAATTACTAATTAAATCAAATTGAGAATAAACGTTTTTTGTTCAATACTAAAATAAAACGACAGCACTGATGAAAGTAATTTTATTTAGACAAATTATTCAAGCTTTGATTTTTAACTTGTATTAATTTTATTTCATACATTGCACCGTACCATTATTAGAATTACCATTTGGAATTTATTTCGATTTATATGGCATCTAGGTACCTTTGGTGTCAAAAACCAAAGTATACTAATTGAAATACAATAGTTTTTAATTATAATCCAGAAGTAACATGCAAATCTATATGGATTATTAATTTTATAAAGATCATACAATATGCATAGTTGTAAAAACAAATGCAGTCACTCTTTAAATAATATTTACAATATTGTAATCCGATGTATAGCACTATCTACAACCTTGTCTTTAAAGAGTCTAAAACTAAAGGTATCTTAAAAATCGAAAACATATGATGAATCTCAGGCACAGCATAGCATTATCAATACCAAAATGGTCCTAATAAGATTAGCTAAAGCGGTGCGTCTAGAATAACTATTGTAAATATATCATGTCAGTAGAAATCATATTCATATTCTATGTTAGCGCAAGATTATACACTACCAATGCATTGCAAAAAAAGGATATGTTGTGGTTACGTATCTTAATATTATCTCAGAATAAGTGAAGATTTTGTAAAATTTTTATTTTTCCGCACACTAGTGCAATGTAGAGATAGTAAGTATATTTACATACATTTACTTCTTAAACAGAATAAAAATCTACTGCATTGTTTATATATATTTGCATCTTCATGAAAGCATTGTTCAAGAGATATGTATTTTAAAATATAAATAGTTTTATGTACCAACTTCATTAAGACAGTTTTAGGAAAAAAAGGTTATACCTTGGGATGTACTATAAATTCTAATGCCAATGCATTATTACCACACTTCAAGTGGTAAGAACTTTCTATAATTCTATCCGTATACTAAAATAAAAAAATCGTTAACAGGGTAATGTAATAAAAAAAGTCGATAAAATATATTTATCAATCAACTCAGTATAGTTTTTAGAATGTTTCACTACCCGTGTCTGTATTCAACAAATGACAGCAAGTATAAGAAAATCCTTCCAAAAATGTTACGAAATCTATTAGTGTTTTTTTGAAATATCTAAAATGCGTAAGGTCGTGTTAAAAAACTGCAGATTTAAAATTATAGGTTATGTTTACAAGCTACCAAAATAAAAAATCACAGTTAACATTATTCTATTACGTATCTAATAACTACTACTTGTTCTTTATTAATTATCAAAATGCACAAGATTATGAGTCTTCTAAAGGTTTCTGTTAGCTACGTCTAACTTGGGGGGAAGGTTGTCAACCTTTAGTTCTCTACCATGTCGTGTTAACGCCAGGAACTTTCCCCTCGTTTCCTAAGAATAATAAATAAAATCACTACATACCCGAATAATATCCAAACACAAAAAACACCAATATTCACGAAAATACACAAAACACAAGCATTATTTGTAAAACAACATCAAACTTTGGACGTAAACACGATCACGCGTAATGAGCACTAATACACGGTTTACGGGTATATAGAGCAAAAGATATTTTAGAATTCCCTTCCCGAAATTCACTTTATTCTTAAAATTAAAAACCATTCGTTAAAAACACTAATAAACTATATTATTACAAAATTCCACGAAATCGTACATAAACAATCTGAAGTGACACTAATAGTACCATAGACCTACGGCGTAGTATAGACGTCGGTCATCATAAGCAACAGAGTTGTGTTCCATACCACGCATTCTCAGCCACAGGGTATAATCGAAATATATTACTGACTAAACACTATGTTGTATTCGTTGCTGAATCGTGTATACGTATTTTTGGTTGCCGTTTCTTTGATAACGAAAATTTTCGTTACAAGAATACAAATAATAAATACATATATGGACAGAATGAAAGACATTTTTCTTTTCCAAGCTACCTTGTGTTCGAGCTACAGTAAAGAGTTAAACATATTAATGCATAACTACTTTTAAATACATTTCATTAGCGATGCACTGTTACTAATAATGATATTATACTTACAATAAACTTGTGCATTTCCGCCGTTTAGTAAATATTTTTGCTAAGAAAAAATTGATCAAGTGAAACACGAAATTTAAATAGATTGTAGACACTTAATGTTATTCAATTGAACAAGTGTAAAATGAATACATTATTTACTTAGATATTATATTAAAGTATCATGATTGTGCTGCTAAGGAGTAAATACAAATAAAACTGATGACAATAAATCGTACTACTAGCGCTATCTCTTGGAAATTTAAAAAAAATCTCAATATATCAGACTGTAGATAATGCGTAGAATTAGCGCATAAAGCGCCATCTATCGATGCATAGTATTTTTACTATATTTTTTTACGTTTGGTATGTTATCTGCTTGCTTTGTCAGGTATTTTTTGTCAGAGATTAAAAGACAAGTATGAAAAAAATCATATTAAACTTCAGGTTGTAATGTTAAAAACTTGGATATAACGAAAAAATGTGTACGTATTTATGTAGCTCATAATAGCATTATGAGCTACATAAAACATAATATTTAATATGAAGGAAAATAAAAAAAATGCGGCATTTTCAAATTCGTTTTTACTGAAATAATAGGATGAAGGATTACATGTTTGAGGTTTTACTGCACTCTGAAATAAAAATGCACATTTATGTGGTATGTATTAAAAGTTCATAGCATTTACAAAAATTATGTTTCTTTACAGATATGAAATAAGAAATGGTATAAGAAGTTACGAATGTTTAATGAAGACTTAAAGTTAGGCCAGAAGTATAATACGTATTTTAATACAATAAAATTTAAAATTAATCATCAGTATTACTGTTCGATATGAATGGAATTGCGCACGCCCAGCATACTGACTTGGATGTGTAAAAGTGGTAGGATGTAATGTAGTAAATCCTTTTTTTATATACTCATTGGTTTTCCAAATGGATATAAAATTTCTAATGCAGGTTCATAATAGTATTGAATTAAAATTTGCTTAAAGTAACCAAAAAAGTACTTTTTCGGTATATGCTTAAATATTTTGTATTTGGACATTTTTTTAAACTTTGGAGCCTTTCGTGTATTCTTTTCTATGTGTGAGATTCATTACAAGTCGTTTTGTAGAAAAGTGTTTTTTATTCATTTTAAGGCTAAAGGCTGTTTTTTCTTGAAGGTTTCATTATTTCATCTTAATTATTATGAACATATTTAAAGATTTTTCTTTCCATCAATCCAAAATTTTGTTTAGTTTTTTCTTAGTGGCCAAGTAAGAATGGCCACTAGGAAAAAAACTGATGGTCAATGCTTTAAACAGCCAGTTTTATGTTTCTGTTTTGGTCACCGCATTGATCAGAATTATGAATTAAGTTTTTTTGTGTTGTTTTTTGCAAACAAGAACCTTTTTCATGTGCAGATAGTGATGTTATCAGTACCTACCAACATCAAGCATTCCGAGGCAATATGTTCACAGTTATCTCCTGTAGTCACATATCCCCATGAGATCGACCACTGAAACTGTGGTGTTGTCATTTACTTCAGCTTATTCTTTACATTTATTTTAATTATTCCTAGCAAAATCTGTCCCAAATTTGCTTTTCTCCTCTTCATTATCACAAGATTGAATTATTACATTCCACTGAAGCCTAGATTAAAATTTTCATCGAACATTTTAGCAAACATATACGATAAATAAGATACAGGGCCTAGATATCTTATCGCAGTATTCTCCAGTGCTTAGTCTATTTAGACTTTTATGTAATGATTCATATATCGGAAAATTTTCTATAATTGATTTAACATCTACTACTTGAGTAGTAGCAGTTACTCGTTATTCGTTTTCTTTTTTGGTGTGCGTCTTCCTCTTTGATCTTGTGGTGGAGTGGAAACAGACAGTTTATTCCTGAGCAATCTAGTGATTCTGCCATCACTAACTTGAAAAATTTTCTTGAAAAATTCTTTACACACTTTTGTTGTTCCACCATCGGAATTTTCAACTTGATATACCCTAGTATTAAAACGCCGAGATATTGAAGAATCCATTTGACTGATCGATGTTCTAAATTTTGGCGCAACATGAACTAAAGAAAAAAGATATGATGTTTGTGCATCAAATGTTCCAAGATCATAAAATTTCTGAAATAACTCTCTTTGTTGAGCAGGGCTTATTTTCTTGTGGCATTTTGCTACACAGGAACACGGCTGATGCTCATCCATTTCTTTCTGGCGTACTACATTGCCTTTGGTATTTATATATTGTTTACCTTTAACTCTGTTTTCTTTACGTATAACCTTCTTCCATTTCGTTGGCTCACGTTTACGTCGTCTCACGACCTTCTGAGGTTCACCCAATTGTACAGAAGCTATGTTTTCGTCTTCAAGATGTTCAACTGATTCTAGTAAGGATGGCAATTGCTTTTTTGATGGTAAATACTCAGTACATGAGACATGTAATAGCGCTCCAATATCATGAAACAATTCTACAACAAAATAGACGCAAATGAATGTATCAAATTACTAAGTATAAACAATGTCATGAATTATATTAAAGCTATTTATATTATTAACAAAATAATAGTAATAATGCAGTAATATTTTTTCTTTGTAGTCTACTGCTTATAGTAGAAACCCGTCTAGATGTAAATTTCTTAACTTTGCTGCGGCTTGTTGTTTAGTTCTTTCATAGGTGAACCTAAAACTCATCAATGCTTATCGAATTGTGCCTACGTTTCTAAAGTTTATTAGACTAAATTAAAATATATATAGATTAAAAAATGAGGGTAGGAGATGAACCGGCATCCACAAAGTTCCATGCTGCTGCCTAACCAATTGAGCTACATCAGACCTAAACCTGTTCATACATGCAACTCACGTATATTGTAATTTCTTTATATACAAGTTGAGCCTCACCATTGGTCGTTTCTTGCGAATGTACCTAGATTCTTTGTCCATATGTTTAACAAATATAAATTATGATACTTCGCAATTGTATATTCCGAGTTTCACCCTCTTATCAAATTACGTTAGGCCTATCTCGCCATAATTTAGAGAACTCTTCGTATGTTGTCAATGCCTAACCTATGTACTAGTGGATATAATGACCAAACTACATAGGGCAGAATGTATTAGTAGAGCTAAGAGTTAAAACCATAATTTTGAGGTCCCGCTCGTCAAATAGCTTAACATTTGACTGGTTAAAAAGCAGTTAGGCCACTCACGTAAAAATCATTCGTTTATGTAAAAATTTAAAATGCATATATGCAACCTTACACATTGATTTGATCGAGATTCTCTACCAATTTTGCAGAAAAAAAAATTGTGGCCAGACATGCATTTTATATAGCAACAAGTGCAATAACAATCTTAGGTACCCCAATTATTATACAAGATCTCTGGGTTGATAATCGATAAACGTAGGCAAATACCCTAAGACAAAAAGCATAAGGTATCATGTAACAAGCAAAAGATTAATTATGCGGCGAGATTAGTGAAACTTTATATCGTCGCCATATAATAAATACGCATTACTAGGAAACTGCTAGCATGCTATAGTAAAAAGAACCAGTATTAAACAGGTCGAATGAGATGTATAATAATTATACAACTCATCTACCAGCAATAAAATGCAGCCATAAATTTTAAGTGACTACATTATATTGATTCAGCCTAAGCTGTCTTAACAGTTTAGTTAGAAGTCTTACCAGAGCACCTTACCATTCAATGCAGCAAACATACAGGACGAATCAAACTGCACGTTACCAGGATTACAAAGTTCGATGTACCTATAGGCTATAATCATTCATACCATTATGATATATAGCCATTACCAATTGTCTGGAAACGGAGTAACATATTTCCTTACCAATTTCTCGAGCACCTTTTTACCAAAGTTTACCGGCTACCAATACCTCGTTACCTTTTTACCTGTTACCTTTACCAATTTAATCACGAGATTAAAAGGCCACACTTTCATGAGAAAGTGTAACCTTTTTTAAACTTATTCTAAGCTTAATTCTAAAGCTAATTTAACTTACAAATTTCACATTAAAAATAAGGAAGCTACATATTAGTAATGTAGCTTCAATGAACGGGCGGAAACCTACCTTGTGCATCGCCAACGGCACCACCCTCCCCACCCGCTGAGATAGTACCGTCACCAGTGGCAGAGCCATCAAAACCTGAAGAAATTATGCAATTAATAAACATTCTATGTGTCCGTGTGTGAATAACCATATTTGCTGAAACTTACCAGACATGTCCATATTCGAATCATCCTCGCCGAAATTCGTTTCGTCATTGTTAGTGCCATCTTCATCTTCGTCCCACAAGCTTTCGTTTACAAATTCAGGTTCCATTTTGGGTGCAACAGCGTTGTTATCTTCTTCGTCCGGTATCGTCACAAATTCGTCTTTCGTCGAGCCAGAAGGCCCGGCTTCCAAAGGATCGATACATTTCCGTTTCGCTGGTCCACTTTGAGATGATGAAGAGTTATTTGATGCTATCGACGGCCTATTTGTTCTCTTAATAGCTACTGGAGTTGTGGTCTTAGTTTCTAAATCAGTCTCTAACTTAGTCATAACAGATTGCCTTTGTTGTGACGACCTCGGGCCTGGCCTTGAAGTCGGCTTTGGTTTGGATGGCGTGGAACTTTCTTCATTTTGATTACCGGTTAAACCTTTCACTTGAAGTTGTTCCGCGGTACTAATAAATGTAGCTAATTCTTCTTGTTTAACATTAACTTCACCTTGATACATAAACTGTAATAAGTCTCTTAAAGCCGAATGACTAACATCTTTTAAAAATACTGAAACAAACAAAGAAAATAGATATTAATTCCGGTCCCATAAAAAGGGAACTACGACAAGTTTGAGCAGATACATACCTATGGGATGTTGAGTAGGATTCATTTTGAACATTTCTTGGAAATACGGCGAACATACTGATAAAACTAATTTATGTGCTTGAAGTAATCTGCCTTCGGCAGCTAGAGTTACATCTACTAGATCTCCTCGCGACAGCAGGCCGTGAAAGCCTGCTGACATATTCGCGTGGAAGTTGTTCCAACATAGTGAAAATTGTTCATCCGACGCCATGTTGGCGGCGACAGATGAAAGTTCCTGAAAGCGAAAAATATAATTTAGAAATGATAGACTACAAAGAATTGCACTCCACAACCAGAATAGAAATACATACCTATAATTTGTACTTTGATTATATTATTTTGGACATTAGAAACATTTGACTGTCTTAATTAGCTTTAATGATTACTGTCCCACGTCCACCAGTCACTACGTCCGTCCGGTTTGAGCGCTCTGCTTGATATGATGACGCAAAACGACGGACTGTGTGTCGTCACAGGGTGGCAATACAAATCACAAACTGCACATTTATTTCAAAAATCAAAAAATCATAGAAAACATATATAAAACTAAAATTAAGTATAGAATTTTATATTCTTGTTACTTTGCACATCATAAAAAAGTTATATCATGAATATAAATAGATATTATACAAGTTTTGAGTCTGTGGTAATGTCACTATGAAGTAAGATGATGTAGCGTGCACGCCTGCATTTTCGATTATGCACAATTTTTAAATATTCTATTTAATCTGTATATGTAAAACTTCAAAAGCATAAACATATAATAAATGTTAAGACCACTAGTAAGTCTTAATTACTATTTTTAATGAAGTACTACAACCTCATCCATAACGAGTTTGAAATAAGTACAAATTGTTACTTATAGCACAATTTGAAAATCATATAGCTTTGCTAGTATTTACCGCATATTCAGTTTAATAATAGTGATCCTTACGATTATCTCAGATATGTTTGAAAATAAAGAACCGAGACTTCACCAAACACAATTATCAAATACTCCACTAATAAAAAATATATCTATAGTCTTGGTCACATTCAACCATGCAAAAGCTATGTGAACTCTAACAGATGGTAATAAAGTATTTATTCGTTTATTCAATTTTGCACAGTAGTGTTGGCAGTTATTTGTCCTTTGCAACGTTTTATGCAATTTTTACAAGCAATCGTGGTCACAGTTATCATGAGGTTGTTTATCTGTGTGCTTAATTTCGGTGATTTTTCAAATAAATTAATTTCATTAGACGCAAAAGAAAATATGATTAAAGTCACTATCGTTAGTATCAAAGGCTTTAAATATAACTAAAAATCAAATATAGTTAAAAACCAAAGCATTTATGTTAATATCCATTAAAAATTAACATCCTTGTTTATTTATACTACTTAAAGAGACAAACGTTGTAGTACAATTTGAATTATAGCATACATTATAGTTATATATTGTACATTATAGTGGCCCGTTGCATCCATTAGTATAAAATATATATTTTTTATATCTTTATCTTGTCTTAATATATTGTTAATAATAAGTAAACATGCCGGTAGGTATAAAAAATAAATGTTGATAAAGAATAATAATAAAACGAAAGAAAAATGTATGTAAATTGTATCTAAACAATGCGATAGCGCAAATTTTTTATATTTTTCTCTAACTTTTAATTTAAAGGGGTCCCTATTTGCTTTTTTTTAATAAATACCTAATATTAATATGATCTTATACATAAAAGTGAGTTCAATTGAAAGTTTAAGAGATTATTGAACATTTTTTAAGAAGCGGAAGGACTGAGAACATATAATAATTTTTTTTTTTTATTAATATGCGCTACCAAAAGACTGCACTTTTTTGTCTTTTATTTAATCTGTATGCCAGGAACTATGTAAACAAATAAACTAATTATTGTAATTTAGACTAATAAATTTAGCAATTAATTGCAGGTAGGAACCTAACTTATATTACTACTTATATTCACTTTTAATTTATACTGTTTGTTTGAACGTGGTAATCTCAGAAAGTACGAGTTCGAATTGAAAAACTCTTTTGTGTTGGTTAGATCATTTTTTGAGGAAGGTTATAGGCTATAACTATAACACATTGCGATGTTACTAACAGGAGCGAAGATACAGCGAGAAATGTAGACAAAACGGGGGAAATTTTTCATCTCTGTAGGTTTCGTATGCGTACGCTGCGAAAACGGTTCAAGATACCTAAAAATTGTGTATGAAAGAATAATTTCTCTTTGAATGATCTAAAAAAAAATCTGTGGCGCTATATGTCTATCTTTTAAGATCAACTTGCAAGAACGACGGGAAGGGGCGCGATCGACGTCTTGACTAACTGCTTAAGTTTATAAAGATGACGGTGTTTGCAAAAACTAATTTGGATGCCCAAAATAACGATTCTCGGACGAAGTCGCTGGCACAGCTAGTTATGTATAAAGATGTAACATATATGAGTATGTAGGATTACTTTTATCATAATTATTATTTTGTTGGCTACGAGTTCTAATGTAGCAATTATCTCCTGAGTTTGAAAACATTAATATTTTTCACATGTTATTGGACATGAAGGCGCTATATAATTTAAATATCGAAAATAAATTGAAAAAAATTTAAAATTAAGTTGAAAAAATTCGACGATGAGGTGTAGGACTCGGTAGCTCAATTGGTAGAGCAACGGCACGGAAAGCTGACGATGCCGGTTCAAGTCCTGCCCGAGTCGAAAATTAAAAAAAAAAATTATTTTCGATATTTAAATTATCTCCTGAGTTATTAATATTATTCATGAGACAGAAGAACAGACAAAGACGTGGAGTTCACTTTACAGAAGGGGAAATACCCCAGATATATATATATATATATATCTCAGCAAGATGCGCGGACTTATTTTGGCATTGGATTTTCGAAAATAATTATTTTTAGTTTTGATGCTAGCTTCGTAAGCATTAAAATCTTCATTTAACTGGTCGGTCAAGTTTAATCAATGATTTCATATTTCATAATAATTTCATTAGTTAAATTTGGTTTAAATCAAAAACCTTAAAAATAGTATCATGCTTTTGTTATCATTTAAAACGTGCAGATTTTATAAATCGCGTGGGCATAACAGGATAAAAAAGAGTTAGTGATGGCGTGGCTTTTGTATGTGGTAGCGGTATGCGCGTTGGTTGCGCCTGCGCAGGCGGTGGTGGGTGGTGACCCAGCAGCACCGCCCGAACCTGATGCAGCCGTGGTGTTTACCCAGAAGCATGGGTACAGCGCGCGGTGCGAAGGCCTCAGGGACGAGACACGTGGTTATTATACATTCGCAGGGATAAGGTATCTACAGACGATTTCTTGAAAGTATAAAGGGATTTAATAAAAATTTTGCTTTAATTTTACTTGGATTGGCTGCAGAAATTACGTTACTACTAAATTAATCCCCTTTTTTTGGAGTCAGGCACCGATTAAAATCTTAAAGTCAGAGGTTGATATTACTAGAAGCTTGCGATTTTAATTAACACATACCTATTACGTATAGTTGTATTCCGCAGGTTTTCATTAAAATTTAAATTGAGAATGTCGCTTTGGGTGCGCATTCGTTCAACGCATTGAGTTACCCACAGGTTTGGATCCTGGCTAAGCACCAAATAATTTCGGACAGAGCACAGAAATCTAATCACCTCGTTCATTATTAAATCGATCTATGCAGCAGACATAGAAATATATCCATTCTATTTGACTGGATTTTACCTTTTGCGTGTTTGTTCGTTTCTTGTCTTTTTTTAATGTTAATAATTATTTTTTTGGAACATATTATTTCTATGTGGCGTTTATTGATTGAGGTTAGGTTAAGCGTTGATAAAACTTGTCTCTAAAAGGATGTAGCGCTTGATAATAGTTTCCGTGGTAATCATCATTTATTTTTTTATTTAAAAATCACTTAGGTTCACGAATAAACGGGCCTCCCTGTGGCAAATAAAGCATAGGAATCGGAAAGAAACACAGACGTTTTTATCTTAAGTTACTTAGGAGGCATCCTAAGTTAGGTTGAGCAGACAAACTATAAAATAGATGTCGAAAAACACTAAAAAAAAAGGATCCATTATTAGGTGCAAGCGCTTTCGGAACATCACTAAAGCTAGACTGATGATCACTCATGTAGGCGTTAATAAAATATGCTTAAATATAGACTGCTATATGAAAATACAAAAACCAAGAGGATGTCGTCTTTAGTGTAGGTATATATTCAATGGGCTGACGATGATAATACGTAGTAATTGTTTTCTTCTAATAATCTTCATCGTATAAATTATAAGCACTGTTCAGGTATGCAGAGCCTCCAATTGGTAATAGAAGATTCCAGCGTCCAGTAAGACGTTACCTCGCAGGAGAGATCAACGCCACTAGGCTTTGCCCCCCATGTCCTCAGGTCGACCCGAGAGGGTCTGGAAGAATAATTGGACATGAAGACTGTCTTTGTCTCAATGTATTCGCACCGAAGATGCCCGGTGAGGAACGAGGTAATAAGAACGCAATTCTTCAAGGAAATACTAGAAATGCCTAAAGACTATTTTTTTTTATTTTGTTTATTGCGAAATTAGATATGAAATAATAATAATACAAGATAGTATTACTTATTTACTGGCTTTTAATTGTAATAAATGCCATACATTCATAATTGATTTTTTTTTCAGGTTCGCCTGTAATATTTTTTATTCATGGGGGTAATTACCGCACCGGATCGATAGCTGCATATGGAGTATGTACATGTGTTTAAATATTACCTGCTTTAAAACATTTTGTCTTATATTTTCATTATTATTCCCAGGGACAGCATTTCGCGCAACAGGACACCATATTGGTAACAGCTCAGTACCGTTTAGGTTCCCTTGGGTTCCTGAGCACAGGCGATAGGGATGCATCGGGGAATGCTGGTATTTTTGACCTGCGTGCTGCCATGACTTGGGTAAAATAATTTTTATTTGAAGGTAAACAGGCGAATTAGTTTAGGATTTATTGAACTTAATATGATAAGATGAAATTGTCAAAAAAGAAGTTCAACGATTCTTATTAATAACCTTCTTTGTTTAAAACAATCCATATTGACTTACTAGCTGAGTCAGTTTCCGACATTCTTGCAAGTTAATTTTAAAAGAAGGTCATTTAAAGAAGAATACATTTTTTTATACAATTTTTTTGTTATCTTGAACCGTTTTTGCAGCGTACGCCTCGGAAACCCATAATGATGAATAATTTTCCAATTTTTTTCACATTTTTTCGCTGCACCTCCGCTTGTATTAGTCACAGGGCAATGTTTTATAGCCTATAGCTTTCCTCGATAAATGCTCAATGAATTTTTCAATTTTAATCTGTAGTTCCTGAGATTAGCGCGTTCAAACAAACAAACAAACTCTTCAGCTTTATATATTAGTATAGATTACCTATTAAAACTTACATTCAAGAAATATAATCTTTCATTTAGATTAATAACTACATTGAGTTCTTCGGTGGCGATAAATCTCGAATAGTAGTAATGGGTCAAGGCTCTGGCGGAAGGACAGCCTCTTTACTAGGTCTATCCGGTGAGACCCCGCGTGAAAGCCGGTCTGCAACTGGCGTTGCAGCACTTTCTGGAGCACCATTGTCACCCGGTAAGATATAATGGTAATTATAATGTAGGCTAAGTGCTACTCAAAAATCTACTACTAGTTTTTAAGTCTTTTACTAAGATAAAATATTTTGGAGTTTTACACGTATATCGTAAATACATACTTCATCATCATCTTTATACAGGAGCCGTGAAATCTGACCCCAAGAAACATGCGGAAGAAATTGCAGAGCGTACGGGTTGTCCCAAACAACCTGCTGAGAGACTTCTGCTATGTTTAAGGAAGTTGCCAGCAGAGAAGATTATAGAGGTAAAGAACAAATTTATGAAATTGTATAATATAATTAAAGTAATAAAGTTAAGTAGGTCTATTTAAACCTAAATGTTACTTCCAGGCAGATAAAGATGTTTTGATGGAAATGGTTGACACGGAAGCGTTTTTGGAAGAAATCGCTGGTAACGCTGGTAAGAACGTTATTCACATTCTGGAATACCTTAATTAAACATGTTTTTATGACACGGCTTTAGGACACGGTTATCCTAACAATTTGTCATAAGTTCCTAATAAATGAAATTATTTAATAAGGTGTCGGCGTACGAGTAGAAGGCGAAGATGACAAGAGAGGTCTTCCGCCACTGGTCGCTGAGGATCCAAGTGACTCAATCAAGAAGAAGCACCAGCTAGGGCCTATGCTAACGGGTGTTACGTCTGCTGAAACTTCACGCGCTGTTTTTGGTAACACAAATATTACGAAATATCATTTTAAATATTTCTTATATAGTTGACATCCATATATTTTTTAAACAGGCAACTATTAGTTGCTCTTCTTTTCTACTATGGTATGAAGTTAAAATGTGGATTTATCATATAAAGATTTTATTAGATATATTGTATTGTAATGTTTTTTTTCATTACGTACATATATATATTTTTTTTATTTAGTAAGCAATCTATAAGTATTAAGGACAACACGATTTACATTATAGGAAAGTACGCAAAATTCCTCAGCAATCAGTTATCTCAAGTTCAAGATTTCATCAAGAAGGACTTGATCGGTGGCCTCAAAAAGACGGTTCAAGGGGTTGAGGGCTTGAACCCCCTGAAACTGCCTGGTGTACAACGAGCTGTTCCATTACTCGACTACTATCAGGCCGTATTCGATAATTCTATGAAGGCCATCGACGGATTAGCACAAATCGCTGAAGCCACAGGTGTGTTAATTATCGGATTATACGGATATCAAAGTAAATCAAACTTGTAGCTACTTAAACAGATTTCTTGAAATGAGTGCTTATAAAAGGTTAACGATACGTTTTCTACTAAGCACGAAAATACATCTTTTTAATTCATACATATATAAGTCTATTTTCACTATACGTTCTTTATGACCTATCGTAATTGGTAGATCAGTAAACAGAGTAAACCACAGACAAAACGCTTAACACCTACCAATTAAAATCGATATGATGGGTAAGTATTATTTACTTGAAAATATTATAACGTAACTTAATAATAAAATCTTTTATCAGGGGACGCATTATTTAACTTTCCGGCTTATCAAAGCGTTCGTGAATGGAGCGCAGGCGCACCTGCTCTGATGTACAGCTTCGAACACGTCGGTAATCTCAGCAAGGGCTCACATTTTATACCTGGGATCGCTTTGACACGTAAGTAAATATAAGATGATTTTAGATTTATATCTCTATAAATAGCAAATATTTAAGCTTATTAAACTTTACTATTTTATGTTCGCTTATCTTTCTTGTTTGTTATGTTAAATGCACAGTTTATTTTCCCTCAACTTCATATATAACCCAGTAATTACGTTAAACTCGATGGTATAACTAAAACGTTGTAAACAATTCTTGCTCATAACTTTTTAGAAGGCGCAGATAATCCATCTGAAAACGTGCAACAAAAAGGGAAAGGACCAGCTCATGGGGATGAACTGGCTTATCTTTTTGAGCCTTTGGATGATGAAGGGAAACCTCTAAATCAGTCTGTATCCACAACTGATGCGGAGGTCCGCCAATCGTTCGTCAGTCTGTTTGCGAAGTTCGCAAGAAACTTAAGCTCAAATAAAACTAGAGACGAAAAGCTATTTGGATTCATACCATATTCGACGGATGGTGAACAATATTTGAAGATTGGTAAAACAATTACACTGGACAAGAACTTTAGGTTTGAAAACTTTATTATTTTTCACACGTCATTGGAGATGATGGCACTGTGTAAATTAAAAAATATACCTACCCTAAACTTAGGTATTCTATACAAAATATATGTCTTCTTGTAAAAAAGTTATTCGAAAAACGTGCTAACCAATTGTTGGCTATTATTTGTCAATTGATGTTTAACTGTTTAAAACTGATATTAATGAGGAATATGATTATAAAATTATAAACTTGATTTTTCTAGGTTCTGTCAAATCGGTCTTTGGGGTGAGATGTCGGATCGCTTAACGGACACTTTTTGCAAAAATCATCTAGAACAAATCCTTAATTTACCAAAACTTATATCGCCTGTTGCTATACAAGTCGATAAAGTTGGTAAAATTCCACTCCACAACCAGGGCATACCCCTTTTGATGCCCAAACCAACTACCAAGCCTAATTGGAACGCATTTAATAATATAAATCCATTCGGTATTGCGTAAGTTGAAAAATATTGAAATAAAGACGTCTTATATAAAGCTAGCAAGTTTTCTTTTGTACCGATGGTAGCAATGTATAGCTAATCGAAATCCAATCAACGGGTCGTAACTTTGATTCCCACGAACTTTCTAATCAATTTATTTATTTTTCATAAACATAATATTATATTCCTACCATCCATATTAAATATGTATAGGAAAATGAAAATTCAGTCCGAGTCACAAGCAAGGATTTTCTATAAGTGATGTGCTGGATTTTTTTTTTGTATTTTTCACATCACAGATTAATTTAAATTAAAAATCTTCTAATTTACTTCGCTACTTTTCTTTAAAAAAATCTATTTTTAATTTATATCTTTAGTGAACATTTATTTCACAATAGCAACGCCTCACAAACGTTGCCAGCTGTGGTATTGCAGTATTTATAATTAAATATTATAACCTGACCTAGATAGTATTTTAACTTATTGCTTTGAAATTTAGATGACACGAGAATTTGCAAATAAAATATCAAGAGAAACGGTAAACCATTGACAATGTATCTCTGTTAAATAAGTCTGATAAATAATTGATGAGAAAGGGTGAAAAATTCTACAAATAAAAATAAGGTCAAACACTACTAGATAAAAACTATTGCAAGGTTTACATAACAAATGGTGCTACAGACAACGAACATATATATATTAAAGAATTTATCTCTTACAGTGGAAAGTTTCCAAAGAAACAACATACAAAATTTTGTTGCAAAATTCCTCGAATTCCTCAATTCCTCTCAAAAATGATTTAGGAGGATTTTTGTTCTATAGTTAATGTGTATCGCTGTCTTGCTCGGGTTAAAAGATAAGACAGGGATAGCGATAGCCCGGGTCGATTTTACCCACCAGAAATACAACTTATAAATTGGTACCATATGAAATCGTTTTCGTCCTATCAAGACTAATATCTCTGTCTGTCCGGCTTTAACGCCGAAACTACTGATCCGATTTAAGTGAAATTTGGTACACAAATGTCCTAAAACCTGAGAAAGGACATAGGCTACTTTTCAATGCCAAAAAAGGTTGCTAGGGGTTGAAAAGAGGGATGATAGATTGTATGGTAATTCGTTTTTTGAAGCTAAAACAATTAAACTTTCTTCTTAGCCTTTTTCGGATGGGAGTCGGAGTGACAAGAGGAGGATGGGAGATGAGAGTGGGAGTGTTGCGGCATAGTAGCACTTTCAACGCAGATTGGCTACCTTGAAAGCGCCCATTTCGATGACATGCATGGTAAAACCCTTTGTTGTACGCAAAAAAGGTAGTAAGGGGTTGAATAAGGGATGAAAAGTTGTCGTTATATGTTGTTGTCACTATTCCACGGGGACGAAGTCGGGGGCACAGCTAGTTTTCTATAATTCTATAAAGACAAATAACAATAACTTGCTATTAATAATAAGGAAAGTCAATTGAAATACCATCCTGTGGTTTGATGTCTGTTTTCCCTTATCTTATAAACATAAGTACAGCTATGCGGGTATGCGTGTGTACAATTAGTTTCAACATTGTTCTCGATTTTACTACATTATGGTTTAAATAGTTGCGATTTTTCATTATCACAACAGTACGTGAAAATGTCTCGTGTGATTTTATCGTTGTGCTTATGCGTTGTTTTTGCATGTGTAAATGCAGAATTGATTAAAGGAGTAATAGACAACAAACCGGTATTTACAAAGAAGGCAGTTCTTCTGGAAGATGAGGTGGATACTAATGAGTTGAGAGTACCTCCAGAAGTTGATTCGGCGAATGTCTTCGCTAACGAACGTTGTGCGCAAATAGGAGAGTTCGTAAGTTCTTTTAGTCATCTAATCCTTATAAATTTACGCATGAAATTCATTTCAGAGTCATCTTTGTTTATCGTTACATACGGCGATATAACTTTTAAAACAAAGCCTTTATTTATCACCTTTTAAATACATAGGGCTTACATTAACTGCACCATGCTGTTTCAAGCTTTGTTAAGCTGTGTCGTGTTCAAAATCCCGTTTCCTGTCCTAGGCCATGGATCAAACACATTTATTGATCGTTTTACTGATCGGTTTTATTTACAGAGTAGTTGATCAGAATTCAGTGCCTACGAAAACAACCTATTTTAACCCAGGACCTCCCTCTCGCTCTTAACGCAGTCATTGAACCGTTTATATCATATTAAAATAAGCGTAACCACATACGATCTAAACAAGATGTTTTGTGGACTTATTTTTCTGGCTTTGGATATTCGGAAATCCACAGACTGACACCAAAACACGCTTAAACTTGACGGTTTTTTTTCATCCGTGGACGGCGGTTTCTGACCCGGACGGAATTTGACATATTCCTACAACCTAATTAAAATCCAGATGTTTCAGAAAAACTATAAACTAATTAACATACTTGACCCGTCGGGGAACGAACCCACGATAACCGGCACCTTATTAATTGTTTAATTTAACATGCATAATATATTCCCCAGTGCACTTACCACTCCGATTGCTGCACGAACGCCTGTCTGGGTTATATGAAGAAATGCGTTTCTGGATCTGGTTAAGAGATGCCTCTACTACAACGAAAACGGCTATACCAAAAATTTGGAACAAATCATTGTTACTACTACATACTATGGTGATGTTAAAGTTAGTCAATCTAACTTTTATTTTATAAATGGAGTAGAGTTTTTATTGAGTCTTAAGTAATTTTTTCATTAAATATTATACTTAATGCATTTGAGGTTTAATTTTGCAAATTATTCTATTAAGCATAATAATAAAATATGTTTATATTGATATATGAATCCTGTTTTCCCCAGCAAAATAGACGCTTCTCTCTGTTCCTGAACGTCGTTCCGAAATCGAACGAGCGATTAAATAATTACATGGTAGTAGTGATCAGAGTTCTGTGTCCGACCACACCGTCATTTCGCACATTTATTATATATTTATTCTTGTCTAAAGGGGTCGAACCCAGAAGTTAGTTTGTTTGAACTCCCTTCTCTCAGGAACTACTTACCTGGTTTGAATTGAAAATTCGGCCGAAAAATATGTTGTATCTTTTACATAATTTTGTTATAAAATACCGATTTGTAACATATTTATCTTACAGTCATGTTTTCCTCATTTTAAAATCAGTCAGAATGTTAGTCATCATCATGGACGTGTTTATGACGGAATTACTGAACCCAAAAAACCCATATACGTGCTTGATATTTACGTGAGAATCTAAAGGAGCATCGTGTTGGCCTATACATAGGATTAGCGCTAAAAATACTGAATTATTATAAAATCTACAATTGTAGTAGACCTGGATTTGAGAAAATTGTTCACCACCTCAGTCATCGCTATAAACAAACCGCAAAAACTTTTTACGGAGACGCTAATTTGTTTTATTACGAAATAATAGCAGCTTCCTTTAAATAATTCTATATAAACAGGTTTATTTATTGCGTTTCGTCTTTTAGCAGTTCGCGTTCATGACATGGACACCTGGACTATATTACCATTACTTTTACTATTACTTTCTCTAATGCAAACGTTTTAAGTCAAAATCAAAATGAAGATGAATATAAACGTCGCATTAATACTCTTCGAAGGAAGCGGCAAAGCGGGTATTCGTATGACAAACCTAAAATATCATTTGATTTGCCTTCTAAAGCTGTAGAAACTACGAAGCCAAGGCCAGTAGTAAACGGAATACCAATGCAAATGTATTACGCTTATCCTGTCCCATCTCCTAAAGTTAATAGCAATTTTGATGACACGGGAACATCTGGGTACGATTACAGAAACCAAAATGGAGAAAGGACATCCAACAACCGCGCAACGGATACAGAATCTCTAACAAATGTCAAACTATTAAATTCAAAGGCAGAAGCAGAAAACACTCCGGTCAATGTAGCAATGAAAAACGCGGGTAACACTGGTTATTCAAACGCTATATCCACTGCTGGAGTTTCAGAAGGATCTGGTTATAATTACAATGCAGGTCAACCAAGCAAAGACAGTGGAATTAGCCCATCAAGTACCGGGCCCGTTGCCAACGTTGGTGTTACAGTGTCGGATCCTACAGGATACAATTATGAGGGCCAAAATATGGTTTCAAGTCAAGCGACCTTAAATACAGGATATTCGACCCCCGCAAGTGTAGAGAATTACTCTGGATATAATTATGAGAGGCAAAATACTGCCCAAGTCATTAATTATAATGTAAATACTGAAACTCAAACTCCTACGATTCCTTCAACCAATTCAGGTTATGCTTATGAAAATCAAAACAATGCAAAGGTTCGTGAAAATAAAGACACGGCAAATATTGGACCCTTAAATAATAAAAACCCAGGCTATAATTATCCGACAGGAAAAGGAACGACTCAAACGTCACAAATAAAAGCGAATGCTAGTTTTGGAACCAATCCAACCGAAATCTTAAGTAAGACTGGGTATAATTATGAGAGACGAATATTAATGAATAGTAATTCGGAGACAGATTTTGAACCCACTTATTCGTCTGGAAGTAATAATAAGAATGATGACCTAACTTCTATAAACTCTCAAAGGCAGTCACAAGGACCGAAATACAATTCCCAAAGTCTCCCTTCTACAAACTATTTGCCAACATCGGAAAATGTTTATAAGCTTCCTGAATCTTATTTACCAGTTAAACCAACATCTAAAGTTCAAACTTCCAGACCTATCCCTCAAAGCACAGTAACACGGGCCCCTTTAAAGAAAAGTTACTTAACGCCAAATACAATGGATATCCCTAAAGAGTCGACAACACATATGACGTCAGGCGATATTCAAAATATTCAGACTACTAATGAGTATATTCCACCACCTATGTTGGAACCTATTCCAAAACCCAGCCTGCAATATCTAACACCAAATAAAAACCAAAAAAAATGAGCAATCTAACCTGGAATATTTACCCCCGAATTCACAAAATTCGGAGAAGCAACCATCGACTGAAGTACAGACTAATGCACACCAATATCTACCACCAGCTAGTCCAGTTACGTCAACAGTACCCCCTCCAGCATTCACATACTTACCACCGGTATTTTAATCATAATCTAGTTACATTATTATTAATATTTAAATATATATTGTATTTTCTTTATTCATTTTAAGAATTACTGAATTATCATTATTAGTAGTAACTGTTAAGATTAGCTGTAAGACATTTTTTAAATTTCATAGAAATAAAATATAAGAAAATTTATTGCTATAATAATTTTGACAATCGATTAACAATTATTAATGTGGACCACTAATTATTTTATTGTTCCATTATTATTCTACGCGTCTATGTTTGACATATGTCAGCTGCCATTCGTATTTTGTGACACTGTCATTGTTGGAATGATTTTAGTTAAAACTTGCAGTTTTCAAGCAACATACCCTATGTAATCAAAGATGAGAGTTATTTTTAATCTCGTTCTATAATATTCCTTACGAATTTATTAAATGTGCGATTTTGCGTTAGATATGAAGAATAATATCTTTATATTTAAAATACACAAATAATGAGTTAGTGACACACATAGAAATAGACAGTCCCAGTTGGAAAAATTATGATTCTATCCAGGCAAAAATTGAAAATTTCTCGAATAGGAAGCAAGGTATTCCCAAGGTAGGATTCTGATTATATTTTAATTTGATTCTGTGATTATTGTAAAGATATATAGTTATAATAGTTTACGTAAAATTATTGATTTCATTTCGAATAAATATTATTATGTTGACTCACGTACAAGAACATATTAGTTAGTCTGACGTGATTATTTCAGGACTACCAAAGTGGGAGTCGAGCTAAAGGATGGTGCATCTTGAAATGAGTGATATTCAACATACACTAACCATAAATGATCTGCCGAACGAATTACTTATTTATATTTTTTCTATGATTGATTTTGATTCATTGCTAGCAGTAGCTAAAGTATGTGTGAGATGGCAACAGCTCTGTATGACTCCTTGTATCTGGTACAACACTCGATTAATAGTATGTATGAAAAACTATGTAAGAATCAGCGATAATATTGTTCCATTTGTTGCTAAATATTTAAAAAATGTCAAGTTACAGTATTTTAAATTGTATTCGCAAGTAAGAAGCTCCCTAATTAGCTATTGTCCCAATTTAACTCATTTAGAAATATGTATATCTCAAGTGGACAGTTGTATTTTCGATGATCTTGGCCACTGGCCGAATTTAAAGTTTCTTAGCTTTCGTAATTCCTTAATAGTACAAAACTCTGAAGGTGCAAATGGTAATTTTATGTATGACCTTCCCTTTGAAAAACTCAAGTACCTAGAAACATTGATACTATCAAATTTTGCTTTAACACAAAGTAGTTTGTATAGTATGCTACAATGTGTTAATTTAGTCAGTATTAACATGGAAAAAATGAAAAATATTCCTGCCGACTTCTTAGAGTCTCTGTTGAGAACGAAACAGTCAAGTTTAAGAGCACTTCATATTTATGGAGACACACTGAACGATGATATTGTCTGTTCCATATCAAATTGTAAGGTGTTACAGGTTTTACATATCATGACATGTAAGACATTGTTTGATTCGAGCTTACAACATTTATACAGATTGAAAAATTTGCATTCTTTGAAATTACGACATGGATACTTTTCTACAAATGCACTATTAGCATATTTCACAAACAATAAGTTTCAATGCTTGACATATTTAAGTCTGTCTAGATGTCTGCATGTCACAATGCAAGTTGCTAAGGCTATCAAAACGGGTGCACCAAATTTGAAAGAACTCTCATTCTATCTCTGTCCTTTCATTATAGCTCCAGACTTTAAGAAAAGTGAATTGCAGAAAATGTTTAATATAGAGTTATTGCTTGATTAATCACAGTGACCTCATTCATAGGTTGTCAATAAGAGGACAAAGCAGCTTAGCTATCCGTCCACCTCATTAGATACCTACATGTATTAATTATTGTTGGAATTCCTATTCTAAATAGGGTTAATGATACTTGACATCAATCAATGAATTTAGGGTATGAACTATTTAAAGTGAACTATCTAAATGCAAGTGATAATAATTAGTTATCAAAATTAACTAACATTTGATGTTTTGACTATTGAATATATGTTGTGTATTAAAAATGTCACGTATTAACATATAAGACTAAAACATGTATTGTAAATGAAAGCCTATCTATTAGTCAATTAATGAGTGCCTTAAATTTGCAATAAAATTGAATTGTTAGTTATGCAAAGATTTTACATGTGAATTATTGGAAACATAATAATTTGAATTAAAGTTATGCGTAGTGCCTACTTATACAATATTGTGATTTTATAGTTATTATTGTTTGTGCTGTTTATTATATCTACATTAAATATTTTAAGAATATAAAGTTCTTTTTTATTTATTTTGAAAACACCTTAGCATACATATTTTTAATTGCACATCATGAAATTTTTGTTAATAATCTTGATTTCCCTATTTTTTTATACCTTAACTTTGGTGTTGTAATTTTTAGTAATAACAGAACTCTACACAACATACTGTGAGAAAACGTATATATGATTGATACTATGAATGCAAAAATCTGTGTGGATGTTACCTTGTGGCAACATTGTTGAATGTCAGATTAACAAAGTACCATACAGAATTCTGTTTTCCACCAACACAACACTGCATCAAATTTAATTCAAATGAAAATGGTGATGACCTATGAATATCCATACAATGTGGAAGTGACCCAGTTCTATTAGAGAATAACATAAACAAAATTATTATAAAATTTTATTTCAAATATAATTAGTTAACAGTGTTTCAATATATGTGTACAATGTAGCAGTTATAGGAATGGCTCGATGTTAATTTCTACAGCTGAGCATGGGTTTGTAAGTTCAAAGGCAGTTAGAACATTTGGATGTATTACACCAATCTTGCCAATCACTTTGGCCTGTAGCAGCACTTCTGCACACCTCCCAGGAAAATAAGCAGGATCTGAAGTGTTGAAAATGAAAATTGTATTATTCAATATAATGGCCTAAGTTACCAAATATTTATAAAATGTAATTGTTAATCAACAAAAAAAGAAACTAAATATGTTTTAATCGTCTGTCACCAAATGTTTACCTTCTTTTAAAATATTTATGACATTAGATTAGATGTGAATATATGTATGAAAAAATCTAAACTAAATGTCCTTCTTCTGATAAGAATTATAAAGTTCTTAATATCTTTATCATACTACAGCAGTTATCAAGCACATATATGAACATTATATTAAGTACATCTTATTGATTTTTTAATAAAGTAATTTTTAAGTAAACATGTCAGGTACTTCAGTCAAAAGACTTCATTAAACAATGTATGCTATCCGCTTATAAAGAATAACAAACCTTCCGCTTGTTTCAATGAATAACCAGTATTCGGAGTATAGGGAGTAGACAGCAATGCCATTACACGATCAAGCAGGCCGTGTACATACTGAAAACCAGCGGCGCGACCACAATACAGCGCACATAGGCGGCGCTCGTTCTTAGCACCCGTCTCTTTATAAAAAAAAACACAAATGTGTATAACATCATTAAGTGTCTTTATGTTTTCAATGAGCAAGCACTTAAAGTGATAGAGGTTCCGGGGAATCGTGGTAATAAGCTTGGAATAAAAAATTATCTATGGTTTACGCAAATACATTCAAATAAAACTTTGTTTTGGACGCTTTGCAGTAGGCGTGGTACTGGTAAGCCCCCCCACCCCCACCACCTTCTAAGTTAATGTGATAGAATAAAATGGATAAACGGGGCTGCTTAATACATAGATGAAAAGTAATTCCACACACTTACCTGCTGCTTCATCTTTCAAAACGACGTCACCGATTTCGAAGATTTTTAGTGGTAGTGGCATCTTCTTGTTGGCAGCCAAAGTCTTCAATAGACCAGGCAAGAGCAGAGTCCTCACCACTTGGAACTCCAAGGTCTTCGGGTTGGAGATGTGCGCAGCGGGCACATCCTTGATATCGCGCCCCAGTTTCGTTGCTACATCTTCTCGGGAACACTAAAAAAGAACAAATTAAATTCTATCCTTTGTTTTCGCGTCGCGAGAAAAAAAAAAAAAAAAAAAAAAACTTTTCAGAAAAAAAAAGAAATAAATTAATTAAAATAAAAAAAAAATTTTTTTTTCCCCCCCCCCCCCCCTCCCGTGCCCCTCCCCCCCCCCGGGGGGGGGGGGGGGGGGGGGGGGGGAAAAAAAAAAAAATTTTAATTTAAAAAAATAAAATTTTTTTTTTAAAAGAACAATTTGTCTTAAATTGATCCACTTATACGACTTGCACTAGTTAACAAATCGTAACCATTTTCGTGACAAAATTTAAAAATAAATAATTATTTCTATTGTATTGTGACTCTTTTACATATTTTTTTTAACTAAGAAAGTTTATAATAGGAATCGTAGTGTTAGTTTTAAACATACTAATAAAACAAATAGCCCTTCTTGACAGTAGGATAAACTAGGTCTTAATCAAATCGTATAAACAGCATAAAATTAGCACGTTTACAATACTACTTAGTACTAATAATGCCCGGACCGCCTCGTTAGCTATGGGGTAAATGTATTGCCTATCATTGTGCTAGGCTCGAGAGGTCCTGGATTCGACTACCAGGAAAAAAAAAATGTTTGTTAACAGAAGTCTGATTAACTACATGCCTGTCAAAAAACGGATCACTGAAACGGACACAGAAATGTGTTCGCCCCATGCCCAACGAGGGGGAAACGGGATTTCACATTAATAAATTAGTTTTACTTTTTGTTGATAAATAGTAGATGAATTTTAAAACAATTTGTTTTATATACCAAGGTAAAAGTGAGCGCCTCCGTGTAGCCTGCGTGTGCGCATTCATTGCGTAGTTGTTCCGTGAGTTTGTTAATGCGATTCTGTGCGCCACAAGTGACGACGCGCGACTCACGGCGAGGAATGTTGTTGTATCTGTAAAACAGACATAAAGTGACAAGCGAATCTATATTAATATTATAAAGCTACAGAGTTTGTTTGTTTGCTCGAACTCTCTAAGTTCAGGAACTACTGGTTCGAATTGAAAAAATATTTTTGCGTTGGTTAGGCATTTATCGAGGAAGGCTTTAAAATATCACACTGCGATCGATAGGATCGAAAAACAGGGGGATATGGAGAAAATTATGCATCTCTGAGGGTTTCCACTGCCTGCGTTGCAAAAACGATTCAAGATACAGAGAGAAAAAAATATGTATCAAAGAATTATTTTTATTTAAATGATCTTAAATATGACCGCGACAATGTGGATATTTTTCCCGCTTTATGACACATCTCCCTCTGTTCCTCTCCTATTGGTTGCAGCTTGATGTTACACAGCCTAATGCCTTCGTCGATAAATGGTCCGATTTGTAACAGTAATGCCTAAGATTAGCGCGTTCAAACCAACCCCACCGGTATAATATTAGTATAGATTCAGCTCATATAGAACGCACTAATTCATATACTAAAACATTTAGACGCTTCTTTGATAAATACTGTTATGGAGATAGACTTATTATTAAAACACACGTTTATGGTATAGGTATACATGTATTCTTACCCAAATGCAATAGCAATATCTTCATAGATGTCACAGGCGTGAATGACATCGTGTCTCGTAGGTGGCACTTGCACCGTGAGAAGCGAGTCTTCGTGTACAGTAGGCATACACATGCGGTTTATCAGCTCTGCTATTTTGTTCCCATCCACGCTAGAACATAGAAGATATTACATTTCATAAATACATGTTATTGTTGTATTCTTTTAACCTTCTTTGTAGGGGATGAGTTAAGCGAGCATTGGGACATTAAATGTATTTAACTAACAACATTTTTAACGGTTTAAAACGCGTAATTTACTTTTTAATTTGTTTAAATAACTGGGTCACAGTTACGAGTTTTATTTTGTACTAGTCGCGTAAATTACAGCTTATACTTGAAATAAACTTACTTACATCTACAATGGTTCCTTACATATTTACTTATTTTATAATAAATAGGTAAAAATTGATTTATTTACACGGATTTCAGTAAAGCTTTTGATAGGGTTGATATTTTAAATTAATTCAAAAATGAAAATAAATATCTATTCCAGAGATTTTATCTTGGTTGCAGTCTTATTTAGCTCATCGGCCTCAAATTGTTAAACTAGGTGGTTATCAGTCTAACTATTCTACCAATATCGGGGTGCCTCAGGGTTCCAATTGGGTCCTCTTCTATTCACACTTTTATTAATGACATTGGTAATCACATAAAAAATTCTGAATACGAACTTTACGCAGATGATCTAAAAATTATCAAGGGTCAATTTAGAGATCAATTCTACTTCAAATAATCAATGGAGTATGATGTGGTGTAAAAATAATAATATGAATAACGTAGATAATGAACCTTTTGAAAATTTCTCGTAAACAATTAAATTTAAATCTTTATTTGCTAACAATAATAAAATTAATGAAGTCGAATGTAAAAGACTAGGTATATTAATAATAATCATTTAAAATTTGACAAAATATAGATAACGTTGTAAAAAAAGGTTTAAAAATGCTTGGTTTTATATTTCGAAACACAAAGCTTTTAAATCAACTTTATCTTAAAATTATTTTCAATTGTTTATAAGATCTGTCCTCAATATAATTCAGTAGTTTGGCATCCGTTTTACAAGAAATATATAACCAGAGTAGAGTCTTTCAAAAGAAGTTCGTCTCGAGGCTCAGTTACATTGAAAACACTACCACATAAAGAACTATGAAGATAGATTGAAAAGCTGAGAATCAATATTAGAAGTGCTAGAAATTCATGTAACATGCCTCCACAAGTGTTAAATAACCACCTATTGCCATCTCTCTACAACATATCGGAATCTGGTCATCAATTGTAGAATTATTACCTTAGTCCTCTCAATAAAAATTGTAAAAAAACTATGGTTTAAATTCACCATCAGAATGTGTAAATTGTAAACTTGTTTATATCAATTAATTATTGTAATCAAATCAAAAAAAAGTTAGAATACATCCATAAATTTTAATTAGTTGTTTTATTCTTATTAATGTCTACTAATCTAGTTTTAATTGTTATTAAAAAATCTCTAATCTTTTTAATTTTAGTAAAGTTACTAAGAGAAAAAGTAGTATAACATCTTAGATGTTAAGTAATTAGTAGAGTTGGTGAGCCTTGTATAAATAAATATAAATAAATAAATACATATGAGTATGAACATGTAATAAATGACTTATTTAAAATAAAATATGTAAAGAAATCCGTAACTTGGACAAGTTACGGATTTCTTTATTTATTAATTAAATTACGAAGAACGGGCAAAAAGTTTGTTAGTTATTATATTATGTTATCAAGTGACCGTGGCATAAATTAACCGCTACGAGGTTTTTGGATCCGGCTTCTTTATTTTATTATAATATAATAAATAAGTAGTTAAAAGGAAGGAAATTATTAATAATTTAATGAATAGTTCAAAGCTCAATTATTTATATGATTATGCTATAGACTATTTCAAGTGAATTAACATGTGGAAAATAATAAAGTATAAAAATATACACTTACTCAATTCCGATGTAACTATTAGCTTTGTCCACATGGATGGTCTCTTGGCGAGGTTTCAACGCTGGATACAATTGATACGTGCCGTCTGGTGCAAACACTTTGCATTGCTGCACAGTGTAGGGTTTTTCACAGTAGCCACTGAACATGCATACAATTGTGTCCAATACTACGATAGCCTGAAAATATTTATAAATTAATTAATTAAATAGTAATATAGTCACCCACACGTCCCGATTTTTTTTCTAGCGATATCTTATATACACGGCTACTTAAGGGGTCACTTTTGACAGATTAAAAATCGATTTTAGATTTAAAAAATTTCACCACACGGACAGGACTTGGACCGGCATTCATAGTGCCCCGTACTCTTACCGATTGAGTTATCGTGTCAAGTAGAGCAACAGCACAAAACGCTATAGATACTGGTACAAGACATGCCCGTGTTTTTCAATATAAAACTGATTTTTTTATTTATATAGTGCCAACAAATTGTGGAAGAACATGAAAAAGTATTAAAGTTTTCAAAAAGATTTTCTACATTAAATGTAAACAATCCAATGTATTAAAAAACTCCACGGCCACTTAGCCCAAAGCTATATGGCCACATAGATACATCTTATTGTCAAATTACAAATTTTTGTAAGGCATGGAATATACCTTTCTCTAATCTAATCTATACTAATAATATAAAGCTGAACAGTTAGTTTGTTTTTTAATGCGTTAATCTCAGTACTACTGGTTAAAATTAAAAGTATGTATTTGTGATGGTTGTTTCATTCATTAAAGAAGGCTTTATAGCCTAATAAGACACCAGGCTGCAACCAATAACAGCGAAGAAACAATGGGAACTGTGAAAAGAAACGCGGAAAATTATTCATTCTTGAGGGTGTCCAGAACAAAAAAATTATATATGGAATAAAATTATTTCCTTTAAACACTTTATTATAAAATTCCGCCACTCTACACAAATGTTACATTATAAACTACAAATTTAAAATTAAATTAATATCATAACACACACCTTTGTCAGATCCGTTGCTGTACATTCAATGAAAACATTTTTTGTGTTGAGCGTAATTTTTGAATGATCGCCATTAATGATTGGAGGCATGGAAAGGACTACGCCGTTCTTGTCCTTAATCACTGGGTACACGGGGCTGTCCCTTATTATTCCTAAGTACTGCTTCAATTGCGCATGATTCTGAAAATGTATATAAAAAATATGAATACATACAGTATAACAAGTGAGTATAATTTATATTTCTATAAATTTATTTTTAATTAAATTTTTATTTGTATTATTTATTTGTGAATGTGAGCAGAAGACAGACAACCGTGGGATGCCCTTGGTGGAAAGTAAAATATCGCAGCTATGTAACATTTAAACAAAGATGCGGTGTCAATTTTTTGGGAGTATTTAGTATATTCGAAAATCGATAGATCAATACCACAGCGCGTGTTCAAGGCTTTTTCATCTGTGGGCGGTTCCTTACCCAGATGGGATTTCGATATTCCTACCACTCATTTAATGTCAAGACAAAGTCCAACATGTTCCAGAAAAATATGAATTAATTAAAAATATGTTAGACTGTCTGTTAAGCCATGCATTGCTAGATCCACAAACATATATGCGATCATACAATTATTAAAAAAAAAACTTGAAAGGTTTATGTTAGGTTCAATTAATTCAGGACAAAGGGGGGTCAGGGGTTAGATCCCCACCAAGTCCAACATGTTTCTAATCAATTTACAATTTTAGTGTTACATGTTGAACTTCTTTGGGGAATTATTAAGCATCATAATTAATAATTCAGTAAAAACTCTACATGACTTTAATTTGTGCTTACACTTAAAATATATGTATACTCACAGAATACAACTCCATCAGTTCAGGTGCTGTCATCTCTTTTTGCTGATTCAGAGCCTTAAATTTAATTTCACTCGGAGGCAGTGCATCATAGACAAATGGACCTTTTATAGTGTCCAAATCATGAGTTCCTATGGCAACTAGTGTTCTTTTCCTACAAATATTCTGATGCAATTTGTCCTGTAATGGAATAATATGCTAGTTTTTCTTCTTAGAAGAATGATAAGTGTGTGCTAGGATTTAGAGCTCGGCAAGTCTAGACCTATTAGATTTTTGATAGAAGCTTATATATGAAGTACACTTTTATATGTTTCAGGTAAAAGTGAACTACAGTATGACTGTGGTAGTATATTTACTGATTTACCTGTAAATCAATGAAACTGTCATAGCTCTCTTTAGTAAAGGTGATGTTCTTGAGCACTGCTGCTACGGCATATGGTCGGATTTGTCCTGTAGATGGTGTAAGATGTAAGGAGTAACAGTCTTCATATTTATCCAAATTATATTTTGGTGGAGACTTTCTGTAAAAAGATTGATGATTACATATTTTCCACTTCAAAAAATCACTTGTACAAACATAATTTTAAAAAGTGTTATATATAATAAAGAATCTCCTATGATTTAGAAACCGATAGTCATTTGACTTTTGTGTTGATAATGGTCAGGTATAAAAACATCACTCTTTATGTAAACATATACCTGCTATGTAGAGTATGTGACTAATTGAATAATAAAAAAATAGTTACGCACCTAAAAAAAAGAACTATTTTGGAAATTTGGGAGAAAGTCTTTCAACATACCTCAGGATAATTTAATTTACATAGTTATTTCACACTTTTTGTACCTATTGTATATAAAAAAAATGGGAAGCATTTTAAGATTTCATAGTAGACATACATGAATTATTTAACTTACTTTCCCATAAAGACGAGTAACCCATTAACTAAGCCTTCCAAACAAAGTAGATCATATCGATTTGCGGGTATGTCAATGCGGTATAAAACATCTTCTGAGACACCAGAACTTGACCCTGCCTGGTCTCCTTGTTCTTTAATTAGCATTTGCTTCTCTGTGGTCTGTTAAACGGTGAAATATTTTTTATTAAACCAAGGAGTTTAATGAAAAATTTTAATAATACACATAAAATACTTACAACTTCATCCAATTCTAGGCCGAATTCAAAGCACAAATTTTGGAACTCATCATCGGCTGAAAATATATGTTTACATTAAAATATAAGGTTTTATAATTCGTATATTATATTTTAAAAAATACTTACTGTACGTTTTGCCTAGAGCAGTAAATAGGGAATCTCTATTAACAGATATGGTAGGCATAATGAATATGAGCTAAAGCGTATTAAACATTAATTATTATTTCCTATTTAATTATCGATGTACACCGATCGATGAGGTTATGTTGTCCTGTCTTTACTTAGTTGTCTATGTTGTCAATTTGTGACAATTGAGAATAGCTACTACTTCACTCACAGATTCTATTACTTTTTTGCAATAAAAATCGCAAAACCGGTAACAACTATTTAAAAACAATATCTCGATTCGTTATCTGTTTTCTGTTTCTCTTCATTTATTCACTTACAGTAAGCACGTTGTTATTATAGTGGGAATTAACAAAAAAAGAAAAAAATGTTGCTGTGGTTCAAAATAAAGAAGTCTTAACAAAGATCGGTAAATCGTATTCTTCGATTAAAGCTACTTCATCACTCTATGTCAGCTGGCTGATAGCCGCAAGTGGCAACTGGCAACATCGAACATTTGATCACGTGATTTCTTAGTCTGGGATTTGCAAACGTTGAGTGGAGTGCCTTGTCATCAGTCTCAAAAGTTTTTGGATGATTTTCTTTGGAATTCATATTCAAAGTGAGTAATTTATCGAGAAAATTCACTAACCTCGCATGATATTATTTTATGTGGTGTTTAAGTTGTGATTGTGAAATGTGTTCCTTTATGACGAAATTGTACCTTGTTCCGTGACTAGTGTGATGTGACGCCATTTTCTTCGTGAATGCCAATTAACGATATTCTTCAATATTTTACTATTTAGCGGCGCTGCATGGTAGTATATGAACAGCACAAAACTTGGCATGCACCTCAAACGCCTGGTAACTAATATTTATTAAGTAATTTACTCATGTTAGGCAGTGTTCTATGCTTTTGTGTGTGGAAGATATTTGCACGCATAATGATCTTGTCACCTTTGGAAAGGCGTAGATCGTAGCTCGTTTAATGAAGCTTTGGGATACGGGTTAATGCTTTTAAACGAAGTACGTCAACTCAGCCGTTTTGTAACCCCTTTAAAATATATTTTTGTGAGTTATTATGTTGCCAAATTGCGTGATTCAATATACACTTTTTTTATATCGAGTTATTTCGACATCTCTTCCTGGTAACCAAACATTGTAATTACAATCTCGAAGATTCGTTATAAGCTTTAAAAATTCAATTTCTATGTAAAAAATATATTTAAACATTTATTTGCTGAGTCATCACTCCTATAGAGGGTTATATAAAGTCTTTGTGTTATGGAGTGTTAATTTTGGGCAACATTTGTTTAAGTAGTGGTTATAATCTTTAAGTGACATTTTGACAGTATAATGCAGGTTGTTTCTGATAAAGTAACTTTTTGCCATAAGGTAAACTTAAATTTTTATGATCTGCATCTCATTCTATATAAATAGGGCATGTCTGGTTTTGACTGGTTTGTTCAGATGTCCTATGATTCAGTTAGTATTTGGTATGTTTATGTAGTACTTACTTGTTGTACTAGAATTTTTATACCTTGAATAGTAGGTAGGTTACTCCATAGCAAATTTTTGGTATAAGATTATAGAATTTTATGTCCAAATCTAGTTAGTCAACCAAAATAATATTTTAAGAGATATAGAGTCCATCTCTAGAACAAAAATGTATTGTTTTAGGTGGAGTAACTATTCATTGTGATGCCGGTGGATGCTGACTTAAACTGTACAGCCGTGGTGACGCCTAGTTGTGAGCTTAAGGGTCTTCGTACTTGGAAAGACATTTGTCTAGTACGAAATTCACTTTTTCAATATCAGGTATGTGTGACTTTTATGTAAAATATAAAGTAGGTACCTTATCAGCTAAAGCATACTCTTACCTAAATTTACATTATTTTTAAAATTTACATATGAAATTGTATATAAGGCAGTTTTAAATAAAAAAAAGCCAACAGCATTTAAGTATATATTGTAATATTATAAATTATCACAAAATAATTATAATTAAACACAACATATTATTTGAATATTTCAAACATTGGCTTTTTAAAATTTAATTGAAATGCTACATTTAAATGTTATTTTCTCTATTATACAGTTTAAGAATAAGAAATAATTAAAGATAACGTATTGCATAATAAGGATAGAAGTAGTTCAGTAAAGTCCATAAGATGCTAGCTAGGTGACTTTAATCCATATGAAAATAAAATAATTACATTTTATATTATTTGATCCCAAAAGGGATAAAGGTTAGTATTTATTCTGTAGCATAAAGTCTTAAAAATTACACATAAGACAGACTTAGTATATTGTAAAATTGAAATTAAAATTAAAATGGTCTCAACATAGTCCCGTAAGCCAACCCAATATGTATCTTCAATTTATCAGCATTACTCTAGTGCCAAATGTTTTGGCAGGCCGAACGCTTGCAACTCGCTAATTGTATCTCGTAGCTATATAGTGCAGATGTGCTTATTCAAAATCAAAAAACACGTGCGCCCATTTCATTAAATTTGTTTGTTTTTGTTTTCGTGTCATTGCTGCGCAAAAGTTCGCGAGTGGTAAATGCTATTGTTTACCGTAGTGTTGTGGGGATGTACCGTCTTACTGTAGTTGGTGGTAGATTTATAATCGGAGCGGGCGGCGAGCACGTGGCAGCCGAAAAGGTCAGTGCCCTTACCCAGGACTAATTTGGGGGAGATCGACGACTCTCCGTGTCGCGGCTTTGTCTGCGTTCGTCGCACCCACACCAATATTATTTTGTCTAAACTACTTATGTTTAGGTAATTACAATTCCTTTATTATTATTTTTTTGTTTTATTGTTTTTGCACAATTAAAAATGGACGCTGATTTTATAAACACACCTCATCATTCGATTAATAATTCAAGTCACAAAGCTCAATGTTTTCGAGTCCGGCAGGCATAAAGGCATTATTCGTGCCCGTATCTGCGCAGCGCCGAATCTACATTCGTAAGGTTTCTATGTGCGTCGTCGTGTGGCACGTCGAGTGTCGAGATATCTGAACGAGCGTGCCATGTGTTTATCAGCTTTGTAGTATTGGTTTCGTTTGTTTATATCGATGGTTGAGCGTGTGAATAGTGACGCGATAATGAGTCGCGGTTGTGCGGGTGGGCATCGTTCACCGCCGCTCGCCGAGCGACGCTCAGTTCGTTCCATCGCGGCGTACGCGTCGGAGCTCGCGGCGCGAGGCCGATACCCGATCGTAGTGCAACTAAAGCAATCTTATCGCCAGATAAAAGTGCCAATTAGTGCGCTATTGTTTCGTGTGTGACGTGCGTCAGTGATAAGTGATCGCTGTGTGTCGAATTTCTGCATAGTTATCGCGACCATGGGCCCACTTTTTCGTTCGAAGGTAATGCTGGTCGAATGCGTGTGAAACCGTTGCATGTGTTCGCGTCGTGAAGATTGCAGGCTCTACGCTTAGACGAGGTTGTTTGAAGGCCGCCGCCCCGACCTTGGTACACCAGGGGCACTGTCCTTATTCTTCGAACTTCTGTGATTCTTATTAGGAGACTGAGTTCATTTGTCTCGACAGATTTCGTGTCGATGTAGTCGCGAAAGTATAGCGGGACGTTAACAATATTTCAAAAGCCACGATTATTATGTTTTATCTTGATTGCAGGCAATAATCTACATTTATTTTTCCTACACGTGTCTCCACCGCTTGTAGTGTCATCATTCCAAGCTGTTGAATGACAATGACTAGATTGGACAAAGTAGAACTAAACGACCTATAAAATAACACTTTATTATCGTTGTGTAGATAGATACATGATATCTTAATTATTTTCTGGAGCCATTCTTATCACAAATAGTTAGTTATTTTTAAAATGAAACGTTAATTTTATGGCGTAGACGTGATTATGCGCAATTTTTATTTCAAGCATTAGCTTCTATTTAGCTAGGAATAGCCTCTAATAGGGGAAATATGGAGACGTAAGATTATCCTCTCGGTAACGATATTGCACGCTTCTTTCTAAGGTAAATTCTATATATATATATATATATTTGAGGATCTCATTTGACGATAAATGAACTTTGCACATGCCATCGATTCTGAACAGAAGATTGCAAATAGGTCCCAGAAAGTAACTTTCCATTACATTTTTGTGCATTTAATGTGTTATAATTTTTTTATCATTACAGTCTGCTCTATAATATTGGAACACAATAGGATATCTACTTAACATGTACGTATAGATCTCTGATTGCTGCGACAATTTTCATATACATATTTAGTTTAGAGTAAATAGATTTAAACCAGTGCTCAGATAAAAAATCAACGGTATGTCTATTCGCATAATATTTATTTTGTCTCTTGTCTTATGTTCGGGAAGTAAAAATAATAATATCTTGCGAAAGAGAGAGCGATATAATGTAGAGCGGTAAGTGGCGGTCGCTACCTCTGCTATCCGGGCCTGCGTATGCGCATAATCAGCTGACATGTTGGCAGCCATCTTGCCGTGCGCGTTTCATTGTCTGCGAGGCGTCATTGTGAACTTTTGTGACGCATTCTCCAAACGATAATGCCATTGTCCTTCCTGCTCTGTTTGGGCACTTTGTGTAAATCTTGACGTTTCGTCTGAATGTTTCCCATCGTTATTGCCAAAACTGCGCGAAAGGACTTTCTTTGTGTGACCTAAACTTGTATTATTATCAGTCCCACTAAGAACACATGAGTGTGTTCGTAATGCGATTCGATTAAGAACAAACAACTGGGATGTTTATAATCTGTAGATAGATTCGACGAACGGTTTCTCCATTCTATGACATCACTCTTCTATTTCCGCGTAATTTCGATCCGCTGTGTACTCAATATTTTTTCCTCGTATTGATATTGAGGAATAAGAACAAAATATTTTAGGGACCGGATAAGATACATCTAAAAAGTGTACAAAGTCACTTTTAGAAAACAGTTTGTGGTAATCCATGTGTTTGATCAGAACTTAATGTTTTATTGTATGAGCCTGCTGTACTGCTGAAAGCAAACTTTAAAAAAAAGTGAATTGTTTCAGTTTAGTAATAATCGAGTGTTGTTTTAGGTTATTTGCGTAGTTTGCCCATATAAGACATATAATGAGGAAAGCATTTGGTTTTCTTTTTAGGCTCCGAGACGCTATACTGAATTTTGCGATCGGAGCTTATATTTTTAGGAAGGTACTCCCCCCCCACGTCTGTGAATGAATTTATTAGTTTGTTCTGCTTGGGCTATCCAACCTATCCCGTTGGTTTTTCTTATTCTTTGGAATCTCTCTGCTGTGCACGATTTTTTGCCTTTACCGTTACAGATACCGTTGTTCGAGTGGTCAGACCTGTATTATGTTTCGCCGCTTTAAATTTGATCAATTGAGCAAATGATAACGTTCACGAGTGCTCCAGTTCTGCCGCGACCTATATTCGAGTCTTATCAATTGTGTGTTGCACTTCCAACGAAATATTTTATTGTTTCGACGTTATGAAAGGCGTCTTTGTGAACACGTTTTTTTTTATAATTAGGTGTTACTTATTAGAAAACTAAGAGAGAAGAGAGAAAATTAAATTGAGTTTTTTCATTTACTTATCTGTTAAGTACGCACCGATTTCGGTAATGTCTGTGGCATAGTAGCCAACCAGAAATTATTTTCGACTTGGGTAATTTGAAGTCATACTTTGTCTATCCCATATTAGATTCATACATTTTCCTCGTGTCGAAGTTTTAATTGCGATTTATGTTTGATAATTCACGGCATTTTCATGCAGTTTAAACATAATGTGTTTGAAAGTAGTATTTCTACTTAGTTTGGTAATAATGTATTGTGAAATCGCTCTTCATGAAAACGGGAATTAAAACATATACTGTTTTATTAATTGTGATCTTAGAAGCCTAAAAGAGGCCAGACTACAGGCACATTTATGCGTTTCGTGATAAATTGGGTATACAATGTATCGTGTTTTAGAGATGATAGACGAGCGAGTGGAGATGCTTTTAGGGCGGTAAATTCCGGTTTAAGATGTAAAACATAACTAAAATCAAACAAATATATCTGTTGTATTTATTAGAATATTATCCATTGTGTTGTGGTCATCTCGCAGAACGATAACCTTGAACGAGAGACTGATAGGGCATCTAACAATTGTCAGATGTGTAAACTTATGTAAGGGCCCTGTGACGGTCAAAATCAAAGCGTGTATAATTTGAAAATAAGTTTATCTACGACAGAAACTTGAGATTTTACATAAAAAAATCGACGTAACAAGGAATTCCTAATCACGATTCACGACAAATATTTGCTTTGCTTTATATTTTCAATACGTGCAAAATTTTTAAATAGGTCGAACTTGGTTGATCCACTGTAAATTGAAACCACGTTTGATACCACTAGCTTTGGGTTTTTAACACGATTGACAATTAACGAACGAGTCGGTCCTAATCGTTCACTTGGGATAATCCCCGTGGGGTAGGCCGCGGGTGGTACGGTCCTGACGAAAACACGTGTACCACAGCCACATGAAACATGTGTTTAGGTATGTGACGCGCTAGTGCAATGCCGAGGCACTGTTCGTATTGCGTAGCGAACTTCGCAACTAGGTCAGCGGGCCACCGAGCACACTACGCCGACGTATAGTCACGGGGCCCACACACAAACACCTAAGTTATAGATAGCTCGCCATCGTCTAGGGAGCTGGCGAGAACTCGCCGCGTCCTTGTTGCTAACGAATCACTTAGATTGGCCCAAAGTTTGTGTAGTTTTTAAATAGGACTGTCGGGAAGTTTTGTATTATTCAATGTTGTTAGCGAGCGAGCAGAAACAAATGTCACGATATTATTTGGTACACTTGAATTGAAAGCGATGTGAAGAATTAACCTTCAGCCGTATCTAATGCGATAAAATAAAAATAAACGACCTAAATTGTTGAAAATTGCTTCATAAATGCTCAGTGTTCAGATGTTTAAATACAATGTATTAGGCTCGTAATTCGAGATACAATAATTATCGAAGATCACGTTTTCCACCGATCGCGTTGTTACCTTGACACGCTTATTTTGAAACAGTCGAAAACGTTTTTGTTAATTTGCAATGTTTATTCGAGTTATATTACGTTTAGTAGAGCTCTTTGTTGTAATTCTTGCCAAAATTGGCGCCTAACATGATGACATTCCCGTATAAGTGGAAGGTGGAAGTAAAACATTTTATTCTCTAGTCCAATTAGTTTGTAGGAGAAGAATACTCCATACTAAAAAGCGAAAGCGGAGAAGGTTTGTCATCGCGAAAAATATATTAAATTTGAGTCCACCTTTTGCCTCTAATGGGGATAGTGAAAACTTGTCTTTATTTTTTTCAGTTGCAAGTAGCTGTTGTCTTATTAGAATCAAATGCGTGAAGCATCGATTGTTGCTTATACTTAATTATACATATGACAAGCCGCGTGCGCACAGTGGAAATATAACTTCTTGCTCCTACGGTATTAACGGGTTTTCCGCGCATGTTTCACCCACACGTCTAAATCGCCATGTATTAGAAAAAGTTGCGCGTTACAATACGCGAATGAACAATAAATAAAACTCGCTCTTTATTGCGAAAGTTTTTCACGCGATGCTCGGGTGCTATTTTATTTTTAATACACAGTTTGTAAACACGCGATACTGCGTTAGCGGGGTCATTGTGATGGGATCGCATCTACGCACATAACTGATGGCGTCACTTAGCGGACTTTGAACAGCTTCGGTCGGAATGGGGGCTGGGGATAAGTCTGTTAACTAAACTAAAATGACAGTAACAACCGTTGAATCTCTTGAGATGGCAATTGAATTTTTCGGACGTCACTATAACGTCATCATAATATTATATTGTACAAATATTCCGGAATACCAAATGGCATATACCATTCAAACGATACGTTTGAAGTGCTTTTGACGTTTATTAGCAGACCCCTGACTTTGCTAGCTAGGGATCGGTCGCTAGCGAGGGATTGATGACTGCTCCGTATGCTCGTATGGAGGCAGGAGATACACATAGTCGGGTTTGTAGCGGCCGGCGCGTGCGCACCCCCGCGCCGCTCGGTCGATGACTCTCCCAACTGCGGCCAGTGTAACGACCTCGTCTGTTGCACTCTCCACTTATTATTGTAGCGATAATTGGTGCACTATACCTCATCGCTTAACATTCCATAGCATATTTTCTTGGTGTCATTTCTATCGACATAAAAATTTCGATAAGGACTATGACGAATCCGGAAATGATTCATATTCTAGTACAAACAAAAGTGCAAACGTAAGTAGTATTGATTATGAAGATTACGTTCCTAAGAAGACACAAACGTATTAAGGTATGGGTAATAAGTAGACCGCGGCAACAATAATTATCTTCGCTTTTCGGTTTCAATAAAATAACGGTAGCTTTAAGTAATGTAAAACAGTTTTCAATCTTTGGCGAAAAACTTGCCTTCGGTCGGATACGTCGGATAAATGAGTAATGTTGTAACCAACATAACTAAAACTCGTTCCGTTAAAAGCTTCGGATGTAAAGTCTCCGTTTCGTCACGGAGTCGTTTGGGCGTAGACTAGGCTAGGCCTATGCTCCGTTTCACGAGCACGTTCCACTTTTGACTATAGCTCTCTCTTGTTATGCAAACCTGTCGTTATGCAGATTATGTTTTGCTTCCACGAAATCGTGCTCTGCACCCAGATAGAACTCGCCCGTGTATAATATGTTCACCTGTTTTCCACGTGGGTTTCGTGTCGAATTAGTGCTGTTTTTGAGAGATCTTTTGTTTGGAATGTATGCAAATTGACGTAATTTAGATTTAAAGGTATATTCATTTAGGTAAATACATCATGCCATGCTAAAGGCTTGGGGGCTTATCCAATATTTTACAAAATAAGTAGTTTGTACAAAACAATTACATTTTTGTTAGCTAGCGTTTGTAAAAAAATAATATACATTTTATCAGAGAACCCAAATAGCTTTCCTTTTCTGATTCAGACTAACTTTGATGTCTGTGTTAAATGTTGAAGAGTTCTGTTACTAAAATGACTGTATAATTTATTATTAATAGGGCTATAGAAACTCAAACCTCAGTGAGAATATACATATTACTTTACTTACGATTCACGTATGCTTGTTCCAGGGCCCTATACGATCCTGACATAGAAAGAAGTAGTGGCAGAACCCCGGCTAAGGCAGCCGACCTCAACAGCAAGAAGAATCGTGTTTAAATTGTAACATTTAGTGCATCAGATAGACTTTAGTGACTGTGGAACTTGTGTGCAATTACTATAGTGCAATCGAGTGATCGATATTCGAGGACAGTTGTTTTTACAAAGTGAATATTATTTTGAACTATGGAGCGTGAATCGAATCCGATGGAGGCGCTATGCCGCTCTGGGTGCGGTTTCTACGGAAACCCATCGACGGATGGCCTCTGCTCAGTTTGCTTCAAGGTAACTGCGCTTATTACCTATGTCATAAATAGCGCATTTCTTTGGCTTAGCTAAAACATGTGTAATGCAATAAAGTAGGCTTAAGAGAGGTCCCAAATTTAAGGCATGACTCAACTTAAGTTCACACACTAGTAAGTCTTACAATTAATAATATTAATCAGACATATTTCTGAAAAACGATGACGATCATACCTATTTTCTTGTCTGCTACGAGCTTCAAAACATTTTGCATGTCACTGAAATCTGTCGGACCCATTCCCCACGAAAGGAATACGGGATTTCTTGGCGACATGTGATGACATTGACATTTTATTTAATGATACTTTATAAATTACCGTAGAGGCCTTTGTCACTCGCCCAACGTGTCTGCCAAAACTGCTGTGTGGTAAATCACCCTCGCTATGAACTGTAAAACTGTCTAGCTTAATTAATTTTATACAAAATTTAGAGTTAACACACGTAGTGAGCCATTTCCTTGTGAAAATAAATACGATTATAGGTATAAACTACTTTATGTCTACAATGCGTAGATCTGTCATGTTCTGATATTTACAAGTTTTTCGGTCGGTCTACCTGGGTTTTTCTATTCACTGGCATAGATAAATATGACCGCCCCAGGTCCACGAAAAAGTTAAAAGCCTTGTCACTTCGCCTTAAGGAAGAAACTCGCATTTCTCTTTTCGTAAATACATAGTACATTGTTTGCTTCCGTCATATCACTGCTGCGTCATACCGTGTTGCTACTTTAGAGGGGAGCTTTCAACGCTTGCACGAAAATGTGTGGCACAAAGCGTGACTCAAGCAGTGACACAGCGTTCCACCGAATGCAATTGAGCCTTCCGCTCTCCGATGACCACGTTAAGAAGTAGATGAGCAATTAATATCTATTGGATTGTTATCGTTTGCCCTTGTCAAGGATAATCGGGCTGTTCATTCCCGCTGTACTGTTGTCATTTTATGTGTATCGGAAGTGCTCCTATGTGCTTTGTTACCAAGATCAGGTCAGTTCTGCTATAAGCCTTATTTACCAACCTTTATAGATGAAGTGGTTTTAATATTTGGCTCACAAAGTGGTCTCAATGAAAAACTGCTCTCAGGTGTCGTAACGATACCTACGTTTTTGTCGGCCTAATAAAATTGTAAGTCAATATATTGTAATAACTACCGTTTATGTCACTGCGGTTACTCTAAACTACCTATATAAAATGTCAAATACATTTGTTTGTATTGATGTAGGTAGCAAAGGTACGTAATATAAAAAAACATATTCATCACGCAATTACAGTAAGATTGAATCCTAAAAATATTAACTGATTAGTAGAAAATAAAAAGTATAAAGAAGGTACACTTGTACTAAAATATACCGCTGCGCACTTATTAACTGTGTAGATGGCTCGGTGTGTTTGTTTTTTGAGGTCAGTATCTTATTTATGTGCAATTCACTTGGCACTGAGAACAAAACGTAAACAAGGTGGACTTGCTACCAAATACATATATTTTCACCTTTTATGAACAGGAAATCTACACGTGGAAGCCCAAAGCTGAACTAATTGATGAACGAGTAGTAATATGTTATAAATATTTGTATGCGCGTGTATTTCCTCATAGAGTACCTAAGATCGAGTCTCGAAAAAGAAAACTTACTTCCCCGGCGATCCTGAAATTCGGTTATATATTTGGCTCTATCGTGAGATTTAAGATAATTTCATTAAATTAGAATCTTTACATTACTAGGAATCGCTGAATGCAAATTCATCGTAAATTTGAGTGTATTGCCAATTCTCAGGTAATTGTTATACACAAGGTCATATTAACATTGTTATATTATGTACATCTAGTATCAGGTATGTTATACATAATGTAAGTCACTCAACCTATCATGTAAAAAATGATAGGTTTTTACAACCCGCATATTATAATTCAGAAATTTTATAGTTGTTGAAATAAATATGGTCCAAATCGCCTGGACGCTAAGATAAGCGATGATAGGAAGTTTTGAAATTTTGTTATAGTCACGAATTATTCTCCATGATAGTTTGCTTGTAGTTGTGTCATAAAAAGTTATTTTTTGGAACGTGACATAGGTGGAATTAACCACGAAATAATATGTGCTGTGCTTGCATCGCACGTACATGCAGACAGAAAATGAAATTTTAAATAAAACACCAACGGTTTAAAAGGCGATATATTAGTTAAACTTGTTTGAAAGTGATTTTTAACTTCGGCTCGACGTTTCGGATGCTTTGCAGCAGCCGTGGTCACGTTGAAGTGTTTTATTTAAATGTATACTACTCGTGTAAACTATAGACAGTATGAAATTTTAATTTCTAATTCTTAATACAATTTGGTATTAATAGCTTATTAATCATAGGGACAAAATAAAAGGGTTTATTGTTGTTGTTATATAACGTCATCTAAAAATATACTATAATTACAAGAAACATGCTATTTTATATGTTACTGTTAGATTAGCCACGAATTGTAATTTTTAACCCAGCTGAAATATAAAACAAGAGTCAAGTAATGCATTACAACTTAGATTATTTACACACACAAACAAATTATTTACACATTTGGACACTATCACTTTTCGTGTTAAAAACTACAATACTTACTTTGATTGTTGTAAAGGCGATTTTTAAGATGTCTAAAAGAGACATACATATTTGATTCCAGGAGGCGTTAAAAAAGAAGCAACAACCACCTGCGACGACGCCGTCGCCAGTTTCGTCGTCATTTGTGCCTGCGCCCGCGCCCGCCACGCCGCTCGCCGCCGCCGCGCCCACCGTGCCCTCACTGCCTGCGCAGATACACACGCAGACAGACGTGAGGCCTTGCTTTTGTCTTTTACATTATCCTCAATATTATACCACACTCCCTCTAGCTAAGGGCTCGTTTACACTAACATGATTTGTATATTGTTCAAACATTTATTAAATCCGCCTGATAAAGCACACTTGTTGACTTCCCGTTAATGCACTGTCCTATAAACTGTAACTTTTTTTAAATTGACAGACAAATAATGTGTATGTGGCTCACCCCACGCGGTAAACTGGGTTTTACAAATTACGTCTTGTTATGTCTGAAAGAAATTTAAATATGCCTTTTTTTATAAATACTTAAAATAACAGGAAATAGGAAAAGTGAGGTACGCGAGATTGACTTCGACGTAGGTGTATTTCAAATACATAGTAATCCTAATAAATATTTAAAACGACAGCTGTTGTGTCGACCCAATTTCCTTTACAATCTCTTGTGAATCAACGAGCAAGCTATTAATAAACTCCTTTATTCGTGGCTTGTTTTAAGGCGGACCGTGTAAACGGGCCTTTAGCTCTGAGACGACTTTCGCTAAACAGGTCTTGGGTTTAATTTAGAATATAATGACTTGGTTATAGCGGAAACGAAGCGATGTTTACCATCGAACGTGCATAGTACAGCTTATACTAAAGTGCCCAATAGGATAAGGTAACAAATAATGTAACGTGTGTCCTCATCAGATTAACGATCCTTGGGGGGGGGGGGGGATATGAATATATAATTACTTACTGATTGTATTGTTATAATTATCACAAACCAAAGTGATTTTATTAGCTAATTGCGAAAATGTATTTTAGAATGATACGTAACAAGGACGTTGACATTAAAGTGTGTTGGCGTGGATAACAGAGTACGACAATTACGCCCTATTTTAAGTTAAGACTAACGTCAACTAGGGTTACACGTGGCTAAAATACAGACACTATGGTACACATTACACAATATGGTAGACAAATTGTGTAACCCATTGTATACAAACAGTTTTTATCAAAACTATTATCGCTCAAGAAACTACGAATTGTCTGACTGTTTTGCTATTTGATTTATAACTTATATACTTGCTTTATTTGTTGTTTATTGCGCAGTCTCAAAACCCACATAAATTTGCGTATTGCAGGAACTACGCGTTATTTTGGAGATTTATTTACCATGACAGTGTAGACGTTGCTTTGCTCAAATTTGGTTCGAAAATATTTTTAATGTCCATATTGCTTAGTTATTAAGTTGATCGATAATGATAATGATGGTGATATTTGTGTTGTGCAACGATGGTGGCGTGGCGGTTCCATGTATGGTGACGTCAGGTAAGCGTTGGCATTTGTTTCAATACAATTTGTCGTACGCAAGGGCAATGCAACGCCCTCTACAATTTCTAAACTATAAAACACCAAATTTAGAGTTTTATGAGTTATTTGTAAAACAGATTTACAGATATGGTCAGATGGTGTCTTTTTATATAATCGTGATTACAACGAATCGTGTAGGTCCGCGTATCGTTGGAAGACATAAATACGAATTCTGCATCAATAAAAATGCGTCTAGTGGCACGAAGCATGTCGCAATGTGATCTTGAAAGACTTATATGTATCAGGAAGTAAATTCTGTTCACATGTCTCTCCATATTATTTGAGACGCCCGCTTCGCTGTATATGTTGTGTGTCTAAACAAAATATCTCGATTAGATTCTCATGTTGAACAATAGATTGTTTTCAACGTACGCCTTTGTGGGGTTCACACAGAAATAAGTCTCCCGTATTACGCACAGCAACAGAGACAATGAATGCGAAACGTCTAGAAATACGAGTGCGATCTCGCAAATATCGTGCTTTTTTTCGAACGAATGACGCCGTCCTTACTAAATGTGTGTGTTCCAGCGAGGTTGTAGCGATCGACCTCGCTTAACATTTGCTTAATATCCAACTCTAATACTCGCTAATTCAGCGGAATAATTCACGGCTGCGAATAAAACTGCGCAATGATTAATGATGGAAATTATCTAAGAATAAGTTGATTATCTATCTCGATAAACATTCGCGAATCGACTACGTATTCTAGAAAAAACGTCTATTGTCGCAAACTGGCATAAAACATTTACACCCATTGACAGACATCAGTGGGATGTCAGGAAAATAAAAAAATAAGCAACTTTGGTAGGCAAGAAATAAATTGTTATTATTTTATTGTGGAAGAAAAACAAAATCCTATAAAATGAGTCCGATCACATTTTTTGAAGCATTTATTTTACAATAGTCTTTTACAATGACAGACCTTCGAGCCTAACCGACAATTCGTGTCGCAGCTATTATTCACTCGAATCATGTAAACTGGACTGGCGCATTGAATTCTCGGTCGCAATGCTAAAACTGGAGCGCATTTAAAAACAATTATGGAAAATGACCCCAACAAGAAAGAATCTAAGGGTAAGAGAATACTGAAGAAGGCCTTGCGCAGATCGAGCAAGTCCAGCAACAACAGCCAAGGCTCCGCTACGGACAGCGTCGCCGTCACGCGATCGAAAAGTGAAAATAAACGGCTCTCGATCGAGATCAACGATAGCGCGCCGCTGCCCACGCCCGACGGGACCAAGCGGGCAACCGACGCTAATAGCGCGGGTTCAAAGCTCAAGGCGGAAAATAGAACTAGGCCGTCCAAGCTGTCCGTCGATCGCAACGGCGCACCCCGGGACTCGAAGCTGGAGAAGGTCGTCGAGATACAGGAGGAACGAAACGTCTCGTATCCCCCAGACGAGACCGGCACCTCCGCAGATGCCAAAGCGAAGGCCTCTCCGCGAGTCGAGGACCGTCGACCGCTGGAATCGGACAAGAAGAGCCTAAAGAGGGTTGGTGACCTTTTACATGGCCTGACTTGCGAATTTTAAAATATCTCGTGTCGATCTATATAATCGAGAAAAAAGATTCTAAAGTTTTTCTAAAAAGGTCGATTATTATTCAATTGTACGTTAATATAAAGAGCAAATAAATTTAAAGCGGCTCGAGCGGGCGCGTCGCGGTCGTCGAGGTGATTGGCCCGTCTTCTCATTTGTAGTCGACCGTGCGTTGTTTTTCCAAATAATCGTTCTCGAGATAACGGCCCGGTGCGAAATTTAAATGATAATAGGTGCTCGTGTGGAATGGAAATATGTTTGAAATGTACTTGACAGATAGATATACCTAACTATGATAATGTGTTGTTTCTTAGTATTTCAATACGAACACTTTTTTGATATTATGCCAAGGTAATAGTGTCTTGAAAAATTGTTTGATGAGTTGGCGTGTTGGTTTCCAGAAGTTGGAGGAGGAGAGCGGCGCCGGAACGAGCGGCGCAAGTACGGGCGCGTCCGACACTGACGCCGACGACAAGGATCCCAGCAAGGACAAAAAGAAAAAGAACAGATGCGCCGTCTGCCGCAAGAAGGTCGGACTCACAGGTAACGCATCACTTCTATTTAGATCACCGTCAACTCGAAAAACGCACACAAAAATGGTTTAATACTAGATTTCATTAGTTTTAAATTACGTTAGGCATCTTGTGATATATTTTTACATATAACACATGAAAGATAGTCACGCGATGTTTATCAAAGTAATGTAATGTTTATGTTATCTAAGTGCGTACAGTACAGCTTGTGCAAACGTGAGATTTTATGAGGTAATAATTTGTTCCGTTATAGAAAACGCTAGGTCTCGACGAAGCGCATTTTAGTTTTAAGTGTGTTTGCAAAACCGGTCTCAGCCGTTATTTTGGCCGAAAACTTCGCTGTTAAGTATACATATTTTGGTTGAGATGGGTACTTATTCCCTTGTCCTATATTATTGCATAATAACTATTAGAATAGTTACTTGAACACGACACAAAAGCGTGTTAAATTAGGCAGAAATATTAGTAATTTAAATTATCCTACGACTGCCAACATGGCAATTTTTCTGTTAATTTATTTCTACAATGTAGTCATTATCACGATATTGCGTTGTTTACAAACTCGAATGATAACGAACCGCAGTTATCGCGGTTGTCTTTGTGGTGAAATTATGTAACACGCCAAGTATTACATAATTTTTTCCTTTTTAAGTATATTTTCACAAAAGCGCTTGTTTTATCTTAATTTAACAGAACGTAAAACTTTTTTGAAATGCTACTTAAGTATTCGTCATAATTCTAGAACTCATTTGCTCACAATGAGAGGTCTTTTGGGGTGAAATGAATTGATTTAAGAATAGCCTAGCTTTAAATTATTCTGCCTACTATATAAAATGCAAGTAGGTGGCTCATGTGTAGGAATGAAGGTCTTTCCGCTATTTTGTCAGTAGGCACAAATATTTCATAATTGCAGTGGACGGTTCAATTGTTTCAATGAAATATTTTTACGGTGTTATGCTCATCTTTGGATTGTAGTGCGTCTACATTATTGACTCGGATTCATTACGTAAAGTGGCCGACAATTATTTATTACATATAAATGAAGAATCGTATTGCGCTTTGCAGGGTTCGAGTGCCGCTGCGGTGGGCTATTCTGCGCGGTGCACCGATACAGCGACAAGCACGAGTGCTCCTTCGACTACCGGGAGTTGGGCGCGCAAGAGATCCGCCGCAACAACCCCGTCGTCGTATCGCAGAAGATACACAAGATATGAGCCGAGCACGCGTCTGCTCTCGACCTCTAGTGGGCTCCAACTAAATTCTATTTAGGTTATTGTCGCGAGTTTGTTGCTTTGGAGATCAGGCGAGCGCCCGCGCCCGCGCCGCAAATGAACGAGCACAAATCTTTGTTTTCCAATTTCCCCTAACTCTCATCAGACTCGCTTCGCCTTGTCGCCGTTTGCTTTCCGACCTCCTTTCGGGGCTTCGAGCTCTAGTTATAGATAGGCCTTCGAATAAAGCGACTTCCGTAGGCCTCGGTGGCGTAAGTCGGCTAACGTGACAGGTTCATTTGCGTCGCCCGCGGCTCGCTCGATCTCGTCACTATAAAAAGTTGTAGATATGTTCATTTCGGGTAGGTATGTATTTCATGTTTAATTTTCTTCGAAATAAAACGTATATAGGTCTTCGATGTCCATTCACCTCCATTGTAAATATTAGCTGTAATTAATTATAGATACAAATAAATACTATATATTGTAAAAAGTAAAACTCCAAAAAAAGCTACATTGTTACGACTCCGCCGAGGAGCATAGCGTGCTTTAACACGAGTGAAATGACAAATGTGAGCTGAAGATGGCGCGCGGGTAGATTTGCCGAGCTGTGAAATTGTACAGGCCGTTTTGACTCGTGTTTTGTGGGACACTCGAAGAGATGAGCGCACCGCGGTATACAGCGTGATTCGGGAAGCGGAAGCGGGAGGCTGTTAATTGACATTATTCAACGACGCTCTGTCTCGTTCTAATTGTCTTTAATAATACAGAGACCACATTTGCGTCGCCAATGAATAGAAATTAGTTTGTGACATTCATTCGTAGTTTATGGTCATCTCATAACTCGGCGAACGATAATAGCGAATTACTGCATAGTAAGTGGTCTTCGTCTGGTATTCGTCGACGTCCCGGCGATCTCATTCACGCTGTATAAGGCCCGGCAGCGCGGTGCGCTCGGGATCCTGGACATTCAGGACATTTGAAATTGTTAGTGCGTTAATTTCGGTTTGGGAAGACGCTTATCTAAGCGGCGTAGAGTTAGCGAGATGTGTGTACCGGCTACGGCGGGCGTTGTGTGAAAATTATAAGTAAGCGTATCGATAGTTATACATTTATAAGTAGCGGACACTTTATTACACATTATATAAGTAGGAAAGAATTGTTTAGCTTTTTTCTTTTTAATCACAATATTATTGGAAATTGTAAGTTATGTAACTCGTTTGGTTTAGTGGTGAAGTTAATCCTAGCTGCGTACCGCTTCGATCGCTGTCCACCCGTCACTAACACGATCGGTTCGACTCGACAATTATTTGATGACTTTTGTTGTATATTTTGTTAGGTCATTGATTAATTTTTGGTCTTTTTGCTTGAATGAATAATCGGATACAATGTTATTAACGGAACGATTTATCTTTTATCTTGCTGTTTTAATTTAGTTATTCTTCTATTAAAGTCATTAAATTTCCAAGAATATACATTGTTTCATTGTAATTACCCTAGTTTTTCATCATACGTATTGTTGATAGCCTTTCAACAATACTCCGAATCAGTTTTCTAATAATAAAATTGATTACAATATGAAAGGAGACGAGGGAACCTAGATAGAAATAAACATAATTGGTCTTTCAAGAATGTATTACTGTCTTTGTAGAAATTGCAAAAGAACAACCCTCGTTAGGTTAAGAATTAATGGACAACCATGTTGAACCAATAATAATTTATTGGTTTTTGTTCACTTACGAAATAGTTAAGTTACAACGAGTGGCCACTATTGAAGTTACATCAACGAAAACACCTGAATAAGTACAATATCGTACTTGACTAGTTATGAACGCGGTTTCGTACCTTTTGTACTTAGCTTGTTCACGATTTTAGTTATCTGATAACGGGTTTGAATATTTCATTGATTAATCAGACAATATGAAATAGATCTAGAAAATATACTTCAAACATGTTAATTTAATTTATTGTTAGAGTCACAGAATACTTGCCCGCTGACTTACTTATCACATCAGCTTAGGTTACCGTATGTAAATATATTGTTGAGTCGTTAAAAATAGTTAGCAAAAACATTTTATTTCCTCCACAATACAACCATACATCACAGAGTTTGAAAACCTTTTCACCAAACATTGGCAAAGGTAAACTAACGACAGTTAGTCTATTTAGAGAGATACAGCGACACCTTTGTCTTAAAAACTAAGTTTTATAACAGAGTTGAACGTCGACTAGTGGTAGTGGTAATATTTTCTACAAAACACCGTACCAAATTAGTCTAGAAACACATTTCTATTTGAGAAAGGTACTTGATAATTGTACTCTTGGTTTTAACATTTTCTTCAAATGGCTAATTATCTCTAAACCGCTTCTGTACTATGTTATTGTGCATATATTTATCATAAATATGGAGCTCAATTCTTAGCCCATAAATTTAATTTGAAGGCCGATGTTGTCAATCTTGTTCCATATATTTTTTTTAATCTGGTCAATTTTTCAATTTAGTCCCCAAAGTGTTATGTCACAAGAGTTTAAACTAATAAATAGATTGTTCTTTGGCTTCTCTTCATACGTATAGAATTTGTCTAAATGCCCGTAATTTGTTTGATCCAGTCTCTCGCTGCGGACACTCTTGAGAAGTAAATGATGGCACCGTTTTTGCATTCGAAAGCGTCGTTCTCCACCCACGAAGCGACTCCAATCACGCTTCCAGAATCGCTGATGAGACCGCTTCCACTATCACCCTGAAAAACAAAAGAGTTAACATATGAAAATAAGGAATTATGAAATATGATGGAGATAAAGCAGACCAAACTGCTGGTAAAATTTAACCGTTAAAACTTAATATTGTTACGAATCAATCTTGAGTTCTATATGGAAGACTGAAAAACTTGTAAGTAATAAGACCATACCTTAGTTTGTTAGGAATACGAAAAATCTATTTCCTACTTTTAAACTTAGTGGTATTTATCTATATAAATACCACTAAGTTTATTGTATATATTATTGTATAGAACAGTATTGATCAACTTACATTGCAAGCTGTGTCATATCTCGGAGGTCTGCCGGTTGCACACAGCATGTCTTGGGGATCGAATTCGATTAACTTGGAACAGCTTGAGTTTGGAAGAACTTCTAAGTCCATAGCATGTTCATCTGGTCTCATCACGTCCTGGAATTTTACAATGTTTAGCCATGCGATTCAACTTTTTTTTAATGATGGAGGTGTTCGCTTAATGGTGCAAACTTCACGGCTTTTTCATCTGTAGACGGCGGTGCGTAACCCGGACGGAATTTCGATATTCCTACCACCAATTAATATCCAAATTTCCAGACAAAGTCCAACATGTTTTAGAAAAAATATAAATTGATTAGAAATATAACAACGCGTATCACCAGTAATCGCGTATTGAGCCAGCATGATAGTTTGAACCCTAAAACATTTTGGGTTATATTGAAGGTAGAACAGTACTCACCCCGTGTTGTTCAGCTCCAAAACCAGCAAAGCCAACAGTTTCGCCGCCTTGGTGCTCTGCGATGTCATCGATAGGAGCTGCTGCCAAAATCTTTCCGTCTAATTCGAGGGGCTCTTCTAATTCCGCCAGCAAGAAGTCCCATCGAGCCGCTACCTATAACCAAAAATCTTTTTTAAGAAAGATTTTAATTGAGTCTCTGCCATTGTTAACATGTTTTTACGGCGTTAATACGGCGTCCCGCAGTTCTTGGGAGTTAATCTTAAAAGATAAACATATACTGCCGTTGACAGTTTTTAGATCATTTAAAAGAGAAACATTCTTTTGTACATATTTTTGTTTTATTAAATCGTTTTGTAGCGCACGCAAGGAAGCCCTGAAAGACGAGTAACATTTCCCGTTCTTTGCACATTTGTTTCTTCGCGCCTGGTGACACCCTGATGCTTTATAGCTGAAACCTTCCTCGATAAATGGTCCAACCAAAACAAAAATAATTTTTCAATTCGAACCAGTAGTAGTTATAAGTGTTCAAATAAACAGACCTCTCATCATTGTAATATAAGTGTATTCTTAATTTTGATTAATTCCTTACTGGGTATATATATTTCATTTCTTCATACTTCAGCAGCAGATCCAAGGTCCCATCTGCAGCGCAGGTTGGTGCAATGCATTTGTTAAGTTAAAGGTTTAGTATTAAATCCTGACCTGTTTAATTCCGTAGCTATCAGCGTTGAGCCAGTAGGGTCCAACGGAGAAACGTGGATGGACGTATAATTTCTTGACCCTTCTTCTTATTCCCGTACCATCTTCTGTGTTATTTGTACCGGCTAATATGTCTCTGCCAGATGTAAATAGAGAGCTGTAAACAATACATTTATTAGATTCAAGTTTCTTCTAGGAAAGAAGTTCTAAGCTGGAGTTAAGGATGAATAGAACGGACTTAGCAAAATATGTATATACCGCACATAGTTTGTTTAGGAACGACGGGTATGACGTTCGCTTGTTCTGGAGGCCAAGACTCACTATGGATTGCTGCGCCAACGGAGTAAATGAGTTCGTTATATAAGTGAAACAAGAAAGAATTAATTTTATTACTCTATGGTTGAGATTAGGGCCTTCAAAAAAAATGTGTCTTTGAGTGCATGAAACGTGAGCACTAAGCAGCCAACGAAAACGTCAGTTTATTTCTATCAGTAGGCAGGTTTTATAATAATGAGATTTGTTGAGTATAATAGCTATTGTAAGTTTCGGCACTGCAGTGAGATCACCATGATCATTTGCCCAAATTAGGTTCTTATTGTACTTTGCATATTCTTTATATATGACCGAAATGTCACTGAATAGACTAAATATATTTACATACGTATGAGACCATTGTAACTAACACATGGAACTTGTAATTTTTTGAGTAAAAGATTATTATATATTATTTAATGTAATTAAGTTGGTTAATATCAATTTATCATTTTTATTAACGAATTATTCCTAAACCCTCCTAGTTAAACGTTGGTCGACTTCCAATAATAAAGTGAACGTGCTCCAGAAATAAGCTTACATGCTCGGTATCAAAATGTTATCAAAAGTTCACGGTTTATCTTATCATGGTTTGGTCCTCGACATAGCATTCGTCAATAATGCAGAATGAGAGGTCATCCTCAAGATATTAAATCCGAAGACCGAATATAAACACGGAGTCAAATAAGATATTACTTAAAAATAAGTTTACGTTTTTGTATTGATAAGAATCAAGGTTAATTTAAGAAGAAAAAGTAAAAACGGCCGAACAGCTGAATAGCCTAAGTTGCTTTACAAAATGGCGTCAAAGCTTTATGTAATTTATATATATGAATAATGTTTCTTTCATGATATATGTCCATTTTGCAACTGGATCTAAAACGAACACAAAAACACTCCTATTTGAAATAACAATTGTATGGCCATGAAGTCGGTTAGTGCGAACTCCTTAGCTTTATAATATTGACACGACGTATTTATGTATTCTAGACGATAATACTATACGCATTGGCCTTTCCAGACATTTACCAGATTAACCCTTCCAAACCTAACCAACCCAAATACATGGTATCAATTAATAATTAATACCATATAAATGTTTCAAAGATCATCAAAATGTCTTCCCAATGGAATGCTATTATTGTTTTACGATATTACCGCTCTAGATTATAATTAACACAATAATAAGGAAGGTTGTGTGTAAATTAATTAATATAAATGCGGTTGGCTCGTGACATTGATACCTCTTACATAACTAAAGGCACGTTAATCTATACTAATATATAAAGCTGAAGAGTTTGTTTGTTTGTTTGTTTGTTTGAACGCACTTATCTCAGGAACTACCGGTTTGAATCAATAAATCATTTTTGTATTGGTTAGAGCATTTATCGAGGAAGGTTATAGACTATACAATACAACCCGCTATGACTAATAAAAGCGAGAGATATGTGATTGGGAAAATTATTCAACATTATGGTTTACCGACGCGTACCTACGCTGCAAAAACTGTTCAAGATACCTAAGATATATGTATAAGAGAATTATTCCTCTTTAAATGATCTTAAAATATTCTGTAAGAAAGACGGGAAGGGACGCGGCCGACGTCGTGGGTAACAGCTTAAGTTTATAAAGGTAAAGGGGTTTGCAAAAACGATTATCGCGGACAAAGTCGCTGACACAGCTTGTTAGATATAAACTCGTGTGATAGATTTTAGTAAACATCGACGGAAAATCCAATGACGCAAGAAACAATTATCATTCGTTAATGCGTTTCAAATGAATTTAATCTTTTTCCTATTATTTCAAGATATATCGAGCATTCTTACATAATGAGAACACGTTATGACTATCTATTCATTAGATGTATTGTTAAGGTGATGTAAAAAGTCCTTTTTACCTAGTATGCGTTTGCTTCCAACAATTACAACTTCGTCTAATACTACATGTACGATGTTATTAAATATCCGACTAGCGTCTATGGAATAAATATTTGAACCACTTTTATTATTATCAGACGGATAATTGTTAATTCTTTCTGAAAAATGATATGTTAAAGACGAAGTTGTACTCATAACAACATTAAATATTTTAAGAAGACCATGACACAGAGCCAAGCCTTCTGTCTGGTCAAATTTGTTGAAAATAATAACCCCAATGAGTGGTACGTACCAATGCGCTGCAGAGAGAATCCATTTGTCACCAATAATGGTCCCACCACACGTTCTGCCGAAAAGCACAGCCGATGGGTACCGTTCGTTTATTGGCTTTGTCAGGTCGTCTCTTGGACTCACCACTGGGGTGGGATCTTTGAACGCTCTTACATTCAGTTCTGGACATTTACTGAAACCTGGAATTAAGATATCACTATTACTATATCTCAAGTAGTTGGTAACATACTTATGTTGGTTAGAAATGCATGCCTTACACAAAAGAAAAATAGTATAATTGAGCAACATGCTAACAGTTAGTTACGGTAACACTGGAATAAAACTTATCTGTTATTTATCGGGATTAATTGATACCTGCATTGATAATAATTTTAACGTTTAATATTTGCTATCGAGAATACTTAAATGATATTGAATAGAAATAGTATGACTTTAAACTTAAGTAAGGTAAGGGTCTTTTGTGAAATAATTTAGTCTAACACTCATTAAGACGAAGAATCTATTATATTTATATCTATAACTTTATCTATATACGTTTGCAAAAAAAATTCTTTGTAACCATTCCTTCAGTACTTAAAATAATACAATACGTAAAATAACACTATTCATATTGGCGTGAAAATCCAAATCATTTCAACCTCATATGTTACATAATTATAATTTATATTTTTAAGGAGACATGTTCTGTCAGTTGTTTATTTCATAAATATCATAACAATCTGATAAACCGAATCTATAAAAAAATTAGCCAATACTTGTGGGTGGGAATGTGAATTACAATAAGGGTACCGTCAAACCAAACTATAGTAATATGTATTCAAAACATTTTTCTTATTACACTGTTTACATAGATTACGATTAATACTGCGTGTATAAGACAGCTAAGTATACGAGTCACGAATATTAATAGGATCATTACATAACAATCTTATTAACAATAAACATTGAACGTAAAAATATATTTTGAATAACTATTTATTACTGATATAAGAGCCGGTCGGTCTAGTCGTATGGTATGCATATGGTGTACCCCACTTCTGTTCGTAAGGTCGATTTTAGATTGTACGACAAAATTTTTATTTTGAAGAAATAGATGTTGTCATTTGTCAATTTCCACGCATTTATCCAGCGCGCGATAGCCCCTAAATCCCAGCGTTGGGAAATGGTTAAAAACTGACAACGATTAAACGTAATGGAAGTATCTGTGTTAAAAATTATTTCAAAAGACTTTTGTTTGTCCATTCGTTTCGCCTATAGCCGAATATAGATTGGTTTACGTCAAAAACCAGTCTGGTAAGTGTGGGAGAGCGGCGTTTCATAAGTGTTTTTGAAGGCCAATGCTAAGGAAGCCTAGCTTAAAGCAAAGACGAGGTACATATATAGTTTTGCCCTTTTATGGCGATTAGTACGAAATAAAATGTTTAAATTCAAACTACAAAATGTTATGCTATTGGGTTCTTAATATGGACTCAATATTTGCCGATACTTAATCCGCGCCTGGGGAGGTAATTGACTGAAAATTCTATAATTATATGTCCATCCACGCTTGAAGTACACATTATTAGTAATAAGGTACGACGATAATCTTTTTGGAAATCAGCAAAGCAGGAGAAATATTCGTCTCTAATGCGCATTTTGCGTGCGGTCACTACAACCGGTCGAACTAAGACATTAATACTGATCTTAAAGATATAATATGTACATATGTTAAAGCTACAGTATACACGCATGCGAAATATTTTTGTCCATAACTTAAGATCTTATTGATTCGAGATCAATCGACAGGTCTTAGCAATCCTCGGAATGCAATAAATGTTCCTCCTCTGCATTCCTAGTATTCATTATGGTTAATAAGTTATAATTGATCATAGAGAATTGAATTAATTACTATGCAATAAGACAACCTGCACAGAGTAACATATATAACAAATATAGCTATAGAACTACAGAGTATAGTATTTAATTAGAAACAACTGTATAATTACGTAGTACGACAAAGTATTATGTATATATCAGTGATGGTTTTAATAGGTTTAAACGTTACCTATATTAGTTGAAGTATTTCTAACTGCAATGCGAGGTTTTGAATGCTTCACAGCAGCTATAGATACGGAGCGTCTAAAGATAGGGACGTCCCTAATGTCAAAGTCATTTACTAGTGTTGCGCTTCCTCGTAATAAAACAATATATTCCGCATTCAAAACTATATTTTTTTTACGGTGTACCACTTGCGTAAAGCCCAGACTGACAGTGCATCGTGCATAGTTAGTATGTGTGTATGCTATTCAATTACTCAATATTTTCAATAGATATGCTAATATACTACGTGTAACAGTGACAGTTAAATTTTAGTTTTGTAAATACTGTCTGTAGTTAGTTTTTAGTCTTGAGATACACGCGTACAACAAATGAGTTAATAATAGTATAGTGCAACACTTGGTTAGCTTGTTAGTATAGAAGCAGTTTAGTTGCGTTATTTTATTTTTCCAACAGACTAGAAATAAAGACAACTTACCGAATAGTCTCAATACTAAGTCCAAGCAAGCTAAAAGCAAATAAATCGAGTTACAATTGATAAAAACACGCAAATATTTGAAAATTAGTTTAAACATTACTAAAACCCATATAAAATAGCATTAGGTACATTTATTTCGCATTGGGATTAATAAACAAGCGAAATAACATTTGAATTAATAATCAGATACGTATGCGTACGAGATTCAACTTCATTCATCATCATTCAAGCATCAAAAATGTCAGTTTTTGATGCTTGAATAATGATGATGATGAATGATGATTTTTTAAACATATTTTGGACAATGCTATCTAAGTATCCGTGAAGTAACGCATATGTAATTTCTTGCGTAATAACTCTTCGTATCTTTATTTCTTTTACGACAACATTTAGACAAGACACTCACAAGACAAGACAAATCTAAATAAACAAATACCTACAGTATATCACTAAAGCGTCACAAATAAATACTTTATTTACGAGTGTCATAAAAATCTAATAATTTCTAACACAGAATATCTTACAATAGTCAATAACTACAAGAGAGTATTCTCGAAGAGTGATATATATCTACGTCGATTTTTATCACAAGCTTCACACATCATACGTCACCTAATTGAGAATTACCCCCAAGTAAACGAGTAATACACACTCGATCTCTATAGGCCAACAAAATATCTTTAGAGATTAGTTTTTATTCTATGGGTAAAGTTATGTGAGGAGACAAAGGTCTGAAGCCCACTGATTGATCTATAATGACAATATAATTAAAATGGCTCTGTTTAATACACGCGACGTACGCGCAGTGGAAAATTGCGCTAATTACTTATCTCTAGGAGTATTAGATAAACGTAAAGTATGTCAGAAGAAAATAAATTTTAAGCACACATTTTGATATTCTATAGAAAAGTATGTAAAGCTACAAGTATTAGTATCTTATTTGCAAATGAATAGATGTTTGTGCTAGCATAAAATAGTCTCAACGCGTAATAATAGATGAGCCGTGTCTAACAAAATCAAATTGAAACTTAAATTTATTTATGTGCTACAAACTTAGAAACAGTAAAATTAAAAATCATCTATGTTTAAAAAAATACTTTCGTTAAATGTGAGATATAGAGGAATTGTTAATATAATTAAAGTATTAAACAATTTCTTGAGAGGTGCATGTATCAATGGGTTGAAAAAATTCGGCGATGACGAGTGGGACTCGGTAGCCCAATTTATTAGAGCAACAGCACGCTGTGGTTCAGGTCCTGCTCGAGTCGTAATTTAGGATTAAACAAATTGGAATATTCTCTTGGCACAAAAAAGAAATAGTTTTTATCATATTCTGTTATAAAGTCACCAAATCCTTAAACACTAGTTACCTGCAGTAACTAGTAATATATCAATCAGCATTGCTCATTAGTTTTTTGAACTTTGTTTCAGGAAGTGAATTGTGTACTGAGTCACGCTGTCTATTGCACTCAACAAAGAAGTAAGTTAGTATGCAAAGAGTGAAGTCATTTTAATGTTTGTCCTTTGTACAAAAGTAAACATTAATAAATCAACTTCCTTTTATCTCCACTATGATAAGTACCGTGGTTACGTTGAACATTATAATAAAAAATGACTATTTGACTTGACGACCTTTTTAGAATTTTAGCCACCAAATGTGTTCGATCTAATAAGATTTACATAAAATATGTTACAATAAAGGAAGATGAAAGGTATTAACATAAACATTACTTTTTAAGACTTATTACTGAGTAGGGAATATTCTTAACAAGGGAATAAGTCCACGGCCACACTCGGCGTACGTTTTGTTACGATGGCGAATGAAAAATCGACGCTTCTATTCAAATATAGTAAGTAGTCATAAATAAATACATATATAAACTTCCTCTTTTAAATGTAGCACTGTTTTATATTTGTTTGCACTAGCTAGAATAAAAGGTTTTTACCGAGTCCTTAGTCGGTTCAATATTGTAAATATAGATTGGTAAGATATATTTGCTACATCACAAAATAGAATATTTTTTTCGAGAGCCGAAAAAAGACTTACAACATAACGACACAATAACTAATTTGAACAAGGTCACTCTGTGGTATTCACAACATATGGCATTTTATGGTACATTTTCAAAAGGATGGGTATATTATTATAATTATCTCGACAGTGATATTGATACATGTTTGTACCATGCGACTCGTTTTACTGCTTCTCCACGAATAGTAAAATTTGACATTTTGAAAATCTCCCATTTAGTCAAAATGGCGGTTAATGATTATAGACTTTAAATGTCGTTTCTATAATATAAGTTATTTTTATTATTTTTATTATGTAAGCTATTGAAAACCGATTAAGCAATTATAATATTCAATGTTTGGATGCGTTTGGTGGGTGTTCTACCCACCAAATACTAACGATATTTCCTTATAATTATAGCGTATCTCTACAGCTAAGTTGCGCTAATAACGAATAAATAGCATGTAAAACGTTACCGACATCCTTAATTACTATGAAAACCGATAACTGTATCCTAATTAAAAGAGCCGTTAACAATATTATCGCAACACTATTCACTTCATTACACACCACAAGTTACAAATTAACCACGTAAAAAACTTGCATGTTTCTAAAATTACTCGCAAAGTTCAAAATTCTACTCACAAGGTTTCGTTAAAGGTTCTACTCGATTAACGCGTGGTCCCGCCGCGGCCAAGGCGCAGGCGCAAACGCAAAACACAACTACTGCCTTCGAATACATCGTACATTTGTTGTTCGGACATCTGACTGTCGACTTATATGCGCCTCAACAGAGTATAATTAGTTCGACGCGTGTCTTTCGCTGCTGATGTGTTAGTCGTTTAAAATGGTAATGCTCGTCTGATAATTATTGGTTCAATATTATTAAAATGGGGCATTGCAATTCGATTATTGGCCTAGTTAATTACATATTTTGCCTATTATATACATTTCGTAAATAAAAGAATTCCCTAAAGAGGAACTATTTTATATTATTCCAGTTTAATAACTTTTTTGTTATTTTTTTTTTGATAATGATAACACAGAATGGAATAAATCCAAAACTTTGTTGTTTGATATTGATAAAGTAATTATTATGAAATATCATATAATATTGTTAATAGAACCACATTCATAGCTCATATTTTTCTAACATCTTAATCTAAAAAAATAATAAAAACTCCAGTAAATATGTGCACTGAGTATATAGTGTTTTTCCACATTATATGCTTTCTCTGATAAGGTTTTCCGTTCTTAATCTCAATTGGGTATTTACATCAATAATTAGTTGTTCTCTTTAAGTAATAAGTACGCTTAATAAAAACAGCTATGACTCAGTTGTAAAGAAAAAAATAGTATAAAATACATACATACATATTTATGTATTGGTGAATGGAAAATTTGCTACACTTTTCACTTGCTATCACATTATTATATGCTTTATTTACAGACTACAGGTAAAGCGCCTTTTACAAAGATGGGTAAATAAAACTTGAAAGAATTTTATATGAATCATGCCTTGAATACATCATTGTACCTATGTATTTAGTTTTGGCAATCAAGTATTTTCAGTACTGTACAGTCCTTAGTATGCCTACTGTTTTAATGACTTGTTTTTGTTTGTTTGTTTTTAGTATTCTATGAAAAATTTTAGTGTCATAACATGGGACTTGATAATAGTTCCCTTTATTGATCGAGGATTAAAATTTTCTCGTATTTAAGAGAGTGATTTAAGGTGGTTCATGAAATAAAACCAAACGTTAATTCAAATAAACTTTAATAACCTTTTAACGTCTACTTACAATGGGCGATTCGAAGTGTAAACGGGTCTTCTAGGTGTTACATTTTCTTTGACAAATGTCTACTTAATACTGAATTATTGCTTTTATTGTAATCGAGTTTACAGTCAAGGAAATTGTGAAAAAGGCGTAAGTTTCTCAGAAGAACAAACAAATCGTGTTCTTAAAATATAATTGGGGACAAGGGTCATTCGATACAGGGTGATAATGTTAGAGGAAGTTGTATATTAAAAATAAAATCATATATTGTCAGGTTTAACAGTTTTAAGAAATAAATAGATATATACAAAATTATCGAAATGCCTGAGCTAATATTTGACAATTAATCGTACTAATATTGAAACGTCTGACTTATGTATGACATTTGCTAAAATGTCATACATAAGTCAGACGTTTCAATTTTAATAACATTACGTTAGTAGATCTGCCACAAATTCATTGCGAACACTCGTCTAACGTTCATTTGTTTGTTTATTTTAATACTAACCACCTCGTGTTATACCGAATGTCCAAAGGCATTAATGGTACACCCTTAAGACGCGAACTGCTGAATCACGTCGGCCTCTTTAGAATGTTTTTTATTAATACAAAATTTCCGGACGCGAGAATTTGAGGATGTTTTCTAAGCGTTTTCCGGCTTCAGATATTATCGATTTTGCACGTACACAGTTTCTGTTTTTCATATTATTAGTAGGGAACTTTAAAATCAATCAATAAGTGGAAAAACCTGGAATCTTTCGATTATTGTCTAATTGTTTTATATATTGGGTTGTTTAAAAATGTTCTTTGTTTTGGTTGGAATTAAAGTAATAGAATATCTACTGTCTGTAGGTTACGCGAGTAGTACGCAATTAAATAAAATACTTTCACGGTGTAAAACGCGATATATAATAGTTAAACTTTCTTGAAAAATTTTTTTCAAATATGGCCCACCGACGTTTCGTATGCTTTGCAGCAGCTGTAGTCACGGGGAGACTATTCCTATAAAGACGGCTATTTTTAAATAAGTTTATCTAATATATATATATCGCGTTTTAAACGGTTAAAGTGTTTTATTTAAATATAATACCTGTTTCCTAATTTTAAACTGTATTATTACATGCCCCTTCAATAAACACCAGACCATAGGTTGTGTCTTGTAACTCATTGTCTATCAGTATAACTTATTGGTTCCTCAAACGCATAACAAAAATTTCCGTTTTAAAACGTTTTGTCATACAACTTCTAATAATGCCTCGTATTCTCAGACATCAGACGGATTAAGTTTCCAACGTCATATTTAGAATCAGGCTATGGTAGACGTGACTTCCCTTTTCCCTATTGAATTTATCGTTAATAATGAAATAAATGTCTTTGCGCAAACATTTCTATCTCTTTTTAGCAGTGCCAAACAACATAATATGCAAATACCGTCGATATAGATTAACGACAGCGTTTTGTTCACATTATATTAAAAACAAGTTCTTAACACGTTATCGCTATTGTAAATAATCAGCTATTTGAAATATATTCGAAAAATATGAATTGAAATAGATCCTTCAATAGTTCACGGTGCGGAGTACCGTGTAAAAATTTGTAAAATACATTTATTTGTCACAAGTTGCTTCTTGTCAAGGCGTACAAATAGTGGCCTTTTGTTATACTTCAGCTAATCTAGGATGATAAGTTTGACAACTATTGAAAATAAATATGGGGCGGTTTGTGATATATTAATAATAATCTGTTGTGGTTGAAATCGAAACAAACGTTTTGATAATTATTGCAAAATCATGAATATCCTTAGACACTTGGAAATGGAGAAATATATACTAATGGAGTAAAAACAAACCAAACCGTTTACAAAAAAAGCCAGCATAGCATTATGGCACGGATCTTTAGCGTTGAACGAATCCTGTCAAAAAAATCGAAGTCAAAAATAAGGTATCGAAGGGACGGAAGCAGGCGCGGGACGAGTGAACGTCGTGTGCGCTAGCGTTGATTGGTTCCCCAGTTGTGTTATCGTTCTCGGACTATATGACGTTCCGATTTCTTCTCGAGTATAGTCACATTTTCCAATCAATTAGGTGCGTAATTGTTAAGGTGCGCAACTATTTCCTCTACATTTCGTTCAGCGCTAAACATCTGTGCCGCGACATAGACGCCAAACTTACCATTCTATATAATACAAAGTATAAGTATATTAGCCTTCCATCGTACAATAATATTTACTTGTATTTTACATTTCACAGGTTTTCACACGATACTGTACATATTACTTAACCTTATCGGATGTCATTTTGCATAGAAATGCTAATTATAGTATAAATAGTAAGTAAATGTATATTTTTTTTTATTTCAACAAAAATAAGATAGGTTATAATGTTTTTTGATGATTGAACTAATAATATGTTAACTAATTATTAATTTAAGTAGCGGCGTCATTATCTAATAGGCAAGATATCTAATAATTATTTCGTACGATTGTAATAGTAGTTATACCAAACTAATTTGAAAAAAATCATGACAAAGGTGCGCACACGTCGCCTGCGACACAATGTAAGTTGCGACAAAAGGAAATATGCATGTATTTTTATCTTGGCCTGCAAAAATTTTATAATGTACCCATAACGTTGAATATTGATACTGTAAAATTAATGTAAATTAAAAACAAAACACACAATGCAGAATTACAAAGAAAACCTTTGCATCATGACGTCGTTCCTTAGTATAAACATACTGGCAAACATACACAAGTAATAATCAGAAAACAATGAAAACATTAGCATGATATTAAAAGTTGACATGTATCACATATGTGTAAGTATGTATTTACATCGCTATCCGTCGTTTCAAATAAACTTACATGCATAACTCCAATACGTATCTTGTAACAAATGTCACGTAATATTTAAATAGTATTTTGTTAAGGTTCTTAACAATAGCTTCTATTATTGCTTTTGGCTACCTACCTACGCGTCTTATCCTAAAAACTGACTAGATAATACTTTAGTAACTATATAAATGTCATCGTAGTCGGACCAATGCATTTTTACAAAGTTTTTGGTGGCGGTTACTTAAATCGTTTTTTCTATATAATAAAGATATATTATGGCTTCGGATAGTCGGAGAGCCACTAACTGAAATTGAAACGCAGCTCTTTATGGCATTATTGCAACCACCCGTTTTTGCAGATCCTCCCGGGGAACATGTTTAGACAAATATAAGAAATTTACGAACATACTGGAAGAAATCAACCCACGACGAGGAAAATAGCTTCTATTAGACCAGCGAGATTTGCGACGCTTTATAAATGGGGTACTTATAAAACAAGTAGTTTATAATTGTGGGATTATCAAAATATAATTATTATAATAGTATTTGTATATTGACTTCGTAACTTTTATATGTTTAAGTGCTCACTATTATAAATATTAAAACACTGTATTTGTGGCGTAAACAATCTTTCTGTCCCTTTTTTTAACGATCATAATGTCAATTCCTCTATATTCCAACAGATTTGACATTAGACAATTATACAACATTGGTCCGACTATGTTATTAGAATTACGGCCGAATATTTCAACGATTTACAAGCGATAGAATTCCTAGATTACAAACACACCAATTGGTCGTTCAATCGATTCCTAGCTTAAAGGGATTAGAATGACAAGTTTGAAGTATAAATGCAGAGTGTAGAAAAATCGTTACAGACAAAATTGCCGCTATCAAAATCATCGGTACGTTTGTACTTGTTTGTATTTTGACAATTAACTATCGAAACGAATCTCTCTACACTCTGTACCTTATGGGTACTTAAGAATTTGCTATGAACAAAGCGTTTCATTTTGTTTTATTTATTTCAAAATCCAGTCGTTCCAATATATTGAAACATCTTTCTCTTGCGATATAAATTACGTTAGCGAAAGTTAATTACAATTAGGGCTTTACATTATCGCAGACAATCACTTTTGAGCAATATTTTGGAATCACTAACATAGGTTAAGGGACGAAAGTATTATACTTTACAATTTGTACACGTATGTTTCGCCTCATTGATAATATATTGTTAAAAATGACACAGTTAACTGATAAATAATTTTCATTTAATTTGCAGAAAAGCTGGTGAATCAGCTTACCGAGTTGCGTTTACTATATATGTTGTCGAATACAAGAGGCAATCTTGAATTTCAGATAGGAGTGAATTTTTTAATGCGTAGATAAGAACTAAAATTAGCTAGTAGTGTTATGATTAAAACCTTATTACTAACTAGATATATTACGCCGCGTTTCTTTGAACTATTAATATTGTGACTATCGTAAAGTCATAATCACCAAAAACATTAGAAATGCTTTAAAAACAATCATGCTTTTCCCTAGGCCATTATATTGTCATCTAAAACTTATCATTATTTTAAAATATCGTTAAATAATTGAACTATTTATGTAAATTTTAAAACTCTAAATGTCGAACGATATTGCTTCCTTTACTTACTACTAAAAGCGAGTTCGGTACTACGCGGTCTATACGGCGGGTCGATAAGATATGTTACTTTCATAACATTCGAAAAACAATGTAACAATTATCCATCACAATCCGTTCCTTCTCTCGGCGAATTGACTGAGTTCCGTTTGTAAGAAGACGCGGTCTCGACGATGAGGCGAAATTCTGCTACGGGATTATAGACTTTATTTCTTAACTTTACAGCTTAAATAATACACGCCTTTTTTGAATACAACAACGTCTTTTGCCTACGCTTCGTTATCGCAAGGCTTTGGTAAGAAATCACAACAGGCTGTTACAATTCACTAATTTGTATCAAAAGCGTGGTTCGAATAAAACGTTCTTCGCGTTAAAGTATTTCTCCGGGAGTTTATAGTCCTTATCTTCGCTGATAAGACTAACTACGAATAGGAATTTGGGTAATTATGGGGACAGGAAGTCTGATGGGAGATGGGTAGGCTGCCGTCAGAGATGGCGCATAGGGGAACGGCAGTCCACCCGCGACATCCATGCTAAATCTTTTGTCGTCACCTGAAATGAAAAGGTTCTTCGTTTATTATCATATTCTAGTTTCGCCCGTAAAGTAGTTTTGAGTAGTTGTTTTTTTTTAATGACATTAATGCAGTTTTAAAAGTATATAGAGTTATGTGGAGTTATATCTACTATATGTATTTAGTAAATAGTTGACAATTTTTTACTTTTTAAATAAAATACCTATAATAATTAATTTATATTTCAATTCTAAAGTTGATAGAACTTTAGCTTCATGTTGTAGTTGTTTTTGCATAATAAACCAAGAAACACAAGTGACGCTACGGAAAACATTTCAAGTTATTTTCGAGAATCTATTTAAAGCATCACGAAGTAGTTCCTTCTGCAGTTCATGCGGCCTAGGGAAATCCCTTTGAGCTTACGAGGAATTTTTCGAGTCCCCAAGCTTAATATCCGGTTCACTAAAGATTTCTAGTAGGAAGTAAATGTCAAAACTTCAGTATCCTCATACTTCTTGAGTCATGAAGAATGAGTAAGTGTGTTATCTATAAATTGAAACAATTAAAACAGTTTATCTAAAATGTAACTCTTTATCAATGACTTGTGTTACAATATTTACATTCTTCCGAGAACGCTTCCACTTATATCGTTGATTGCTATTTTAAACTGCGTCTATTTGTTGTATATTTCAGTTATATAATATTTCTCGTTCATGGTGTAGTGAAGATGGAGGAAAATAACGCTCTGTTGACACGTTTCGAGTTTTGTCTATAATTTTTATTGATTCCCGCATATTTTAATTCCTCACCTGATGCATGGAATATACAGCTAGGACGACCAGCACATGCATGATGTTATGGGAGTTGAGACACCGGTCCACTGACCCAGGGAACCACTTCTCTGGTATATGCAGAGCGCCAATCACCCCGCCCCCTAAAGACACTGCATCCTGTAACGTAAACAATATAGTGTGAAAAATTCCTGTTAATGATACAGGGGACAGACAAGTATGGGGTTGCAGCAGCCTATAGCATCTTACCAAGTTGCGCTGTCAACCTATGTTGGCTTTGGATATCCGGAAATCCACAGACTACAACCGAAACGTGATTAAACTTCACGGCTTTTGTATTTATAGACGGTTGTTCGTAACCTGGATGGAATTTCGATATTCCTACCACCCTTTTCAAATCCAGGCTCCAGACGATGTCCACCATGGTTCAGAAAATTATAAATTGATTAGAAAAATGTTGGATCTGCTGGGGATTGTTGATTATTAGCCGTACATTGTCATCATAACCCAAACTCGTCGAAATGGATGGATATAATGAGAACTCAAGTCTCAGTTCAATCATTTGGCTAAGGAGTTCCCGCATAATTCCGATAGAAGATTATAGAATAGACGTGTAGTTATGTAAGAAGTTATGTAGTAACATATGTCATTTTGTGTTGATAATAAGAAATGATCTTTTACATAAGCATAGTAAGTCCAAAGTAATGTTTGTACTTGTCATAAAAGCACTAACGCTCACTATCATGTTTAAGTTAAAACGAAACACCTAGATGGGGGTTATGAATACGAAGAGGGTACTGAATATTCTTTACATTCATTTCAATGTCTTCCTTTGTAGGGTAATGACCTAACGCGTATTATGCTTCTAGACGTATAGTCCAAGTCTATTATCTAAAAGTAAATTAACTTACCAAATATATTTTATGTCACAGCTGTACCGCTAATTGGTGAGACATTTTCACGCCACTCCAGGGAATGGGATATGTTACGTGATGGACGCATTTTTGCCTCCTCTTGTTTTTGCAAATTGCTAAGTCCCCCTACCCTAACCCGGGGCAAACAGTGGATGTACATCTCTATATCTTTTCTGTTTTCCCTTTTCATGTTCTGACAGAAGTCGGCTTTCTCGGTCGTCGTAATTGAAAAATGGTAAAAAAACACCTCGAAAACCTAAATGGCTGTGGGAAAGCTATTTATTTTAGCTTGGGTTTTATACCTTATTGTCTGAGATTCGAAGCCAGAATATGTCGCTTTATTTAGTCAATTTTCTTTGAGCCATTATTCAACTACACAAAAGTTTTTATAAGCTCAAATGTTTAACTTTATTGTTTGAACGCGTTAATCTCAGGAACTATCTACTGGTTGGAATTGAAAAATTATTTTTGTGGATTTCCGTTGCGAACTACACTGCGAAAACGGTTCAAGATACTCTTTACATTATGTAAAAATGTCCACGACAGTATATGTCTCTCTTTTATGATTAACTTGTAAGAAGCTTAAATTTTGTGATAACCGAGTTAACGAGGTTTGCAAAATTGAACACCAAAATAATTGTTCTACGCGAAAGAGGTCGCTGACACAGCTATTTGTTTTAATAAAATCATTGAGTTTATATAAACGCGAGGTTAAACTATCTAATTGACAGCGTCATATAAAGCAAAGCTCGTAATGGATGTGTACAGGGCTTTAGAAAGAAAAACAGTTCTCCTGTCTAGTGTGTACCTAAGCCCTAATTCCTTAATGGAGTAGTCGCGTTAATTTGTCTGAGCCGTTGAAACCTCACAGCTGCCTGCAGGTAATTCATTTAGAGAGAATTTTCTTTGTGAATACAGTTAATCTTTTAAACTTATTTAACCTTTCGATATATGCTGTTTGAGCATTAAATACCTACAGTGTAGAACTTATTTTCTGAATGAATATTGATAACGATTATAGTAATAGATATTTCTAGACTCCATCGATGTAATTTAGTTTCCGAACTATTTACAAATCTCTATATCTAATTTGTATTTAAACTTAACTAGTGTTGAGTGTGATTAAAAAAGTAAAAACTCTACTCCGTACCATAAAATGTATATTTTATTCTACTCGCGTGAATTACGTAATACCGTCCGACTCGTGTTAAAAACAATATGATTTATACCATCGTTGAACTATTGTATCCATTGTTGACTATGTGTTAAAAGTATTTATTTAACACTTCAGATCCTAATGATTGCCCACACTGAGAACACAAGATAGTGTAAATATACGCTAATGTTAAAATCAGAATATAGACTTTAAATAAAATATTTTTAACTACAAATATATTAGCTATCTCAAACAGGTAAAATAAACATCTTTCGCACTTTCCTCCAATGTATTTAAATTACACAATGCTTGGTTAATTAATTATATAAATAGTTTATATATTTAAAATGTTTCCTTAGAGTTTTGCACAAATAACCCGCTATCGTATAAACAATTAATGTTATCTATAATTTCTCAGAATAAAATATATTATGTTACAATTGTAGTTGCCTCTGCATATATTATGAACTAAAACGGAACGTTACACATAAAAGTCACTTCAAAAATTAAAACAACGTATTCTTGTTATGTATATGTACATTTACCTGATTTAATTTGCATATTTCTAATATTCATGTCTTTGATATTGTTACATTATTTAGCCTTTAAAATGCATAATCGCTAAGGAACTGTGTTGTAACGATATTTCTACATTATTAAATGCCCAGCAGTGGACATCGAACGGTTGGATCGATCGAAATGTTTGAATTCATTCACGAGAACACTAAAACTGTTATTGTCATATTTTAGGCTACTATCGCATAATTTTAAATGTGCTAAGTACTTACCGATACGCGAGGTAATAAAGAGGCAAAAACATTCACTTTTACGTGGTCCTTAATCGAATCACACGCTATAGCCGTGTGTTTCTCCTGGTCGCGACGCAGTCGCGACCTCCTTGATCGGCCCGTTTGGGCCCTGCAAGGGGTGATCTATCGCGCCCTGCGAATACAGGGCGGTCCCTGGGGTCGTCGTCGATGGTTGGTGAACGCCCCCGCGTCTCGCGGTCAAGCACCGCCGGGTGAGACCCCCGGTAACCCCGGGGGAGGCCCAGCGAGGCGACCAGCGGACGAAGACGCGGGATCGGCGTTCGAGGTCAAATCCGGTGGTGATTCACTATCTGTTGCCGTCTGCTGCTGCTGCAAGGAGAGGCGGGGAGTCGGGAGGGGAGAGGAGGTCTCGCGGTAGTGGGTATCTTCGGTCCGGTGGCCTAGTGTGCCATGGGGCGAGATGTTGTAGATGAGGCGTGCGCGATGAATCGGCTTTTGCGAACATCTTCTTGGCCATCCGGACGATGAAATCGTTGAGGGTGTCTTGCCGGAGATCTCGGTGGATGGTAGCGTTTCTTACGTAACGCGGGGCTTTGGTAATGCGCCGGAGTGCCTTGTTCTGCACTGCGTTGAGCCGGTTCTTCTGCGCCTTCGGCGCCAGCGCATACCAAGCAGGTGCGGCGTACGTAAGATGGGAACGGACATATACGTTGAAGAGGGATTTCTTAGTGTGGAGAGGGATATTCGAAGAGAGAATGGGATTGAGTTTGGCTAGAACCGCGTTGGCCCTACCGACCACAGTGGCGATGTGATGACGCATGGTAAGGCCTCGGTCGATTGTAAGGCCGAGGTAAGTGACGCGGTTTAGCCAGGGGAGATCGATGCCATTTAGGGTAAGAGAAGGCGGAAAAATGCCACGACCGAAGCAGATGGCTTGAGTTTTAGTGGGATTGGCAGTTAAACGCCACGTTTGAAGCCAATCGGGAAGGAGGTCTAGAGCTCGTTGAAGTTTGATGGCCGCATGATGCGATGTCAACGAGGTCGCGATGTACGCCGTGTCATCAGCGAAGAGGGCCACTCTGGTGTCTGGCGGTGCTGGAACGTCGTCTGTGTAGGCCGAGTACAGCGTTGGCGAGATGCAACTTCCTTGCGGAACGCCCGCTGTGACTCGGCGGGGACTCGAACGGGCGTCATCAACGGCGACGTGAAATGTGCGACCATCGAGGAAGGAGTAAAGGATCGAGGTGAGGCGGCGGGGGAGGGGAATGGCGTCGAGTTTCGCAATCAGGCCGGCGTGCCAGACGCGATCGAACGCCTTCTCCATGTCGAGGAATACAGCAGCAGCGGCGCCCTTCTTGTTCAGTGCGGAGGCGGCCTCGTGCAGCACTCGGGCTAATTGAAGCGTTGTGGAGTGCTCTGCACGGAAGCCGAATTGCTCGGGGCGCGGGGTGTAGAAGGTATTGAGGTGAGACAGCAATAGTACCTCAAATACCTTAGACAGAGACGGCAACAGAGTGATGGGTCGATAGCTGGCCGCCTGCAGTACGCTCTTCCCTGGTTTCAGCAACATCCGGACTCGTCCTTCCTTCCAACACGCCGGAAACTGTGTGTGCCGCGCGATCGCCGTAAACAGCCGTGCGGCGGCGACGACGAAGTTCGGTGGAAGGTGGCGCAGCGCTAGGTTCGGGATGTTGTCGGGTCCTGGGGCCTTCTTGAGTTTGACGCGGAGGAGAGCTCTTCTCACCTGACCCGGCGAGAAAAAGATGGGGTCCTCGTCTGGAGGGATGCTGGGCGACGCGAATCTTAAGGCGGCTTCCTCGGTCGCCTTCACGCGATCCTCCAGATGTGTAGCGGCGGGGTTCGGTGAGAATTGGTGTTCGAGATGCTCCGCGAAAATTTCGGCCCTATCCAGGGCGGCGTACTTCACTGAGCCATCGGGGTGTAGGAGAGGCCGCGGTGGGGCGACGGTCTTCGTGAGGCTTCGGCACAACTTGTTGAGGCTACTCCAATCTGTGGTTGCTTCGCCAATGCGGCGCTCCCATGATTGCGCTTGATACGCCTGTAGCTCCGTTCCTATCTTTTCTGCTAACAGACGTATCTCGGTTTTGAGGCGCGGGCATCGGTTTCGCTGCCACGTACGGCGAAGTGCGCGCTTTCTCCTTATTAGCCTCAACAAGTGCGGCGGGATGTCCGGTTCCGTCGGCGGAATCTCACGGACGGAAGTAGCTTCCCCCATGGCTCGTTGTATGTGCGCCGTGATGTCGGCGGCCAGCTGATCGACTTCCAGTGCGTTGATTGGCGGCGCGAACGGAGGGAGAGAGGAAAGGCGGGAGCGAAAGAGAGGCCAATCGATGCAACGTCTCTCTCGGGGAGCGGGGAGGCGGGGGTTAGGGGAAGTCAACGTACTGATGACTGGGAGGTGATCCGACAGGTACTCGTCCATGATGACATCAAGGGTCAAATGGCAATGGATGCCACAATGAAGGAGTAGGTCAATAGTGGAGGGATTATAGGAATCGGTAGCGGGATAATGGGTAGGAACGTCCGGCGCCGCGATCGTGTAGCCGTGCTGTTGAGCATCGGCGTATAGAAGGCGGCCTCTTCGGTTCGCGCATGCGGGGTTCCAGGATTCGTGCTTGGCATTCCAATCGCCGGCTGCGATGCACGCCGTTAGCGGGGGCATCAGTTTGCGGATATCGCTGGGGCTGAAGTGTCCATCCGGCGGTGAGTAGACGGCGTACATTGCGATTGGCTGGCCATCGAACTCCAGTTCGATTCCCGTCGCATGCACGAATGTAAGCTCCTGGTCCGGGATACGTCGGTGAACGATGCTCCTTCGGATGAGCACGGCCAGGCCGCGATAGGCCGCGCCCAGCGGCGAGACATGTTCTTGTCTGTATGCGACGTATCCCGGTACGTATAACCGGTCGCCGGTACGAAGATGGGTTTCGTTGATTAAGGCTACGTCTATATTGTGTAGCCTTAATTGCATTGTTAGGAACGCCATCTTCCTCCTGAGTCCATTGGCGTTCCAATACAGGACTCTAAGGTCCATGGCGACCGGTTGGTCCTCGGCTGGGGGCCGCCTTCGGCGCTTTTGGTGGCTGTAAAGCCGCGATGGCCGTCTGGACGGCTGCCTCTACCATCCTGGCTAGCGCGGCTTGAGTGAGGGAGATAGGACGATCGGCGACGGACTGATTCGCCCGCGGAGGCGGGGGGGCGGCGGAGTCGCTCTGTCTCGCTTTCGGTGCTTTCCGTCCCCCTCTCGGACCTCTCGCTCTTTGCAACGGTGGTTTCATTGCGGGTTCGATACCCGGGGCGTCTTTGCTCTTGATGGCGGCCGTGGATGCCACCGTGCCCGCCTTCCTGTTCTTCGCTTCTGCGCGAAAGACCGGGCACGATGTGTGGTTCGCCGGGTGCGCTCCCTTGCAGTTGGCGCACGTCGCCGGGACTTCCTTTGGGCGCGGGCAGTCAGCTGCGCGGTGTTCCTCGCCGCACCGTACGCAGGCCTGGGGTCGATGGCAGTGATGGGAGGAGTGGCGGAATTTTTGGCAACGGTGGCATTGAGCCGGACCGCGCTTCCCTCTCCACGCCTCCACTGTGACTCCGGGCATGCACAGCAGCTCTTTCACTTCGTAGATTGCCGGAGTGATATCGGGCGTCCTCTTTAGTAATACGAGGAATAAACATCCAGGACGCCCTCTCGATGTCTGTATCGGCTGCGCGTGTATGGGTTCGAACCCCAGGCCTTTGAGTTCGTCCATGATATCTTGGGGGTTGGTGTCTGCTGGGATCCCCCTTATCGCCACCTTGAGATCTCGCTCTGAGGGGAGGGAGTAGGAAAACCATGCCACTCCTTTGGTCCGCTCTAGTTCGGTGAGGTACCGCTGAGTGATACGGTACTCGTCTGCGTCCCGCGGCGAGAAGCGGACTCCCTTCCCGAAGGGCCGCGCATTGGGTGCGTGGCCGAGGCGGTCCTTGAGGACGCGAAAGTGCGACACCCAGTCCGGTAGTGATTCCACTACCAACGGTGGGTACCTGGGCGTCGCGGTCTTCGTTTGCGGCTGCTGTTGTTGTTGTGGTGGCGGTGTGGGTGGACGTCCCACCGTGGGTGCGGCGGCGATCTGCGCGAACGATGGCGCGGCGATGGCCTGCGCGGCGGGCGCGGCGATGGCCTGCGCGCCGGGCGCGGCAGTCGCGGCGATGGTCGCGGCGGGTGCAGTGGTCGCGGCGGGCGCTGCGCGCAAGGCAGACGCGGCGGGCGCGGCGCGCGGAGTGGGTGCGGCGGAAGGGTCGCGCGAGGCAGGCGCGGCTAGTGTGGTGCGCGCGGCAGGCGCGGGAGGCGCGTCTCGCGAGGCACGCGCGGCGGTCGCGGCAGAGGCGGCGGGCTCCGATACGGGGAGCGCGAGTCGTCGTCGCAACCGAGGATCCCGCTGTGAAAGGGGTTCCGGGAGGGACGGGAAGGCGGCGTCCTGACACGGCCTCTTAGAGTCTCGGTCAGGAGAGGAGGGGGATTCCGGGCGGGGACGACGCAGGGGGGTCGACCGTGCTATGTTGCCGTGGGCAACGGCCGACTCGTCCTGCGTTAAGGGAGTGCTCAGCAATCCCTCGGCCCTTAGCTCCGTCTCGACCCTGTCAAGGTACGCCCTGACCGCCGCGTGTAGGCCATCCGAGAACGCCACTTGCTTCCTTACAATTGCATAAGCAATTGCGTCGGAATAAAGCAACGCTCTCGGGGAGCCCCGCGGCGCAGGAGGGACGTCTCCCGACAGGGACCGGAACATCGCGTCCAGGGTCTCGGGAGAGCCTTGCGATAGGGCTAAGAAATGCGATTCAACAGAATCGAGGAGGGAGTTTGGAAATGGCGTCGCGGCGATCTCGGCGGCGACGGTAGCGGTGGTGGCGCTCGCAGCGGCGGCGGTAGAGGCGGCGGCGTTAGCGGCGGCGGCGATGGCGGCAGCGGCGGCGGCGCTGGTTTGTGGAGTCGCGGGGGGCGCTCGCACGCAAGGGCGTGGGCGGCTCAACCCCGGATCCGACAATGTCCGGTGGATACCGGTGTCGTAAAGGGCCTCCCCGCTCCGAGGGCGGGGGCGCGGTGCGGGTTTCGGCGTCTCAACGGCCCGGGCCGGATCGCGTCGCGAGCCCGCTCGACCGCTTGCGGAGCGGGGAGCGGGGACGCCCGGCGTCGAGTCGGAGGTCTTCTTCATCTTAGAGTCTTGACGACGTGCACGGCCTGAGCCTGAGTCGCGTCCCCTCAGCCCTAGAGGCTTCGCATCCGGTGAGACCCGCTGGTGGGAGGCCGGAGCTAAGCCACAGGCGAGGTTAGCGAAAAAGGCTGGCAATCTTCGTGATGGGCGGCTGCTCAACGGATACTCCGCCGATTTTACTATTAAAATCGGACGGAGACTTGTACAATTGTAGGCCCGTGTGCGCAATACGGCGTCTGGCACTCCCTATACTCACACGCTATACTGCTTCAGCAAAGACTTATATGGGATGCCTACCCTACTCAACATCTGACATTATCAAGTTTAACCCTCTCATATTAAATATCATATAGACGTTATCCGGGAAATTAAAAACATATTATCCTTAAGTTTTTTTATGTAGCTTTGGCATCTCTTCTATTTGAAACGATGTTTATATTCTTATATCTATTATAAAGCTGAATAGTTTGTTTGTTTAAACGCGCTAATCTCAGGATCAATTCACAAAGATGATGACGAGGTTTGTAAAAACAAATGTTGATGCCTAAAATCCTACCACAGCTAGTATGATATAATTCTTTAACTAAATATAGTCCATTTGAATCTTTGTTTAACAACAGTATATATTGCACAAGTCTGTTTCATCTTGTATTTAGGTATATATAGGTTTTATTACGTAAAACATTTAGGGCTATTTGATACCATCTCATGAGAGTTAATATATGTCGATCCATATATTTTAAAATGACTACGAGTATAAGACGATACCTAAGCGAACTCACACTTACATCACTCCCTAAAACATTGTTGTTTCCACCACGTGCCGCTGTTGTAAAGGCTTAATCCAATCATAACTTGCCAATATCCACAATTTAAACTTTTCTACAGCTTCACGGATATATACGTTTAATTGCTTCGATCTATAAACATGTCGCGCACAGTAAACAGTTTTACCGACAAGTAAACAAAAAACAATTCGTGAAACGCAACGGCCAATAAAGTTTCTTCGCAATTAAACGCGCCTTATATAAAGTTCACCCTTCTGTGAGTTACGATTACCGCAATGGCAGATTCCTAGTGGAACAAAGAAATCTTCAATTGTTACATTTGCGGAATTGCTACTAAGCTAATTAAAAGCGGAATTGCTTTAGTATTTGTATTTACTGTAAGTGGACCTTCTGGTTTTCGGAGAGTAGGAATAATACATATAAATTCTTAAATACTGTTTGTACTTTACGCGCGTAGTACAGATGGAGGGTGTCTCTGATGTCAAAGTTTAATTTTAATATCAGAGACACCCACCACCAGTAATACTCGCTGCTGCAAAGCATTTGAAACGTCGGGCCGTAGTTAAAATAATTTTCAATGTATTTAATTATATATTCATGTTGTTTCACACGAAAAATAATAGTTATTGCAACTATTATTTTAGCACTATGTCTTGCTTGAGGTTGCCTCAATAAAACAGAGGTCGTGGAAATGCACTTTGCAACTTTTAGACGACAAAAGCATATATACATACAACCTCTCCGAAAGGCGAATTATCATATTCGAAATTAGTAACAAAAGAATGCTAATAAGCACTCGAAAAACTCCCCGCTTTTATCGAACTTTTTCAATTAAACATTGCTTTAAAGTTTAAATGCATTAAAAAGGCAATATTCAATTAAGCTTTCGCATTCCCAAGTATAAAGTTCGTGACCTATTTCTATTAGTTTTTACCTTTGAAAGCGTTTCAACTAGGTATAGGATACTTCACTGCATTGAACTTTGATTTCGGTCATCGGGCTTTTCTCCGGTTCGTGAACAACTGTTACATTTAAAAGAATTCCTATATCAACTATTGCCGTCTAAAGTGCCAGAATTTCAATCTAGTATTAGGAGTAAAATATATTATACTAATATTATAAAGCGGAAAAGTTTATTTGTTTATTTTTTATTTAACGCGCTAATTCCTGGAATTGAAAAAATATTTTTGTGATTGTTAAATAGACTATTTATAAGGCCTGGGCTATCTATAGTCGCGGATATTTTTTTTATTATTTAAAGAAGAAAAATTTTTTTATACTTCTCTTCTTATTTTCATAAACTAATTCTTTAGTTTTATTATTAGTTTCTAGTAAAGATAAAGTAGAAAAGCATTTAGGATTTATAAGTTGAACTCCGGTAACGACACTACGTTCGTTAGCAAGTAAGACCAACCGACTCTAATAAATTTATTTTTCAATTCTGGATAGAAAAAATACTCGGATTATCAAGCTGTTCTCCAGTCTTAATTGGAAAATTGTCCACAAATGGTATGGTATAAATCAGTTTTTCGAATTGAAACTTTAAGTTTTTTTTTAAATAAAATATCAATAAGTAGGTGTTGAGTGAAATGAGAAGAAGAGGCCCTCTCTTACAAAACCCAATCAATCGGTGCAAACGTTATAAATCTTTATTTTTTTATTCTATATTTAAAGAACTATTTTCTTATAAAGCTTCTAACACTATTTTTTTTAAGATTCTTCACTATAAATAATTGGGCTTGACATTACGTAATCCTACAATAGTTAGGAAATTATGTGTAAACTCCAACAGATATAGAATATCCATGTTCCTGACACATAGCATTCTCCACTACCAGCAGAACAAATTATCTAACACTCAAGCTATCTAAAATCCGTATAGGCAGCAATACCCTCAACCTCTACCCTATCCACGAGGCTAAAGGTTGAAATGATTTGGACTTCTGCCAGAAGATACCATGACTTCTCGTTATTGGGTCACTGAACTAGTCATATGTAACTATTGGCCTCATTTCTAACAACGTCAATACATAAACCTTTATAAATTTCGCAAATTCGTGCATATGAGAGCTTTCAAATGCAGATTTTTTTAAAGGCAACAGTGAAAATGGTATAGACAGATCTTGAATCTGTTGACGTCAGGGGGTGAGCCCGACGCCCTTTTTTGTCATTCGAAGTTCTCAATATTCTCATCCATGCACTTCTGGCATCATACACGAGTTCAAATTCCACATTTTAATCTACTTTCTAAAAAGTTAAAATGAAGTTTTTAACTACATTCATAAATGATTTTTGATTTGGTAGTCTATTTCGTAAATATGTAAATTAATGATTGTGCCTATCTAACTTTCGTTAATTTATGTAGAAAAGTAATTTTTATCTCGTGTTTTAAAATACTACTTCTATGTTTTTGGTTGCAACTGTAATAGGTACTTGGTGAATCTGGAGATAAATCTAGGTCTGGAGACACTCGGAAATATTTGTTCTAGTTTATTCGGAAGCGTGAATTCCGCTTTGTTTCGTTGAAGTTGCAAAATCTTGAGAATAACAGATAATGTGGTTCTGGAGATGTTTGTGGCGTGCTTTGCGCAAAATAGATGTTGCTCCTTATTCTAGCTCCCACGATATGTATGACATTGATACTTCTTATTTCCTGTTAGATTTATTGTGGTGATAATGTCTAGGATAACCTATATGTCTTATACTCCGATGAATAAATGATAATTTCAGAAAACCCGGAATTAAATAAATAACTTACAACATGTATGCATATTATGCGAAATAAAACAATGCGAGGACGTTATACTTTGACATCTATATCATTATATAATTGAAACAGTTTCATGACAGATCATATCTAATATGATTCTAAGTCAGCAATAAACCCGCCTGTGTCATATTTGTTGTTATTGTGTATATACGTGTTATTTTAATTAAAAAAGAAAAAATCTACCTGTAGGAAGACGTGCAGTATGGCATGCGGGTCTCCGCCGCCGAAGCGTGCTGCTCTCGCGCCAGCAAGTAGCAACCTCATGCAGAACGGAGCAGCGAAGCACAGTCGCCTCTCCCACGGGGACCATGCGCGCATTGCCTGATGAGTTCAGTGAGTTTTTAAACTTTTGACTTTTTGTATATCTTCTTTAGATATAGAGAAGTGTTGTACCAATGGCCTTTTTCAGGTCAAGAAATCTTAAATTTAAATATCTATACTGTCCGTAGTTTACGCGAGTAGTAGGTACAAACCCCCGTGGCCACGGTTACAAAGCATTCGAAACGTCCGGCCGTAGTTAAAATAATTTTCAAATAAGTTTAACTAATATATATCGCGTTTTAAATCGTTAAAGTGTTTTATTTAAATTTAATTATTAAATCTTACAAGGTAAATCTGTCCGTTTTTGCACATTTACAACTAATCAATATAAGAGTATCAAATTTCTACATTACGTAACAACTTCTGAGATAAGCCGGCGTTTATCACGTCACACGTAATTATGCTTTCAAATTATTTCCTTCCAGTGCTTTGGCAAATCCATATGACGTCACAGCGGCAATAATCAAATTATACCGTGACCGTTTCTGATCAAAGGCATACGTCACACATCGTAAAATTACGTCATATGTGCAGATCACTGTACGTAGAAGGTTTGTCCCCTTCGGAATTTGAGAATTGAGAACCTGTTTTTCATCTGCCAAATACAGAAACGTGACTCACGTAGTATTTTCGCGTATCGGCACTTTTTACCTGTTACCGTCTATTGACGAAATTCGAAGGATTCAAATTGTTTTTATCACTATTTGCTCATATTCTTAAGCGAGATTGCGACTTCCTGCTATCGATGGTTATTATTATATTAATTATATAACTAACATTGCGTTACATATTGTTTTAATAATGGACTTTATTTTTGCAAAGTTACCTTAAATTAGATGTCAAAAAGAAAATCCCTCTCATCTATACGAATTTTTTAATCCTTGCTTTCTCAGCATTTCCACTAACCACTTTTACTTAAAAATCTTTTCATTAAGTGACTTGTGGTTTCATTGATCTTAATAAATATAAAAAAATCAAAAAGACAAAAATGCGCGCAAGCGCATTTTTAAAAAGAAATTGATGATTAATTCATAACGTGTATTCGATTTAATTGCTTAAGACAACTTACATAGGTCTCTATGTATCTACAATTTAGATCACCGGCGAAGAGACATCCGGCCGATAACATATTCTCCGAACTGCATATCAATCCTAGAGAAAGATTGCTGTAGTGGCATATCTGGCCACATAACTAAATATCTCAAAGTCCATTTATAGCTGAAAATACCGTCAAAGATTCGTACCTTATATAAGCCCAGTAGGCTTCCAAGACAGTAGACCACAAGTGCAGAATACCGCAGTGGTGTAGGTGCGCAATAAACGGTGGCTGTCACCATCGGGATTGCACCTGAAAGAATTTTTTTTATAACAGTAGTCTAACAATAATATTACTAAAATTATGAGTCCATACAAAAAACTAAATCTATTTAGATTAAAAACAATTAAGGACTTGTACTGGCATCCACATCGGTCCGTGCTGATGCTCCAATCAATTGAGGTGTGGACAACGGCTCAAGTCCTGCTAGTGTCGTCCAATTTTTTTTTAATAGCAATCATGTGCCACATGTAAAAAATATTAATAAGTTTCAAAAGATTTTTAATTAATTAAAAGCTTTAACGGTTTAAAACGCGATATATTAGTTAAACTTATTTAAAAATGATTTTTAACTTCGGCCCGACGTTTCGGATGCTTTGCAGCATGTCATTGAGACTCCCTAAAGTTAAAAATCATTTTCAAATATGTTTAACTAATATATCGCGTTTTAAACCGTTAAAGTGTTTTATTTAAATGTGTACTACTCGCGTAAACTATAGACAGTATTTAATTAAAAGCTACTAAACCGATTTAAATTAAACTGTGCATTTATTCTCACTTAACGGTAAGGTTAATTATTAGACTTTGGTTAACAGCAGTGCGAGTAGGATACTATAATAATTTAGAGAAACATCAAACATAGGTCCACAAAGATAAGCTATGACCCTTTTCCGCCTGGGCAACGCTTAGTCAGCGGTCTGCTTGTAAATATTTCCCATTTTTGTATTATATTTGGTATACATAGATAGTTAGTGTAACTTAAAATACAGTATATATTCCTTTATACCATATAATTAAAAAAGTTGCAAATCAAACATCGATATATTTCGCTTATTTTACTGTTATTTGCGTTTTATTTAAATGTGTACAACTCGTGTTAATTACAGACAATACTTATTTAAGACGAGTTCATTTGATTAAGAAAATAATTGCCACAGATGTCACACAATCAGCTCAGCTTATATGAATAAACTGTGAAAATTATCTGAATTCGTCTGGCAACACTGGAAAGTACTTGGCGTTTTTGTGAATGGCAATACAAGCTATATCGCGAATGAAAGAGAAAAGTCATTGGAAGTCACATAGCTATTATGATTTACGAGCTAGTCGACTCGCTCGGTGATCGCTTTCTGATTGCTTCCCAATTGAAATTGACTGCTCACACTTTGTTTCATGAAAGCTATTTTCTGTTTTGCCTCGTCAACAGATAGCTGCCGCGGCTCAAACGAATTTGGCTTTGATTTCGGCGGTGATGCACCGTTTTAGTAGTGTAAGATTTTGGGATAGCTTATATTTTTTTACGTAAAAGATCAAGTACGAAACTTTGCAACATATAAAGACTACATATTTAATACGTGCTAAGGCAAATGATTGCCACTTCCAGAACATTTATATACAATTTTGTTGTATACAAAAAATATGAATGGTTTTTAATATATAGAATATTAAGTCACTGTTTAATTTTTCTCAGTCAAAAGTATTTCCCGGAACTTATTTGAAACCGACACTAAGACAGGAATTTGACAAGTAAAATTTTACACTAAAACAGTTGTCCATCATCGACTGAAATGATTTTATATATTTTTTACATCCTCGGGCTTTAAATCCAGAATCACTTGCGTAATAATTGCAATGACATAAACCACTAAGCCACGGAGGCAGTTAAACAAATATATCTTTATAACTATATTATATTAGCTGCTATTTTATGAAATCCCTTTTGTTATCTAGTACTTACATATATAGTGAATATATATTATATTTGAATAAGAAGTTACAATCGCCATAAAATCTCATAGATGTTCCGAGCGCCGGGAATGTAGGGCAAACTGTTATATGCTATTCTCGAGTGCGCCTCGCTCGTTTTGCACTATTTTTGCACTGACACAACTCGCTCTAACTTTAAATTGTAACTAATGTTAAACAGCTTTAGGGAAATGCTTGCCAGAAGATGAAACATCGTGGCAGAAGATATTTTATCTTTTACTAATAAAAAGTTTGTATTTTCAAAGATTTATGCTGGGTATAACTATATATATAAGATTATATGTAAATTCATTGTGACACGACTTACTTTTATTTTTAAAGGATCTAATACATAATATAAAGAAAGATACTATTATAAATTTCGATTGACAACCGAATAATAACTTTACTTAGTCCGTGAGTTTACTAAAAGTTAACCGAATGTGTATGTATGTGTGTGTAAGTATACACGTTCGGCCATCTTTAAGTAAAATTAAAAAAAAATTACTCACTTTTTAAGTTAAACGGTGGTACGGACGGAACTTTGATATTCCTACCATCAATTTAATATCCAGATATCCAGAGGAAGTCCAAGAACATATTACAGACAAAAATATAAAATGGTTAGAAAAATACTCGATCTGGGTAGGCCAAACAGCACATCAAATCGCGTAGAGAGATGGGTTTAAGGGTTCAGACCATGCTGTTCTATTATTCAATTGTCAAATTTACTATCCACAACGACTAAAGAGGCAGTTAACTGTTACTAACCAATACTCTGAATTCCATTGAATTAGCAACAACAGCTAGTATACGACTAACTATGCCCTAACTTTGATCGTTTGAGCGAAATGAATACACTTATCTGATTAGAAACTATGTAGGACTTGGTTTGAATATTCACTTCTGTATTTGAAGGACCGCTTTGACTAATATATTAAATTCTGTTTCCCTTATATCAAGTTGTAGGTAGAGTCTGTGAGTGCTGTTTTTATATAAATTTCCCGATTTTATTTAAACTGACCCACGATCTTTTCGGGTTTAATTATTAAGACATAAAGCCTAAAGGAAAAATCATAGATAAAATAGAGAGAAGTGTAACAGTGTTACAGTATATTAACTCTTATTTTAAATCAATAACACAGACGTTTTAAACTATTATGGAACTAGCTGTGTTAGCCACTTAATCCGCGAAAAATAGTTGTTTTAGGCATACGCCTAGAAGAAGGTTTGAAAAACAAACTACAAATTTGGTTTTTGCAAACCTTCATCTTCATAAACTTAAGCTGTTTCCAAAGACGTTGGGCGCTTCGCGCCGTTTTTGCAATTTAATCCTAAAAGATAGAAGTTATACTGTCGGGGATATTTTTTGTAGATCATTTAAAAAGGAATAATACTTTGATACACAATGTTTGGGTATCTTGAGCCGTTTTCGTAGGTACGCACTCACAGGATTTTTTTTTCACATTTTTCCTATACGTTGCACCGCGTTTGTGTTGTGCCTGTGTCATATTTTATAAATATTTTAGCCTTTCCTCGATAAATCTTTTAACCAACACAAAAATATTTTTTAAAATCGTATACGTAGTTCCCGAGTTTAGCGCAGACAAACAAATTCTTACTTTTATATGAAATACTGTCTATAGTTTACGCGAGTAGTAACATTTACGCGAGCGATATACTAGTTAAACTTATTTGAAAGTAATTTTTAACTTCGGCCCCCCCACGTTTCGGATGCTTTGCAGGGACGTAGTCACGGGGAGACTGACTGAGTCTCCCCGTGACCGTATACGCGTTTTAAACCGTTAAAGTGTTTTATTTAAATTTTATATATTAGTATAGATTTTTCTTTTTATACATTTACATATATACTTATTAATTGAAACACGTGTTAAGATTAATAAATATATAAAAATCCAACGAAGCATTTTCTCATAGTTATCTTTAAGAGTGTACTTCACAAAGTATAATAAAACTTTAGAGGCTTTAAAGCTATGAAGCCGTGAATAACTTTCGCAACTTCATAGAGAACGCTACAGATCATCAATGTTTACGTAACCTACATATGTCTATCGCAATGTTATAATTTACATAAACTTCTTCCTTTCCTTTGTTCCCATTTTGGTTTTCATTTATGGTTTAGTGTTACTGTTTCTTTAAAAATATACTTCTGAGAAAAAACACAAGGAAGGCTTATAAAAATTAAATTAACTATTTTCGTTTAGTAACGGAAATCTTTATGTAAAAAGCAACATAATTATTTTTAATAATTTATTGTTTAAAGTTTTGACTCCCCTGTTAAAATAAATTAGTTAGCCTATGAGATATTATAACAGCGTTTAGTTAACAATAGGAAGAATAATTTAAAAATCGAAAATAAATTGAAAATTTTGTTTGACTCGGGCAGGACTTGAACCGGCATCGTATCGTATCTATAGAGCAACAACACGGAAAGCTGACGATGCCGGTTCAAGTCCTGCCCGAGTCGAAATTTTTTTCAATTTATTTTCGATTTTTATATTATATAGTGCCTTCATGTGCAATAACATGTGAAAAATATGAATGTTTTCAAAATAGGAAGAATAGTAAAAAAGCAATGACACATTTCGAACAAAAACATTCACTTGAATTATTTAGCGAAAACCGCCTACAACTTGCATCGCACTATTTGCGCGATGTTTACGGCTTTTTGTTTGTGCTTTCGTAACACTAACAATACAAGGTCCCCTGTTTTGTTTTATTTCCGATGTATAAACAATACATTTATTAGTTAATTCTTTAAGTTTTGGCTATTGCCGCCAGATAAATTAAAAAAAAAAAGCTCATTCTAAATAGTATAAGTGATAAAAATTTGGAGCACGATCCGATATTGAACTTCCTACCAACAGTAGGCAGTAGCTCATACTACTAAACGAAGGCAGGTCTTACTCTCAAATGGCGCTGGACGAAATTTCACAATTGAATCACCTAGAGGCAGAGTAGCTTAACCGTAATATTATGACTTGAGTTATTTATATTTTCGTAGTCTAAAAATGTTACTCTACAAGAGCACAGTGACCGAGAATTGTTAACATAATTCTTACACAAATAATAGTACAAATTTCGTGGAAGTCAAATGCGCATTTTTATTTGCCTCCTTAGTGAAGATGTTTGTTTTTGTCAGACCACTCTGCCTCTGGCAGCCTCAAATAATATCTGCTTGTATTTGAAGCAAATGTACGTCAAAGAGGGAAGTCTTCACCAGAGCAAGAGAATTTCAATTTGTTATGTTGTTTTCAAAAAACCAC